TTAAATTTCAACTGTATTATCTGTACATGTATGGAAGAACACAATTTCACCACAATGCTAACTCAATGGGCAATATTTCTACTGACATTTTTGCAATGAAACATCTTATAATTCCAAATTTTATATATTCTTAGAAACCAAAATATATAGAATAATAGTTCTATTGTGTTCCGATAGTGACTATTAGTCCGATTCTACCGTGTGAAGCAAAAGAACGATGACAGATTACGATCTTCGAGTTTCCAAAATGGCGGCGACAGTAAAATAAGCTGTGTTTGTTACTCCACTTCGACAATTAATTTCTTATCGTCTTTGTTGTTAAATTACGACCAAATAACTTTCCATCTTTAGTGTATATAGTAAAGTTAATGTTAAAAATAAGAAGTAACGATATATTATCAGAACAATGTGTATAAAGGCTTGCGACTGTGAAATTATAATAAATTTTGATGAACAATTTTTAGTTTTACAGTAAATTTGACGTTCCAGAGAGAAAATATACCAATACTATCGCTTTCATATCAAAATTAAATACACTAGATCATGCTTACGAAAAAGAAATGGCGAAATAATACAAAAGAAACTGTAGAAATTAATGTTCTAAAAAGAGTAACAAACACACCCAAAGATTTATCAGACATCTTTAATTTGGAGTGCACCAAAACCGGAAGTACGTTCTCTAACGTCCGCGCGAAATGTATAAATAACCCAAACTTTTTCAAACGATCATACACTCAGTTTTCACTGATTAGAAATAATTCGTGAAGTTCTACAACACCTTCAAGCAACAAACAACAATGGCAGACGCAGCAGCAAAGGTAGTAAAGAAGGCAGCCAAGCCAAAGAAGCCAGCAAATCATCCAAAATACATTGAGATGATCACACAAGCTATCTCGGCTCTGAAGGAACGCTCAGGATCCAGCCGTGTTGCTATCATGAAGTACATCCAGGCCAACTTCAAGGACCTTGGCGGTGATGCATCTGCCAACTCTCACCTCAAGATGGCTCTCCGTGCTGGGGTAAAGAATGGCGCTCTTAAGCAAACCAAAGGAACTGGTGCATCTGGCTCCTTCAAGATTGGCAAAGTTGAGAAACCAAAGAAGGTCAAAGTAGCAAAGAAGCCAGCTGCTAAGAAACCAAAGGCCAAGAAGGAAAAGAAAGTGAAGACACCCAAGAAGGCTGCAAAGAAACCCAAATCACCCAAGAAGGCAGCAAAGAAGTCCACTCCAAAGAAAGCAGCCAAGAAACCAGCAGCTAAGAAAGCTGTCAAGAAGACTCCAGCCAAAAAAGCTGCCAAGCCCAAGAAGGCAGCAGCCAAGAAGTCTCCCAAGAAGAAAGCAGCAGCTAAGAAACCAGCAAAGAAATAAACAAAATCTTTCCACACCAAACCCAAAGGCCCTTTTCAGGGCCACCCATTACTTACAAAAGAGCATTAGGTTCATGAATTGTTTTACATGGGTTGCATGGTATACTGTACATGTGTACTTCAGTTGAACAGGATTGACATGGTTAGTTGTCTGGGAATTTCAGAATTTGTGGGAAAGAGGTCCTCAGACATTATTTGAGAGAGATCTTAATAGATATTTCCTTGAGATGTCAATACTTGACATTTTTTACATCAATGAAATGTATTAGGTGTGGTCCATTCAATATATAATTTTGTATTTCCAACATTTGGGGCAATATTTACACTATCCTCAAGGATTATTTTAAAGCATAGCAAGAAAACATCATGTTATTTCACTGGTATTATAACCCCCTTGGAATTCGAAGATGAGAAAGCATCGCCTATTCTAAAATCCGCACATTTTTACTTCAATGAAGAAAAGGGAGACTTTACATATAAAGTCCTTATATCATTTGTTCTAACAATGGCAAGATATAGCGTTGGTCTCTCTCATAAGATATCAAAGATCTTCGGATATTATATTTAGAATAGTAAAATGACACATTATGATGTTACTTGCAATATTCCACTCTTTAATCTAAATATCTAATTCTGGTTTAATGATACAAATCAGTAAGAATCATCATAGAATTTCCATTCAAAAGTTCACATGAAGCCAATTTTTGTTTTGTTTTACTCAATCAATCTTGCATCAAACCCATACAACCTTCAACATTCTCAATCTGAGAATAGGGGCCAGGGGGAGGGAGATTAGGGGCCAGGGGAGGGAGAATAGCAACAAAGGGGAGGGGGAATAGGGGACCAGGGGGAAGAATAGGGGTCAGGGGGAGACAGAATGTGGACCAGAGGGAAGAATAGGGAACATGCTTTCAGATGATACTTATAGCATATGGTAGTACACTAACTAGGATTGGCTGATGATGGGTGATGGTCATGAAACATCATGTACATGAACACAGTGCAAAAACCACCATAGTGATTCTGACATACATTTTACATATATAAAACACTAGAAAGCTTACAATTAATCATTTACATAAAAAATATTTATTAGATAAAGCATGTTTTACATTGCAAAATTGGCAATATTTCTCGTCATTACAAATCAATCTTACAAAAATAATACCATACACACATATAGATTTCACATATTCCTTGTACCTGCCTTATTCCATAAAGCTCAATAATAAAAATATGTGCAAAAATATGCATTTTTACATTGCATAATCATTCCAATACTGCACTGTTTATCTCCATTATAAATGTAATAAATTTATTACAATTAGAATATAAATTTTTGGCAGGACACAAAACAAAGAGCATATTTCCTATGGCCTTATATCAAATTGTTGACTCCTACTTGGGTTGATAGTATACAATTGTATATAGCAAAATTGTATACCAAGACTGTAAACCAAGTTTCAAGGTTTACAGTCGAGGTTTATGATTTTGACGGTTGACAGAATGGAGAGGTCTACAATTGTTTTGTTAGTCCGTAAAAATTAATAATACACATATAGACGACAATCATCAATCGGCATGGCTTCATTTCACAATCTTTTCTCCGAACCACGCCAGTAATGCATACTCATTAGTAAATTAATGTTCATTTTGCGTTTCTATTTGTATTTTTGCTATTCTTGTCGTCTAGTAAAGTCAAAATATCACTTTCATCAACATTTACAAAATGTCCGTCTACCATATTTTTTCTTTAAACATAATGATGTCATGAAACTTATTTTTTAGCGGTCAACAGTACCTAGAAGCGGTCAACAGTACATATTGTTGACCGCTTATCAACCAATCAGAATCGAGTATTTCAGTTGAGGTACTAACAATATACAATTGTTGACCTCGCCAGAGGTCAACCGGCAAAATTGTATACCGAGACTGTAAACCGAGAAACTACTGTTGACAGAGACCGAAGGTCGAGGTCAACAGTAGTTTCAAGGTTTACAGTCGAGGTATATGGTTTTGACGGTTGACCGAATGGAGAGGTCTACAATTGTTTTGTTAGTCAGAAGATACTAATAATACACATATAGACGACAGTCATCAATCATGGCTTCATTTGCTACCCTTCATTTCACAATCTTTTCTCGGAACCACGCCAGCAATAATTTTTTAAGAAAATCTTAAGACAGTGGTAGCTAAACTCTTTGTTTTTGGCACATAACTGCATACTCACTTGTAAATTAATGTTAATTTTTCGTTTCTTTTTGTATTTTTGCTATACTTGTCGTCTAGCAAAGTCAAAATATCACTTTCATCAACGTTTACGAAATGTCCGTCTACCATGTTTTTTCTGTAAACATTATGACGTCATATTTCCCATAATTCACAAGTGTAGTACAGTAACATAAGCGGTCAATAATATGATATCCCATGATGCACAGGTGAGGTACAGGCAAAAATGTTGACCGCTAATTGACCAATCAGATGCGAGTATTTACACTGAGGTACTAACAATATACAATTGTTGACCTCTCCAGAGGTCAACCGGCAAAATTGTATACCCAGACTGTAAACCGAGAAACTACTGTTGACAGAGACCGAAGGTCGAGGTCAACAGTAGTTTCAAGGTTTACAGTCGAGGTATACGATTTTGACGGTTGACCGAATGGAGAAGTCTACAATTGTTTTGTTAGTCCGAAGAAACTAATAATACATATATAGAGAACAATCATCAATCGGCATGGCTTCATTTTATAATCTTTTCTCCGAACCACGTCAGCAATATTTTTGTTGGAAATCTGAAGACAGAGGTTGCTAAACTCTCTATATTCGGCACATCACGGCGTACTCATTAGTAAATTAATGTTGATTTAGGTTTCTATTTGCATTTTTGCTAAACTTGCTCAAAATATCACTTTCATCAACGTTTACAAAATGTCCGTCTTCCATGTTTCTCTGTAAATATTATGACGTCATGAAACCTTTTTTTAAAGTAGCGGTCAACAGTATCTAGAAACGGTCAACAGTGCATATTGTTGACTGCTCATCAACCAATCAGAATCGAGTATTTTAGTTGAGGTACTAACAATAAAAATTGTATCCCTCCATTGTAAAACAACAATACAGGCTGAGATTTACAATTATTTTGACAGTCAACTTCATGCAGCAGATGATAGAGATGAACTGGGGCTAACAACATTGTCTTTCACTCACATGAAAAAAATTCATTTTTAAGGTTATAACTTATAAGGTTACTGTTTTCGATTCTATTGAATTTCGGCATTTCTGCATCTTAATTCATACCTTTAATTAGTAAGATTTTATATAGGATCACAAGAGGAACATTTACTGAAGACTGCTTTCAACATTTTTTACAATTTGTTGCTGCCATTTTAAAACTTTTACCTTAATCTTCCGATTCATTATGATGGAGAATTACTAATCATTTAGTACTTTTTGTGGCAAGTACTTTACACAAACATTCCATCTTGACTAAAATGAACAATTAACAAAAGTCTTTGACCAAAATCAGCCAGAGTTAAAAACTGCATTGTTTCAATTTTTGTTTGAATTAAGCTCAAATTATCAAAACTGAGCAACAATGTAAATAAAATTGCATTAACACTGAATTATTTACATCAATCTGCATAAACAAAGGTAAAATGTCTTTCAGTACTCTCTCTATCCCGGGTTTATTTCATTTTGTCCAACTATTATATCCTGACTGTCTTTGTAAGGCAAAAACGGTGACAACAACTGTACATGTATATTCAGATGTCATCCAGATTTATTAGTCATCATGCAAGTCCATTAACCTCGCAACAAGCTTATCTGAGAATGGGGAGCATGGCTTATTTGCTTTTCTCTCTCGTAGTAAGCTCCTGCAAAGTAAATCATGGCAAATTGAAATGACTAATAGATATGTTAACTGTATTTACTTTTTTTTTAAATATGAAGAGAAATTTTGGCTGAGCAATGGCAGCTTTGATTGGCAAGCTAAAGAGACACCTATAATGACACACAGGTGCAGGTGAGCGAGTCCCACTTGTCCCTCTAAGAATTGATGGCAATAAAATCTGCTGGTAAAAATATAATGAAGGGTTTTGGATTATTGAAGGAGTTAAGAATGAAGTGAATCAATCTTGCATTGCAAAGGGTTATACCTGGCCAGTTTATGATGCCTTGTCTCCGAGGATCTCAATGCCGCATCAATGAGGAACAAACTGAAGACATCCCTCTGAAAACAAAGTGGAAACTCTTTTTATTGTACACGTCCACTAAAACCTTTCCAATCTGAATTTCACTAGCCACTAGCAGTTTTCAGATTAGAAGGTGTTCACATTTCAAGGTTTTTTAATTAAGCGAGTTAATGAGAGACTTCTCATTGAGAGGTGGTTGGATTTAAGAGGTGTTTTGATATACATGTTTTACTATACATGTTGAAGACAGACCAAGGGGAAAGGTAACTGGACATAATCTACAAATAGCTCTAACTTCTTTTATATTTGAGCTAGAAAGGTCAAATGGAATCATTTGGTCAGTCCCCTTTATCATTTAGCCATGATAAGTTTCAATGACATCATCAAAATGTTTATATCAATTTTTGAATGTTTTAAAAGGCAATCATACCTGAGCATGGCTACCTCCAAACTTAGCCACCTCATATCTCTTAGGGGCAATTAGGTCAACTGCTTCCCCATACAGCCCATCTCCATATGCATTAATTGCCTCATAAATTGGAAGACCGATGTCTCTATACACTTTAGCATTGTGTCCATCCTTCAAATCCGAATCTCTGGAAAGAACAGGTTTATAAATTGAGTGGCATATTATGATAAGACACTAAATAAATTACATGATGTTGGCAACTGAATTTGTTTAATTTGTGCATAATTTCTATCATAGTTCTCTCCTTGATACTAGGTGGATTTGGCCAATTCAGGCTGAGTCCAGATTCTTCCATCTCTGACTTTCACAGTGTATACCTTTGACTCACATGCTTATTTTTCTGTCCTATCAAGATGTGATGAATACAGTATGTCATTAAAAATGGGGTTTCTATGAAAAGAAACCCTTAACATCATACTTTGCTTTGAGAATATCATTAGTATTTGTTATCTGTAAAATTGAAATATCTATTAAGTTTATAATATAGAGGTGAGGTTTGAACAACCCAAATCTTATAGATCAAGATGGATTCTAAAGAGGTCATGGGCATAGCCAGGCAATCAGGCAGGCGAGGCAACCAACTCATCAAAATTCTAAAGAAAAATAATGCTGACAACTTCTATTGAAACAGCAAATTGGGTAATTTGCCTCACCAATTTGGCTCACCTTATTCTAGACCCTGGCTATGGCCCCAAAGGTGATGACTGAAGAACTGAGTCATTTGATATACCTCAAGTGATCTACCTACCTTACATAAGCCTTTATAGACTCTAGAAGTCCTTGCCCAGATTTGCTGGCCTTGTCACGGATGAATGCAAACATAAAGTGGGCATCAGCAAAAGGCCACATGTGGTCATCTATGTGATCTTCACATTTCCGCTTCAGTTCTTCCCATCTATCACCAACATTAACACCTGTAAGAGTAAAGGTCTTGTTTGGTCCTTCAGCATGGTTATTTAGACTCTTCTCAAAGACCCAACAATTTGAACAGGGTGGGTTGCCACATTTCTACCCTTTGCATTCGTTTGAGTTCACTTTTTAAAAGAGAGCTTCGTCTTCACTCTTTCAAACTAAAATAAACCTGTGAACTCACCGCGCCAATCAGTGTTCGTCGGCCAAATTTGACCGACGTTCTATATATGGTCATTCCTTCTGATGTCATCGTTGAGCCCTGAATTGACCAATGACATGAGCATATTTAATTAGAACGCATTTGGCGTGTGTTTCTTCAAGCTCGCTGAATGGTGGAAGAAAGGTCAGCGCGTAGGTCAGAAGTGATTTATTACTCAAACTGTCACCGGTACCTGTCGTGGGGGCGGGGCTACTAAACTGTAATATGGTCTCTACTAGGCAGAGTGTAGTTTAACTAGACTCTGCACGCAGGGTACCACATTTCCCTGATTTAAGCATAAAATCTTCCCTGCCGGGGAAAACTATGACTTTTCCCTGACTGTTGCAAACTTAATTGTCAATTTTTATGCACCCACATAAAAAATTAAATACTTTGGGGAGAAGGTGATAATGCTAAACATGCAACTTAATTGCACTAGCTTTAGCAATTTTCACATAACGCACCTAGTATTTCTAGCCTATGTAGCAGTGACACAGCATCAGTGATTGGGAATGGTGAACTCAGTGGACCAATGGCACTTTTTCCAATTGTTCTATCATACAGGCTTAATGCATTTTCATATTCACCCTGCAAATTATTGAGAAAATAATTTTTTTACACATTTTAGACAGAATCTGTCCTACATTATTCATTTCAAAATTTAGTCTAAGACAAGAGATTTGAAGCAATTAAGGAAGGAGTGTAGTTACATTTGCCTGAAATATTTAATTGGAATACAAACATGACACAAAGTAATGAAATAAGGATTGCTGCCATTTTAATTCATTAAATATAATGAGTACAATGAATGCTCTACCTACTTTCTCTACATAGAAGAGGGCCCAGTGCCATGTGTTGTGGCATCGGAAGTTACTGCCCATCTGAAACACATTTGAAAATCAAATTCACCTGATCACTCATGAAATAATTTACAATGTAATAATAATTAAACCATATTATAATCAAGCTCCAATGACCTATATTTCATTTTGAGCATGGATATAAGATCTTTAATTGAAAACTTTAAGGTTGCTATTAAACTGCCTTTCTCTATATGTTCTATTGTACTCCATGAAAGTCTGAAACAAAAGTACGGTATTAATTGACACCCATGTCCCTATTAGAGCCCCCCAGACTTTTGGAGGCCCAAAGGTGAGTCCCTGGGTGGAGAAACAATGATCAGTAGGGTCAAACGTAAGAACTCCAGTGGGCGATAATAGAGTACTTGTTGGTTTTAGTTACTTTTTCCAAAAGGTATTCCAGCTTGAATATGTCACTCTTTTTACCATTAGATAATGTTGGTAATTCAAGTCCATATCCATTATTTTGATGTCTACGAGTGATTTTTCCTGTAATCTAGCCATCTCGTTTTATTTCGGTATGTGTTGAAAATAGTGAGTCCCGATATGCAAGCCAAAAATGTTTTCCAATTTTTTTCTAAACTGAAAGTGAAACTCTTTTTCTCAGTCGGGACTCATATGGGCGCTAATAAGAACAACTTTTTGAACTGGTTTGACTTACTTTAAGCTCCCGGGCACCAATCACTGCTAATACGGTATTATATCACACTTAGCGACATAGAGTTGCATCTTGAACAATTGTGTGACACTTACCCACCAATCAGATTCTGTTTTTAACATAAACTCTGCACCCTCGTCATGGCGACCTGTCATCTCATAAATGTGACATAATGTGTGACTTCCCCAGGTATCATTCTTATTCATTTCCAAAGCCTGGAAATGAAATATAGACACCTTTTTTATACAGATTTATAAGTGGGTGAAAGTTACAATCAAATCACATTCTTCTATGCTTCATGGGTAATTTGAAGTTAAAAACATTAGACGAAGATGTTGGATTTTTATGCAGAATCAGAATCAATCTGAGTAAAGACTATTCGAAATGTAGTGATCCTCCAAGACCACTACATTTTAAAACATTAATTGTAACTGGTCTCAAGGACCACTACATTTTAAAATTTCAATTTAAAGACTACATCTTTTTATTATTGACCAAACCATGAGAAGAGCATATTTAAAACGAGAAGATCTATGAGAAGATTTCTGTGTCTGTCTATGTTTTACTTTCTCTTCAATGCTCTTTGAATTTTGCATTTGCATTGGATTTAATCTTCACACCTGTAATACTGTTTTCTCTGCTCTATCATACATGTTGCATTCCTCAAGCCCAAATGCATACAAACTGGAAACATATCTGGAAAGAAATAAACATATTAAAATAATCCTATCATGAATTCAATTTTGCTATAAAATCATTGAGGGGAATTAATCTGAGGCCTTGACCTATAACGATCATTTGAAAATTTTTTAATAAAGCAGCACTGTCTGTATTTTCATGTCACGTCATCAATTATTATTTTTGGAGAAAGCATAGAAACCCATGGAGAAAGCTAATATCTCAATTTGTGGTAAATTTGAAAGATTCCAGTCTGTCATGACAAAAACTCACCTAAAGTACATAAGAATCACTGAGTATACACTTCAAAAATTAACTTCATGATTGAACAAATAATCTATATCAATGATTTGAAAACACACAGAACACTCACCCATAATGTATGTCAGATTTCTTCCAAGAACCCAGTACTCTCCCTACAGTATCCTTAATCTGAGTGCTTGGACCAATATCTGTAAAACAATCCATAGTTTAGATAGAAGACATTGTGACATCAACAGTATTCAATTTATATCCAATGGTCAATGTTACGTGTGCATTTCTTCCCTTTTGTATATACAGGGTGTCCCAAAAGTATGCCCCCCCCTAGACAGACATATACTAGTGTTGTCATAGTATGTGTCACATATCATTTTAAAGCTTATTCAAAGTTACATTGATTCGCCAAGTATCATGGTTTAACTCTCAAATGTGAAACAATTACAGGCATTTTAAAATTTAGGCAAGAAAAACCAAGAAAAACTCTTTCATTAGTAAAACTTTCTTTGATGACAAATTTTCAAACATGAACTAACACCTCTCTATTCTGAACACCTCTCAATGTGAACACATTTTTGGTCCCATTATCTCCCATCTATATTAGATAAGCTTTGTTAAAAACCTAGAATTATGAACACCTGCTAAATTGCCAATCCAAACACTTTAAGTCAGTCCCAGTGTCATCAGATTAGACAGGTTTAACTCTCCATGTTTTATTCATTTTATGTTACTTACGCAAGTACCCCATGAAGGAGGAATGCAGGGCAAAGATATCATTGGGATGATCAACCAGAATGTTATCATATGAAGCATATGCATCATAAGGATGGCTGCAAAACATAACATAAAGGTATCATGATTCATTTAATACAGATATGTATCCAAGCTGCAGCATATTAACCTCTTGAATACCCAGAATGACGGATATATCTGTCACAAATAAAATCCATTTGGAACCCAGAGCGACAGATATATCTGTCACAGAATTTTTCACTAAAACTGCTCTAACTTTGGCATTTTTTATCCAATCTTCACAACTTATGTTTTAAAATGTATGTAATGGGTCCATGTTTACTATTCTTACAAAATCGAATATCAAATATTGTGTTTGTAGATGTAAATATCCAAAAAACTGGCAAAAAATGAAAAATGCGCTGGTTTCAAACCCTTTTTAGAGGGTTGTATTCAAGAGGTTTAGATCAATATTTCTGTTTTATGTATTAAGATGTCCTGGTATATTAATATTTAAATGCTTTTTTATTCACTGCCCTCAATGAATTTTTTGAACTTAATGCAAATATTAATTTTGCTAGCCCACATATTAAGATAATATTTCTGTTTTATGTATTAAGCTGTTATAAAATATCAGTACTGTATTTCAAATGTTTTTTTGCAGAAGAAAAGTTATCTCCTCAGTAAGTAAGTGAACAGTGAAATGACATATCACACTACATATAATTTCAATGTTTCAAATTTAAATCTCCACCCAAACTAAAAATCAAGTTTCATTTCCCCCTCCCACCCTTTTCCATGCCATTTTAACCATGTTCAATTTCAATAAATTTTGACTTTATGAATTTTATCCTAAAAGTCCAATCCCTGGCTTACTCTACAACAGCATGCTTGATAGCTTCAATGTGACCTCTCTCTCTATCAGTTGTGTTTGGTTTATCAGTGAGGGAAAACAAATAATCAAGGTCTTTCTTGATGTGAGCGTCATGCTTTGCAGTCCAAGGTGTGGCCTGGAACTTGTTTTTTAATACATGGCCCATTACTGGAATTCAAGAAAATGACCCTTTTCTAAAACTAGTCATGTTTTCTGATCTGAGCTTGGGTATGGGTCAAAACAAAAAGCTTTGGAATGGAACATAATGGAATACTGGGCTATGGTACGGAACATTTTTGGAAAGGAACGTGATTGACTCAGATAGTTGAGCAATAATTAAAATAATGTTAACTTTAGTTATATATTTATCAATCATAATTATACTACGAAAACACCTACCTGACTACTACCTGATGTTTTGAGTACATGAACTTGAACATGTTACATACACTTACCAAAATCTGGGTCACATTCCAACATGCGTTTGAGTGTTGCCTCAAGTCCACCAACAGAACTGTCGTCATAGTAACCCACTATCTGGAACCAAGTAAGAGCCTTTAAAAACCTTTAAAAAGTATGTTTTGATTTATGTTACAGCTGCCCCTTTAACTCTTGGCTGGTCAAAATAGGATATAGGAACTGGGCATAACCTCTTGAGTCTAAAACACATAGACAGCTCAGAGTTTATCAAATTGCAATGAGCCAAATCACGGGTTGTATCCAAAGCCCCGTTATAATTGAGAGGTCGCGAGCAAGTTCCCGCTGAAATCACGAGCAAAGTCCTTTTTATTTAATTCATCTGGAAATATGGACCAAAAAGGTAAGAATACGCATTACTGTTCTTTGTTTCTTTAGGTATACTTTCAGAACAGGTATATCTTCACAAACAATGACATGAAAGATAACTATTTTTACTGGCATGGAAGAAACGGGCGTCAATATGCACGTTTGCATAATTTACTGTTAACATATTACTTTTATGGTTAAAATAGAGACAAGAACTACGATATACATACCTCATTATGAATATTGGACCAACATTGTATGTATTGATAAGTTTGTTTTCAAAAACATGCACTGTGGGGGGTGAAATACATCATTGAAGGTGTGCCAGTGGCCCCGCTGAAATTATGAGGAAGCCCCGCTGAAAACATGAGGAGGTCCCGCTGAAAACAGGAGCAGATATCACGAGTACCCGCTTCGATCACGAGGAAAGCTCATTACTATTACATAAAATATTGAGGTTCTTCAAATAAACGTACACGAAAGACCAAGTTAAGTACTTCTAATAATTACTGTATATATACTGTTTCATTCTAGGGCCATGTTTCCATGCCAACTTCAAGCCACCAGAGATTTCGTCAAACATTTTATAGAGTTGCATCCATATCAAAATGTATAGGAGAAAGGTGGATATCATTTCAAGAATGAACTTAATTGAAGCCTGAGGTTCAGGGTAATGAGTCTTGTATTAAACAAAGACACCCCAAGTTGCAAGAAGATGAAATTTAGAGAGAAAGGAGAACCACAAAGTCTCCATGATAATTAGGTTCTACTTTTATTATTTAACAATAACATTTAACAATAACATTCAAGTTTTTGTTTTTAAATATTTATTAAAATAATGATGAGTTGTATTCCATACCTGATAATTTTCAGGGATATACCAACCGGGAATATATTCCATGTCAAATATTTTTCGTATGTCCCGCTCAAACGTGGATCCGAGACATATAAATCGTATGTCCTGCATGAGCCATTTTCCTGGACATATTGTTACGCGGTAAACACGATACAAATAAATGTCATATTCCACAATGAATATGGCATATTCACTTGTGGAGTATGACAGATTCACCTGCGATATATGGCATACTCACCTGCGGTGTAAGGCATATTCTGCAAGTGAGTATGACATATTCTGCGAGAATGGGGTATTTACTGAAATCAATGTATCACATATTCAATACGGAATATGCCATACTCACCTGCGGAATACGCCATATACCACCAAATACCACGCAACCATGAATATATGCCATATTCCGCGTAACACATACGATGTTACGCGGAGTATGGCATACATTTATGGTTGCGTGGTATTTGTGATACGGGTATACAGTATATGCCATACTCACCTGCAGTTTATGGGATATTCCGCAGGTGAGTATGCGATATTCCGCCGTGAATATGTGATACATTGATTTCAGTGAATACCTGAGTCACCTGCAGAATATGTCATACTCACTTGCCGAATATGTCATATACCGCAGGTGAAAATGACACAATGATTACCCGTTTGTTCAATCAATGCAATTGACAATTGCGTACTTCCGTATCGTATTCTCATTGCTTAGTGGGTATGCAATATACTGCAGCTGAATCTGTCATACACCGCAAGTGAATATGCCATATTCATTGCAGAATATGACACATATTTGCATCATGTTTTCCGCGTAACACGTGCGTTTAACATAACCTACGATTAATTTTTAATGATGAAATTATTTGATTATTATTATTTCGGACTCATAATCGGATGATGTACTCCTTTGTTACTTACATCTAGCAGTTGATCCATAAATTGCCTTTTCAAACGTGTGCGCCATTGGTGCTGAATCCTCTAAGATAGTAATATACTGAACTACAGTATAATATAACTTCAGTGGAATATAAATATATATTGCATACAAAGAAGAACGAGTTATTTGAAACAAAAGTCGTGGAATGGATGTAAATCTTCTCTTGGTAAATTTCTCGATGGAGTCAGGTCGAAATACATTAAGTGAAATGGTTTTATTGGAATCATGCTTGTACCGAGCTTTTGGTAAGTGGGGGGGGGGGGTTGCTCGAACCGATAATAACAATGACAATGATATATGATATATATGTGCTCTGTAGAGTATCAATAATTAATATATTTATGACATTGGCTACAGTCGTGGCAGATTTGCAAAGTCAAATCGGTCTTCACTCCATTTTAGAGAGCCACTTGCTCCTGATTTCAGCGGGACCTCCTCATGTTTTCAGCGGGGCCTCCTCATGTTTTCAGCGGGATCTTTAGTTTATTGCTCATGGTAGAAGCGGGGCCTCAAGGGATATGCTAAAATTGAAATATATAATTTTTTGTGAAACTTTAGGAAGTGAAACTCACAATACCTTCATTCCATATTACTATGACCATTTCAACTGAAGGGCAATGACCTTCTTCAGCTATAAAATATAGAAAAATATAGATAAAGATTCAAGATGATACATTCTCTCTCCAATTATCGAATAACAAAACTCAGAACATCAGCTCGTGATCCTTTTTTTCAGAAGTTGCTTTTTAGTATCAATACCATGTAATAAATGAGTAAAATTGAATGAAAACGCTTTTTACAACATACAATTTAAGTAAACAAAAGATAACCCTTCTTTTCTTTTATTTGCTCGTGATTTCAGCGGGTATTTGCTCGCGACTTCTAAATCATAGCGGGGCTTTAGATACTACCCGTGCAAATAGCAAATGAAAATGTACATGTGAGATCTACCAATATACAGGGTGGCCAAAAAATGAAACATTTGTATAATGTATGTCAGAATATGTAAAACAGGGACATAGTTCATAATTATAATTGTAGTAAATAAATATCTTGTTTATAGCTGCATGACTAATATAAGACCCATTTTAAACAAGGCATTAACACGCAAAATCTCACCACCTGCCATTTGTTACACATGCCGAATGCCTATCGCCAAATGACATCCTCAAATGAAATTGGAGACTATAAAAATATGTCACATATTCTGTCTCACCTTCTTATAAAATACCAATCCTAGTTTATATACAACCATGCCACCATTTGTTACTATCCATGATAATGAATTACAATATACCTGTGTTACAGCAGCATCATACAACTTCGCAGCCTCATTACTTGTTGTAGATAAAGGTAAACCAATATCCCGCCATGCCTAGAACAAAGAAACATTCAACTGTAATCATATATTTCAACCATGCATGTGGTATATATTGTCTAAAATTGGGTTAGGTGGGTTTCATGGCACTGTAAGCATTAGGTGATATTTCCTTATCAATATTCACAGTATATTGAAGTACTGTTATCCCGGTCGATGTCATATCTAAACAGTGAATTCAAGTGAAGTATGATAATATGATAACTGTATTAATGTACATGTTGGAGATTGTGAAATAAGTGTAGCAGGATAGGAAAACCTGCCATGAGTTTCTTCTTACTATAAAGCACGGGGGTCTGACCATCATGATAATCCATGACATCTCATTTCTTCTCAGCCCTGAGATGTTTCAGCCCATGTTTCAGGTGAAACAGAAAGATGCTATGAGTATCAGAATGGGGTCTGACAGTCATTATGTCTGTTTGTCCGGACATCTAATTTTGACCTCAAGCCCTCAAACTTGGTCAACATGCCAGGTGGGTTGGTGGGTGTTCTATGAAGGTCAGAAGATAAAGTAATTCCAAGGTAAAGGGTCAATATCTAGGTATTTGGCCTTTTAAGATCCTGAGTCTATGCTGTGACCCTTGATGACCCAATATTAGGTGACCTGAGGTCAAGGTCAACTTTAAGGGTCAAAGTAATTTCAGGGTCAAAGGTCAATATCTTGGTATTTGGTGTTTTAAGGCCAGGGTGCATGTTCGGAATTTTTCTGCATTCCTCAATCGAGTCACGTGTTATTTTTCAAACAGGAATCATGCACACTCCTTCCCCACATTGTCTACATCTTCCTGTTTTGCACAAAGAGTGCACTTATGCAGGCCTGTCAACTGTCCCGCAATTTGCGTATTTGTCACGCATTTGCTGAAGAATTTGAAGTCACGCCAGTTATTTTTGCGTGACAGAAAATGTCACGCAAATACGCATTTTACCTGGTAATTGTCAAGCAAAAATATTTCTGTAGAAAATTTTCTAAAAAAGATCGTCTACACAGCAAAAGTACGAACGACAGGAAAAAAACGTACGCATTTCGTTCGGACTTTTCACGCGAATTATGGATATGTCACGCATTCCGTTCGAAATTTTTCGTAACTACCCCCCCCCCCGTTGATGGATATTTGAAACGCGAGCGTAACGAGCGCGAAAAATTTGAGGTGTTCAAAATTTGGCAAGATGTAATAAAATTTAAACCAAGGTGTTCAAAATTTTGATCAAGGTGTTCAGATTTGGACCAAGGTGTCCACATTTTGAGGGGAGGTGTTCAACATTTCCAAGTCACTCATGTTAGGTGTTCCCAAGTTGACAGGCCTGCTTATGTGCCTAGAAAAAAAGGTGAGTAGATTTGATTTGTAAAGTGTATAAGAAATGAGAAAATTCAGTGAAAAAATTTTCTAAAAATTTTCTGAATTTTTCACTGAATTTTCTTGTTTTTTATACATGCTATCAAAACATTCTTCTTTACATTCTTTTCTAGTTACATTAGTGCATTCGTTGTGCAAAAGTGAGAGATGTAGAGATTGTGGGGAAGGAGTGATTCAAATTTGAATAAAAATAACATATGCCCCTATTGAGGGTTGCAGCAAAATTCCGAACATGTACCCTGACCTTAATACATTTGAGGGCTGTTGTGACCCTTGGGGACCATTGATTAGATGACCTGAGGTCAAGGTCATTCCTAGGTCAAAGGTCAATATCTAGGCATTTTGAGATTTAAGGTTCTTGGGGCTGTTGTGACCCTTGGTGACTAATGATTAAGTGACCTGAGATCAAGGTCATTGTTTATGGGTCAAGGTCATCTCAAAGTTAAAGGTCAATATCTAAGTATTTGGCATTTTAATGCATTTGGGGGCTGTTGTTACCCTTAGGGACCAATGATTACCTGACCTGAGGTCAAGATCATTCTTAGGTTAACGGTTAATATCTAGGTTTTTGGAGATTTAAGGTCCTTGGAGCTGCTGTAACCCTTGGCGACCAATGAGGTCAAGGTCACCTCAAGGTCAATGATCAATAGCTAAGTATTTGGCGTTTTAGGACCTTTGGGGCTGCTGTGACCATTGGTGTCCCATGATTGTGTGACTTAGGGTCATTTCAAGGTCAATATCTAGGTATTTGTCATTTTAAGATCCTGAGGGCTGCTGTGATCCTTGGCATGGCGACCCATGATAAGGTGACCTAAGGTCAAGATCTGTGTTTAAGGGTCAAGGTTATCTCAAGGTCAAACAATCAATATACAGGTATTTAGTATTTTATGGGGGCGACTGCTGTGTGGGAGCTGTTGTGACCCTCACAAAAAAGAAATTCTCAGATATTAAAATGAAGGCCTGCAGGTGGGATTGGTCCATCTAATGCAGATATATATATAGATTGTCATTAGTGGGCAGTACTGGCTGTGGATCCAACAATGATGGATTGTGCTTTGTTGTAAATAGAGAATAAACAACAAGCTTATTAGTCCCATCTACAATTTGTAACTTGAACCTGAGCTGTCTTATCATGAAGATAAAATCTGAACACTCAATCCTCCAGGCCTGAATGCAGGACTAAAGAATCAAGAATGCTGTTTTTGTTTATAGTCTTAAATGACCTTTCTATGGCAGTGGTTCTCTTGACTTAGGTCTCACTATACTGGGTGACTTTCAGAGACTGAAAGTCCTATTACGCAGGGGCGTAGGAAGGTGTAAATTCAACACTACGCCAAAAATATGAAAAAATTATGTCAAATCTTAACGAATCAAAACGCCTCTTTTATGCTCGTAAAACGTAATTTTTATGGTAATACCTTTCTAATTGTGCTTAAAATGTTCGAATGTTTTTCATGATATAAAATCACCATGGAAAGCCGATCTTTTAAATCTCAACAATACAGATTAAAGAAACTAGTATGATCAATAGAAACATGTCCGTGATCAATGATACAACATAACTCTAATGTCTTCAACTTTTTTTATAAGATAAATAAAGCCCATGCAAAAGTCAACGTGACATTTTGTGGTAAATTGTTTTTTCCTTTCAAAATAATTATTGGTGCCTAAATGCTTTATTTCCTAAAATAATAATCTATTATATTTCAAATAAAATAGAAATTAGGGTAATTGCTTTCCTAGAACTGAAGTTGAAATGTACTTTCATTTTTACTGGCTTAAACTTCCAACTATCATAACCCTCTACCCCAAATCACCTTGATTTTTACGCCAAAAAGTGCCATTTATCGTGGCCGAAGCTAGAAAAAAGTAACAGAGGAACAAAAACCTTGCAAAGAGTACTATTGAAAAAATCGAACATATTACATGGTTTCCAAAAACATTTCTTTTGTGTGCTCGAGATCACAAACAATTTATTAACAATGAGGAAATATGACTAAAGAACATAAGGAAATTATTAAGCTATTTCATTCTAGCTTTTCAACACTACGCATTGGCGTTTTGGCGTATATTGTTCCTACGCCACTGTTACGGGCTATAATACATGAAGCCTTGAACATAGTTTTAAACGTTAATATTCAGGGGCGTATTTAAAAAATCGACAAACGCTAACGCCTTCTACAAGGCTAAAAGGTTTGGGATTTTTGGGCTTATTTGGTGTGTTCTGAGTGAATTTAGGATCGCCTCCATTTTTTTCAATTTACACTTTTGGTCTTTTGGGCTTTCAAGAGTTCCTTCTACACTAATATTCCCCAGTCTGAAGACTTATTTGGTTTGTTAATCATGGTTGCTCAACTTGCTGGCTACATGCCACAATGCACAAGCTGAGCTCTATTTTCTGTAAGTACAAGTCGATGTATAAACAACAATACAATGATGCAAAATCCTCACCTGACAATCCCTCCAGTTCTTATGCATATTTGTACAAATTTGCAGTGAATGACACCTTCTTATATCTGAGGAAATGGCTCAAAACACTGTGACAACAAACTTTCCAGCTTTTGATTTTGGCCCTGAAAAGATGAATTGTTGCTACTGGTTAGAAATTAACGTCTGCCATCTATTTTATAAATAAAAGATAAATATTACAATGAATGTGTCTCAAATCTGTACATAATAATATTAAATTTTGGCCAAATATTAATAATAAAATGTGTTACAAAACAACTAACAGTATAGAAACATCCTAATCTATCCAATAGTGGAGGTAAACTCTGTAAGATAAAATGTAAATCTAGATATTTATGATATTTTGCAAATGGGTGGAAAAAATCTGTGTAATATTCTCTGTATTCCACAGATATCACTTTTTTCCCATAGGTTTGAACAAGATGAACTATGGGATAAATAGAACATCCTATGAATTTTCATGATATCATGTTATCTACTCATTTATATCAATATCTTCGCTCATTCAGAGCTATACTACTCACTCAACCAGCTATTGATATTAATTCGTGGATAAAAATGAAATCACTCAAAATCATGATATCCTATTCATATCTCAATGTGGAAAGAAATATATGTAATGTCTAATACCCTCTTCCCCATGTTTTTAAGAAATTCACAGGTCCACACCTGTAATAATTTACCACGGTCATGTCGTTTATGAGTTGAGCAATCTTTTAAAGCTTTGGTATTATCAAAATCTACCATTGGTATGGACACATTTTGAAGAGATATTGTAATATTTCTCATGTAACTCGATGGAAAAAGATGGTAAAAAGTTGCTTACTAGATTGTAGGTAATAAATACTCTCATGTATGAAATATGATTCAAAGGACTAAAAATTTGACACCTGAGGATCTTTTGAAGTAATGAATTGCCTAACATGTGAATCAAGACCTTTCAGGGATATGGGACATAAAATCTCCTACCATCTCCATCTTGCAGATTGAGAGCATACACTAAGAGGAATTGGCACAACATACAAGACACTGTATTCTTATGATTTATAAGCAGACAAAATATTTATTTATTACTTCATGTGAAAAATTACATAGTACACATTAAAACAAAGTCACACTCATTTATAATTTTTAATTGATTTTAATTCGCCTGTTTTGAATAATGTAGCTGTGGAACACAGGAATTCTGGAACTATCAAACATGAAATGTTTCATCAAATGTTCGAATCATTTTTTAATAAATATTGTATATATCACCCATCTATATGTTCTACATCTACATAATTCAAAACAAGCTTTTTTGTCTAATTAGGAAACTTAAAATATGATACATAAATGGAAACTATGTACAAATTATACTACTACTAATAATCACTAAATTGCTAAATGACTTTTTTTATTGATTTATAAATATAATTTATAATATTCCTATACATAGTAATCTTGAAATTGGTTATTTCTGCATTCTTCCATATATGGACACATTTCACAAATATACCATGGCTTCCATTGTAGTAGTACTAAACATAGTAAAATTACAACTTTTTGCAATGTTGACACTCAAGCATACCAATTTATCAACAATAAGATATTATATACATGTATCCATAAAATCAAGTATGATCAGAAAGTCAACACTGCAAAACAAAGATTGGTTAAAAGGGTTTTCAGGTTGAACTGTTTTTGACGATTCAACAATTTACAATTGGTAAACATGTCCAATTTAGCATCAACAGTTCATTATAGAGAAAATCTGTTACACTGCAAGCCACACTATATTTGTTACGTCATGTCCTATTCATATTAATTAGGGACTAGACTGGCAGAAGATATTATACGGGTAAGGTCTAATTTCACATCATAAAGTGAAAAAGGATTCATTTTCTCAAACCTTATGTATGTCATCCGAATCATATTAAGAACAACGTCATACTTGTTTTGATGTCGATTACTCTAAACCTTTAGATGAATGGTATTTGCATTACTAATCTCAAATTTTTGGACATTAAATGATATATGTACATAACATTCATGCTTTGACAGAATCAACATATTGTTTTACACTGTAATTAACATTTAAACATTGCTACTGAAACATACAATTAAATCATTTGACTGACCTACCAGTTCAAAATGAATAATTAGAATTAACAAACATGACATATGACAGGATTAAAACTTAAGTTCTCCCAATCTGGATTTCCAAAAATCTACATCCAAATTTGTAAAATACACCATCATTGTACATGTAATCAATATCACTCTTGGAGAGACACCAAATAAAGACAAATTGCCATATCAGTAACTTATGAAGGTGTAAACATTACTCATTTTCAGTAACCCACAATGATAAAAATTACACGTACAACAATAACGTCACATTAAAATTCCAGTTTCTAAGCATTAATTTCGAAGCAAACACTTGACGTGAATATTTTCTCTTAGTCCCCAGAGTATATTTCAATGTTAATTGGGCAGGTGGTATTGTGTGGTTTGATACATGACACCATATCCTGTACTCCCACCCATACATTAAATGGATATGGCTTATCAAGCTCACATAAGTGACACGCTAGAGTACAGCATGTGAAATAGAACTCTAAAAATGTTCTTAGACATTTTGAAATGGAAAACGTCACACCAAGCATCGCTTCTAAGCATTCTAGACACAACATAGTCTAATGCAAGAGGTGACTCAATCTCAAACTTGACCAATGAGGCCATTGCATTCAGAATACTGAAGCACCATGGGATTGAATTACCTCTTGTCTACATCTACTGCTACATGGTAAGGAAAATGGCTGGAGGGTACACTACACAATAATAACAATATAAACAGTCACAATATTGGCGCCGAGTTGGAGGAGCTTTTATAATTTCTTATATCATGCCGATATACAAAGTTTGGAAAAGCATTCTCTTTCTCTTGAAACTACAAAAATGGTAGATGAAATTTAGTGCAGAACATTAATTTTTTCTCTTGAAATTCCACAAAATGAAATAATTTTTTTTCTGAAATTCAATCCATTTTCAAGCTTCAATATTACTTACAGACAGTATGTGAAAAATCAGAAATGTTACTTTCGGAGAAGAGCATTTCTGTATAGTGCAGCACTAAATTACTTCCAGCCATGTGTATTGCAGGGTTTGATTATTATTTACAATAGTTTATATACAGCTGAACACATTTACATGGTATACACTGATACATGGGACATTTACATCTCCCTGGCCTGACTTAGTGTTAATGTTTCAATATGTTTGTCATAAGGATTTTAGATATAAGCTAAATGGCTCCTAATCTACGGGCCAGAGCTTATATCACACCTTTAGTTTTTCACACCATTTGTTTGACTGTCACAACATATGTTTGAGTTTAACATAGGTACCCAGCAGGCACATAGCCAAAGCTAACTGATTGTGACCAAAAAATGTATGAGAAAATTATCAGAAACCTGAAACACTGAAATACAGACTAATAGTGACATAGAAGATTAGAAGATTGTGCGTACAGATTTTGAAACATATGTATACCAATGAAAGGTAAAACATAATGCAGATGCCATGAAGACAACATTACAATGGTAAACAAATAGATTACAGTGTAATTAAAAAAAATCATCAACAACAGTCTATGATAACATAGAATACATGCAATAAATATTCAGTAATAATAGAGATGATTAACTCTTTAACTCCTATTTACAAAGTAAAATGGCATGCAAAGCTGATATATGCGAACACTCAGACATACAAGGGTTAAGATTGATATGTTATATGTGTTTTAACCACTTCATTCTTAAAATACCACACCATGCAATTTCACATTTGTTCAATGCCAAAGCGGAATACAGATTTATATATAAATATGGACATCCCAAAATAACCGTTTTGAAAGTATATCTGGAATACCCAGTACTTTCCAGGATAATCTAAAACTATCAATGTGTATTAGTTTTGATATGAGTATAGAATTGTGTTTGGTCACCGGTATTACCACATGCAATGGCAAAATTCAATCAGTTTGTTCAACAGAATACCCCTGAGAATTATTTTACATTTCTATCTACCGAGACACTGGTACATTGTAGGACATGATGTGTTGATATTATATATTAATGGTGGAGAAAAATTCAAGGCATTTATGTATGAAAATTATATATCTGTGTTTCTGTTCCGACTTAATTTTGAAGAATCTGCCAGCCAATCTTATTTAAACGTCAACATATCTGTATTATATGGCATTGTTTATGTTCAAATGTGCCATGTCCCAACTAAGAATTCCACGAAACTCAGTAATCTTACACATCGTATAATCTGGCAATTTCATTTCTTATAGTCAGTTCTATGTTTCTCCTTTTTATTCAATTTGACTCAGATATACACGAACACTATATGGCAACTCTGAGGGTTCAATGCTGTTTTAACACATATCACAGGATCAAGTTTTTAAAGTTTAAGTGATCTGGGCTTGATGTTGCAGTAAAGTTGTCTGGCTTTCTCCGTGAGCTCCAACTGATCCTGTGTCTTCCCACATGCGACTGTCTGCCAACCAAGCTGAAATAAAGAGCAAAATTCAATATTTTGTCATACAGACTGGACAACTTGTAAAATATTTAAAGCATGATTATTATATGGGTAGAAAAACAACATAAATTACATGTGGAATAGCTCAGGATAAAATACACAGGGAATTGTAAATGCTGATTGTCATGCATAAGAATATTTAAAGAATTGACCTCAAGGGAATATAAAAGAGGAATGTCATTTGTAAATAAGAAGCAAAATCTTTATCTTGGATGGGAAATTATATGAAAAATTGCATGCATCACAAAGGGAGTATGTGGAAAAGTGAAAATATGAAACACATTGTAGAATAAAACAATTCACAGGTTTACATTCACAAAAACATTGTCAAATTAAAGACATGTAAAATCAAATCAAAACACACAACACATTAAGCAGCATATCTATGAAATAACTAACACAGGTCTATTTTAGCCTAAACATGTGCAACAAACTGGAATCTAATAGCAGTAACTAATATCTATGCAGAACTACGATGCAACACTTGCCTCAACCCAAATAGTCTGGGATTGATTTACTTACTGTACCTGTCTATCTCACACAGATACCATGTGATATGGTGTTTGCTCATTGTATGAATACACAATGACATAACAAGGGACATAGCTGTTGTTGAAAACTAAACAGTCAATTGCAATAACATTGTAGATGTCCTGTGCTCACCCTTGGTATACGCAGCTAACGAAAATTGACCGGTACGGGTCAAAAGCTGGACCGGTACGGGTTAACGGTTTTATTTGAATTTAAAACAGCCATAACTTGCTCAACATTGACTTCCTCGTGTCTAATTTGAAATATATGATGCCTCCCGATGCTTTTAAGTACCCCAATTTTTTACACATTTTTAAATGGACCAAAACTCTCTAAATGCGCATTTATGCTCTTTTCTCTCGAGAACGACTGTCTCATTTTCACGATAACTTTTATTTAGTACTTCTAACATATAAGATCTATTTTTCCCCATCAAGGTATGATGTAAATGACATGCAATAGCACACATGTATAAAGATTCCTAAATTATGTTCATGCTATTGCCCCGAACCGGTCCGTCTTCTCGCTGCAAGCAGGGTGAAATTCTTTGTCACAAAGTTAGGCATTTTTTATAAAATCAAACGCGCGTCATTGAAACTCACAAGATGTAAATAGCATGTCATTTACATCATACCTTGATGGGGAAAAATAGATCTTATATGTTAGAAGTACTAAATAAAAGTTATCGTAAAAATGAGACAGTCGTTCTCGAGAGAAAAGAGCATAAATGCGCATTTAGAGAGTTTTGGTCCGTTTAAAAATCTGTAAAAAATTGGGGTACTTAAAAGCATCGGGAGGCATCATATATTTCAAATTAGACACGAGGAAGTCTATATTGAGCAAGTTATGGCTGTTTTAAATTCAAATAAAACCGTTAACCCGTACCGGTCCAGCTTTTGACCCGTACCGGTCAATTTTCGTTAGCTGCGTATACCAAGGGTGGTGCTGTGCTGTCCAAAATGCTGGTGTTTTCCAGTAGAAATAGAAATGCACAGCGACAAAAGAAACTAACAAGAACACAAATGTGTACAAAATGTCCCCACCAATGGGTGATCCCATGAAATGGTTATCCTGAAAATGAGTAGACAAGACTTTACCAACACAATTTTAATTGATCCGTCACACAGTTAACTAGAAAACATGTAAACAAGACTTTACAGACAAGATTTTAGGATGGTAAATCCAAAATGGCTGCCTTGGTATCTGTTCCTAGATTTTCAAACTAAGAATCATCCCTGAAAATTTGAAATTGATCTACCAAACGGTTCACCTAAAAACGCGTAGACAAGACTTTACAGGCAAGATTTTAAGACGGAAAATCCAAAATGGCTGCCTTGACATTTATCCAGAATGCCAAAAAACTAATCAGATCTAGATTTTCATACTAAGAATCATCCCTAAAAATTTGAAATTGATCTACATAACGGTTCACCTGGAAATGCATAGACAAGACTTTACAGACAAGATTTTAGGACAGAAAATCCAAAATGGCTGCCTTGACATTTGCCCAGAATGCCAAAAAACTAATCAGGACTACATTTTCATACTAAGAATCATCTCTGAAAATTTGAAATTGATCTACCAAACGGTTCACCTGAAAACGCGTAGACAAGACTTTACAGACAAGATTTTAGGACGGAAAATCCAAAATGGCTGCCTTGACATTTACCCAGAATGCCAAAAAACAAATCAGATCTAGATTTTTATACTAAGAATCATCCCTGAAAATTTGAAATTGATCCACCAAACGGTTCACCTGAAAACACGTAGACAAGACTTCACAGACAAGATTTTAGGACGGAAAAATCCAAAATGGCCGACAATAAAAAAGTGATTATGTGTTTTTGCTGATTTCTTCTTACAAAATTATCACATATTACTACTGTTAACAATAACATAGGCTTTTACAACAAAGTAGATCTGAAATTATTTATAATGCTACTAAATAGTTAAAGTATGAAAACTCAAAAACACCATTCAATATGATACAAAGTATTATCGTGCGCTAACTTTTCTTAAGACATTCAAAATGGCTGACATGACTGAGCTAACAGGTCCAAAACCTAATCAGATCTAGAATGAAGTGAGCTGAACAAGATGTTAAAGTTTTAAAAGCAACTGTGAAGCCGTTTTTGTTAAAGTTTGCAGACAAGGATTTTAGCATTTGACTTCAAAATGGCCGACAGGAAGTAGGTATCGAGTTAAAATTTTTTCATCCACATCTGTATGCACTCATAAGTTATCCCTGAAAATTTGAAGGTGATATCTGTAGCGGTTTTGGAGAAAACTCCCGGACGTACGGACGGACAGACGGACGGACGGACAGACGGACGCGCCTAGGCCGACAATATGGCCCCACACTATGTGGTGGGGCACTATGTGGTGGGGACATAATAAAAATGCTTACAAACTTAAAGCAGGTTAGTATTACCTAAATAAAGCATAAGAATAAGTGCAAGGATTTGGCTTGTCAATACCACAATAATGCAATAAGATTGCATTCTGGGATTGACAGCCCTGCTCATTTTAGTGCACAAACTCAAATGCAGAGGAGGTAAGCTGCTACCAGAATTCAGTTTTCAAAGGCCAAACAATGCTAGGGTTTTCCCCAAACACAATTCCCACTTCAAATGCATTGGACGTTTGAAAATTATGAATTTGAATAGGCCCCCTTTCTGTTAAATACAAGGAGTGCCCCAGAAGTTCAAAAAATAGAGAATCAAAAAACTTCTGGGGCAGCCCTCAGTTCTAAAACTGAAATGAACTATGTGCATTAACTGACCTTGAATGTTTTACTGGGTGTTTCCTCAAAACGTACATGATGCCTTACAGGGTGTTTTGTAACCTTAGACTGGTAAAGCATAAAGGCAAGCACATTATACAGAGGGAGATGACACAAACATATCAACATCAACCACAGAATAAACTCCAAAATAAAATTTTTCTTAAAATGGTAACTCATTAACAAGGAGCAAGGTTGTCTTCAATGTTATCCCAAAAGTACATTTTAGATTGACTCCCTTCACTAAAATTGTAATCCATAAATCATTGTTTTGAAAAATCACCGTACAAGTGTAAATCAATATATTGAACATGTCCCCTATGTCTTATATATAATTTGTAGTAAATCTTATTTTTCATTTTCTCATACAAATGAATTTTGGAGTTTATTCAAAGTGATTAAATGGTGTGACAACCACAATGTCTTCATAGGAGTCAACCCATTTGTGAGTCACAATACATCATACATGGGTGACAGACACAAAATGAATAGAAATGGTATGAATGAATAACTATAAAATCAGATGACATCAGATTTGGATTTGAAAGATTACATTCAGAGTGAAATGATAAGACACAGACATGCAAAATGAAAGAATTCTGACAAACATGCTAAATGTAAATCATTCAAACACCACCAATACATTCAATGATGAAATAGAGATGCTACCATAACCTTATAAATAAAGTATATGCCCAATCCATAGCAATATTTTATGTGGTGTAAATGCTTAGCTTTAAATTGTACCAACACCTTCATTCTTTATAACAACCCCTTTTAAATATTGTTATGTTAATAAAATCAGTGAAGATGATCTCAATGCGTGTGAAAGTTATTTCAAGTAATTTATTTTAGTAACTCACCTTTACTTTAGACCGCGGGGAACTAGGAAAAGCAAAGGCGTCATTCAAATCTTGGGTATCATGAAGTGTATCTTTGAGAATGGATGGTGGAGAAAATACCAAACTGGAATCTCCGATCAAGGATTTACTCTAAAAGCAGCAAAAATACATAAAAATTGTGTTCAACACATTGTTTCAGATTTTGGAGGGATAATTTGGTGAGAATGAAGAAACATGAATTAATTTAATTAAAGAATGAAGTTATTGGCCACAGCTTGTCATGTCTCACTCTATATGCATGATTATTTGTTTTTTCAAAATTCAAAAAGCTGTGAAAACTAAAATGAATTCTCTTGTATCTCATAAAATTACAATTAAAACACAAACTAATTTTAATGCACAATAACTTACAGGAGTCTCAGGCATCAGAATCAGTCCATTATGTGTGAGCTGAGTTATTTGTGCCTGTCCAAAGTGCACCTCACCAGGGGTGGACCATTTGTTATCTAGGGACTTACGCGCCTTTTTCATTGGGGAATTCTGAAAAATATAATGTAAAATCTTCCTATGAATGCACGTCCACTGAATATTAGTTTATCAAATCTTATTTACCATTTTTCTGAATTATTTTTTGCTGACATGAAAATTATTGTGATAGGTATAAATTAAATTCATGTTTTTCTACAGTGTGCAGTACTGTCAGTGTTTATTCTTGGAGCAAGTAGACTACATAGAGTAAACAATATTGAAAACAATGAAAGGTTACAAATAAAAAGGTATGGAATTCATGAATTGAAACTTAAAAGAAGAGCTTACAGAGTCCAAAAATTGTCATAATTTTGGATACCTCCGAGTCTTAAATCTTCAACAGCTTCATCATATGATCAAGAATATCTGATATATTTCAGAAAACAAAATTACGATTGTTAAGAAAACATGCTTTTTGAAAAGATTGCTCCCAACATTTTAGCATACTAGTGTTAACTGCTACTTTAAACAACCAAAAGCGAATTATCAATTACCTCTTTATTGAAAATTTTTCTTTTCAAAGTGCCAATTTCTTGTCTGTCGGTAGAACTTTGGAAGAGGCTTTCAACATTAGGTGCCATATCTTCTTCTATAACAGCGTCAAGGTCATCTAGGTTTGCTGATACCTACACAATGAAACAAACAAATAAACGTAATATAATCACCTACACAATGAAACAAACAAACATAATATAATCACCTACACAATGAAACAAACAAACAAACGTAATGTAGTCACCTACCCAATGAAACAAACAACTATACAGAATTAAGCTGAGAAAAACATACAAATATGTCTGGAACCATAGTTGAAAATAGCTTTTGTCTAAAATTAAGTTCCACTGTCTAAATTTTAAGAGCATTTGGACATATATCTATCGAACATTGTATATTTTGATTATATCTATTAACTGTCTGATAACTATATTCATCTACCGGGATAGCCAGATAAATGTAGAAATGTATGTAGAAATCTATTTCAAACAAGTTGCAAGTGTACTTACTGGTTTCAATGCACCATTTTTCTTTTCCAGTTCTGCCATGGCATTCTTGAAGGGGGTTGGTGTCCTGGGAGTCAGTTCCAACAGTGAACGCCTTATTGTCTTTGGGGTCACAAATGGTTTTCCATCACTGAAAAACATAAAAACAAATTCCTGTTTGATTCAAATAATATGTTATAGGGAAAAATAAATGATTTTCCTTGGTTTCAACCCACACAAAAGCTTTAGTTTTGTTTAGCAAATATGAACCACTAATCCAGAATAAACACAGTATCAGAATAAAAATGTCAACCTTTACCTAGTTTGTCAGTGTTTGAATGTCTAACTAGGTGCCAATGAATAAGTTCAACCTTAATGTTTTAAGGTAGTTTTGCACTTTCACAAAAAATTGAAAAATATATTTTGAGGAAATGCCATTTCAATTCTAATTCATTGAGGCATGTAATATGTAAATATACCCACAAAGAAATGTGAGTAGTATAAGATTTACCATTTCATCATGCACATCTGCATTACTACCTACCTGTCAGTTACTTGCGTGCTAGCTTGTGGTTCCTGTTTGACAGGTTGTGGGGTGATAGCTTGTCTCGGCTGACACACAGGAGTAGAGGTCAGAGTCCCATCTCCAAGTGGTATACCTGGACTGTTCAGGAACTAAAACAGAACAGTGGATGACATTACAGAAAATAGCAGGTAAAAACACAGCCGAGGCATTGATGGTTACAAAACATAATCTCATTGAAGTTATTGCATTCAGTTGACAGTGAAATAATTTTTATGCAGATGTCAAATACAAACGCCAGTTCTTTACAAAAACAGTGGATAACATAGATGGTAAAAGGAAGTGAAAAATTACAAACTTCTTTGATTTTCATTTTTTCAGTTTTTAGAAAATTCAACAACCCATATTTTGCCAAATACATTGAAAGACGCAATTAAGACATTTGTAGTTTGTGAAATTATTTTAACCTCCATATGAGAAAAACGTTGGCCAAAGGGTGTCCAATATTTCTCATACCTGTGATGGTGAAAATGGCAGTCCTTTGATTGGAGTTCCTTTTGGGGTTTTAGGCAGTTCTCCAATAGTTCCATCAACTCTGTCAAAATCTTGTTCAGATTTAATTTCTGGGATTGGTTTCACATCCTCAATTTCTTCTTTAATAGTGCCCACCATAACAGGCATTTCTTTTCCATTACTTGGCGTCTCAAGGTCAGACTTGTTGCCAGATTCAGAATTCCGCCGACGCTTCCCACGACGTAAGATTGTTGGTGGGGTTGTGAGTTTTGATACCAAAGGAGATGTGATGCTGATGAGACAACCACCAGATTCATCTTTTAGAGAAGATATGGCGTGACCATCAAAACGATAACCTGGATGACATTCATTGAACGGGGGTTAAGTATTTTAAATGCATGGTGATTCAGTGGATTTCAACAGACCACAAACACTTAGCGATATCCTTTTTTCATAAGGATGTTTCTTATCATTTCTTATTATGACCAGTCAAGTTAACATCATTTACAGAGTACATTATAAAGTTTACAGACCTTTTGTGAAAACTTTTGTTATAGTGATATTTACATGTACAGTACATGCTGAAAATTTTAAATTCAATCTAAGGTTGTCTTCAGAATGTGTTGTTCAAGGTTTGAAAAGTAACTGATGAAAACTGAACAATCATCTGAATTTAAAGATATTTTCTTGATTATTTTTCAAACAGATGACAGACGATTGACAAACTGTATTGTTCTGTCTTACCTACTGAGCCCTGCTTCAGGCTACTAAACTTGATGGGGGTCATAGATTTACTGCCAGTCAGTAACTGGAATGTCGTCATATCTGTTTCCTGCTGTATCTGATTATACAGGTCTGGTATACACCTAAACAAAAAGCTATTCAATTAGCTAATGTATTTTTTATACAGGATGTCTGCTATATGGAAAAATGCAACAAATATAATGTAAGCTACACAAAACTAATAATTTCAGATTATCAGATTTAATTGCAAAAAAGTCAAATGGCAGACATTTTTGAAGTTTTTTCTTATACAAAAGCATATGTGAGATATCATATTTTGAGATTTTAATCTACATTTTCTATTTGGACTAAATAAAATCATTCAAACTCAAATCATAAACATACTTCAAAGGAGAGAGTAACCCATCAGTGTCCATCTGTAGCCATTTCTGTACACCAGGGGACATGCTATCTGAAGTCTTGGTCTGTTGATCATTGTAGTTCTGATACTGCTGGGCCTGTGGGGTATGTTGCTGCATAGTGTTGTCATAGCTAAAGCCGCCTGCGACTTTTGTTGTTTTCTCCCCATGCATCTGCTGCTGTTGCTGGCTTTGAGTATGGCTGCTCATTTGTGAACCCTTGAAAAGATATGCTCTATTAATAGTGATTTCTACTGAAGGCTTGTAAGATCTGAATCTAGGGCGATTTTAAAAAACATTTTTGTATGAAAAGTTCAATTTTGCGTTCCAAGTTTCTCACAAGATTTTTATGTAGAGAAAAGTCTTGGGGTTATTTTGAGCTAATTCTGATTTCCATTTCCATCATACACATCAAATATAGAGCATTAACATTGTGAAAATATGAATACACCTTACCTCTGCATGGTATTCATTCTGGAAGAGCCTCACTGGCTGTAAACCCTGCATACTATTTGGTTGACTTGGAGTGTATGCAGCATTAAATGGATATGCACCAGCATTTCTTTGTTTCTTGGATTCTATTTCTTCATTTTCATATTTCCGCCTCATTGTGGAATTCCAATGATTTTTTATGGCATTGTCAGTCCTGAAAATCAACAATGAATTTTTAATGATTTTCATTACATGCCTTTTTGCAAGACCTTTCTTTGATGTATTATCATTGAATAAGAATTTGGTATGTGCATAAATTATATGCATGATGTAAACTTATGTTGAAATCTGTCAATGTAATAATGTGCACAAAATTCAAAATTGAATCTCACCTTCCAGGAAGGTACTTTGCAATCTCCGCCCAGCGGTTGCCCATCTTCTTATGTAATGTGTAGATCAGTCTGTCCTCTTCTTCAGTCCAGGCTGTCTTCTTTATCTCTGGGTTCAGATGGTTGTGCCATCTAGGATTAAATGAATCAGTTGATGAATAATATCTTAGTTAATCAACCATTAGGAACGTAAGCAGATTAGTTTGTAAAGTTATGTTCATTGTACTTTTATTGCATGTCGTGATTTCAATTGGCAATAAAAATTAATTCTGGGATTAAATGAGGTGATTAACTTGAATATCAAACATTATATACTATTTATATACATGGTAGATGGTACATTTGGATACAGACATCATGCATGCACAAAATCATCTAGCACGCAACAGACCCAATGGCCAATATGCATGTACATGTCAATTTTCACATGGGTCAAGTCCACACTTTAACAGTTGAGTGTAAATGTAATAGTTTATATGTGATTAAATAATGTTGAACACTACTATGTGGGCTTGTTATCTGGATCAACAACCATGACAACTTCAGATCATAATACATGTAATCTGCTGTTTGCTTATCTGAAAGGGTTTGGCTGGAACATAATTAAAAACTTTCCCTGTAAGATAATCAAACAAGAATTTGAATATTTTGTTCAATCAAACCCTTATCAGCCATCACCAGGAATCTGATTCTGTGTTAATCAAAATCTTATACTGAATCCCATATCAGTCAAAATCTGTTATTGGACATATCATATCGGACATTTTCTCAGGAATCACTCACATAATAACATATGTAATTAATATTTCTTTACAAATAACTTCAAAATCTCTACCTTTCTCTACACTGTTTGCCAGTGCGTCCTTTCAGGTGTTTGGATATGAGGGTCCACCTCTTTGGTCCAAACTTCTGCACCAGTTGCAGAACTTTATCATCCTCCTGGAATATTTAGTTACGAGTCAATAAAGAAATATTACTATTGTTAAAAAAGTCCACTAGTAATCTCATTACTTCTGTTGTCTGTTATGACATTTGAGGAAAACCAGAAAAAGTCATGAACTGATATTTCATAAACCTAGAACACGTATTAATGATATCAGTCCATCTAATCTTAATAATATGGAAATAGTTAGAGCTGATTCCCATAAACACCTCGGTTTCACGTTTGATCCATGCTTAACACACAAGCACCATATAAGTAACATCTATGATAACGTAACAAAAATGTTGAATCCATTTAAAAAACTCAAAAACAAAATAGGATCTAGTCATTTGGAGACAATCTTCAACTCCTTCATATTGCCCCATTTTGATTATGGTACCATCATTTACAATAGTTCTTCCAAATGCTCGATAGATTATATTATAAAGCTGCTATCTACTGCTCAGGTTGTATTCACGGGAGCAGCACAGATAAAGTACTAATGCTACTTCAATGGCCATCTCTTGACACTAGAAGAAAAATGTTTATAAACAACTTTATGTACAAAATAGTACATGGTCCTAACCCTAAATTTCTTGATGACATATTTGATAAGTTCAAATAACCAGAAACTCGAAACTTGCGTAACACTGATGAGTTCATTATACCAAAATGCTCTGAACGGTACAGAAATTCAGCGGTACCCTCTGCAATCTCCAACTGGTTAGCCCTGCCAAATACATTAAAGAGTAAAGCTACTATCCAGAATTTCAAGAAACATCAAAAACTGCTTTTCAAAAATCCAATAAATGTCATCACAACCAGCAAACTGAACCTCACAAGGAGCCATGAGATAATAGTAAATAAATTCAGGGCCGACTTTTTATTTAAGGCCCAACTATATGCTCATAACTTTAGCAATATTGACAACCCAAACTGTTCATGTGGACATCCACAAACAGTTAAACACTTCTTTTTCCACTGTGCTCATTTGACACATGCCAGGGATGAATTTAATCAATACCTGAAAAACCTGGTCCCTGAAATTTTTGACAGGCAAATCTCTCAGCATAAATATCTTGAAGTTCTGAAATATGGCTCAACTGAAATCTCTATCGAACTTAATTCGAAAATGATGACCAGGCTAGCTTCCTTTATAAAAGCCAATATATGATTTTCCCTCCTTAAACATCTTTTATCTCCATTAACTGTTTCCCACGCCAAGCACCCCCCCCCCCACAACCCCAAAACTACTGTTAACATTGCTCCTTATATTATATTTCATTAAGTTCCATCAATTCTTCTATAATGCCATGCATGTATTTGGCGATTGAAGATTTTGTAAATGTTATGTAATGAATGAGGATAATTAATAAATAAATAAAAAAATAAAAAATGACATTTGAGGTAGCTTCTGAGTAAAAACATTTCAACAAAAAAAGTTGAAACTTTACCACAAATTGAACTGATTTTGCAGAAATGTCAGGCACAAGTTAAATTTTGAATTACCTCTTTTGTCCAAGGTCCCTTGATGAGCTCAGGGTTGAGGACCTTCTGCCATCTAGTCTGGCACTGTATATCAGACCTGTCTGAATAGTATTGGGAAATCATCTTCCAGTCTGAGTTAGGATTTGCTTCTAAGATTCTTCTCAATTTATCATCCTAGAAAGTAAGTGACATAGAGGTTTAGATTTTGTCAGCTTCCGACTACTGCGAGTATAATGAAACCATACTCTAATCCAGAAAAAAGAATCTCCAGTTCTCACGTACCACCATACCACACACCACAGTTATTTATTTTACATCTACTTTTACATTTAATGTAATTTCTCTTTGGACCTTAGTTGGTCAAGAAAGTATTATTTCACAAACCTTTAATTCCAATTTTTGTTTTAATTGTATGCTATGTCCTGTTAAGTTGCATTAATTTCATATCCTTGAAGTGAATACTTTATGGTTACTATAATCCAATTTGATCTTATATATACTCTTGTTTCAATCCAGCAATGAAAATAGTAGCTGAAATGGCTTACAAGAAAAATCCAGTGAACCCTTCCAGTTCCAAAGCCAGTTGATTTATGATGCGTTACTTGAAGTGTTCTGTTATATACTGGTATGCAATCAATGGCATGGCCAGACACATTAAGTCAGTTATCATGCAAATATCCTAATTAACACGACCTAATTACACAGCAATCTTGTCAACTTCAATCATAGAGATATACCTTTGATTTTACAGGGACCATCTCAACATGTAATCAAGTTTCATAGTATGCCCATATGTGTGTGATTAGTTAAAGGAAGTTTACTATCAACTATAATTTGATTATTATGAATAATTAAAATCTCTCATTTTCATAGGGCATTTATGACAAAAGCAGTGTCCTTTCAACTGGTGATGGACATGCATGTACTGTGTCAATACATTAAAAAAATTATATATACTGTTATACGAAAAGTTTGAATTGCTCCCTCATTTTAATTTCTTAATTTCCCTCTACTGCACTCATGAGGTTTGTGCATGTAACATGTAATTGTACCCTCAAGTCCCTATTTCCTCTGAAACAAAGACTACCTTCCCATCTGTTGGAATTTTCCAAGATGACCTCTGACATGCACAGTTCAAGTAAATATAAAGTTGAAAAAACACATGGTGAAATTAGAGAAAATTAGTGAAAAATTATCATAACCCCAGGAATCACTCATAGTTTTAATTACATACTGTTAAGAGTTTGATTTTGTTGAAAATGATTCACCAAAATGTTGAGAAATAATGAGGGTTATTACAGGTACATATACAGTTATAATTATCACCCTGTTTCAGTGAAATGGAATGAATAATTCCAGAAAATTGAAACAATTCACATATGGATCTGCACAGTTATGTTCTGTCGAGGTCACTCAACCAATCTGACAGTTTGACACTTGTATAGGATGACATCTGAGAAAGTTATGTTACGTGAACCATTGTCTTATACTAGGGGTGTTTTTATTAAATATACAAGTTATGTTTTTCAGCAGAACAACTGCGATATCTAAACAGCAAACTGAAAAGTTAATATGAAACACGAATATTTGATTGTTTTTAACTAAACCACTAAAGCAAAACAACATGGACTACATTTCATGTCAAGAACTTATTTAACAAATTATTGTTACAGAAGTTGAATGTTTTTATAGAATTGTTGCACAATTACAACATACATGCAGATGTTGGAAAACCGTTAATAAACTTTAGCCATTATGATGATTCTATTTGTTGACTGAAATATTTACCTAAGTAGAATTCCGCATATTATAAAACTGAATCCAGACCAAGCGAATTTTCCATTGTCGTTAAAACTTGAAATAAGTCGACTGCAGATGAATCAACTTCCCTAATGATCAATCAAATCTTAATCCCGACCATTTTGAAAAACCAGACAAAAGACTCATGGAAAGGCAGATGTAATTTTCCCAATTAAAACTGTGACAAATAACAATGCATTAATATCAAACCTATTCCCCCTGGGATTAAACCATCAAATTAATTGCCTCCGAATCAGAATAAAAACAAAGGAATATATGAGAATACCATCACATTGTTAATATTAATTTCATTTCTGATAATGTTTTATGCAAATATTGATCAGGTCTTGCACCTGCTGCTTTTGGTAACAGTAAACTCATGCAGCTTTCGCATAATTTTAAGGAGTATGATAACTCAAAGTTTATTTTCCTAAATCTTAATCATGGTCTTATGTCTGTAATGCATCAAACAAACATGAAATATCTATGCACCTGCATTGCATATGCTCATTTCAAACCTGTTTGAATCATGAATTTGACTGATCCATGCTGGACATTATGTATAAGTTGTTATAACAACTTAGAAAGTCTGCATGTATGCAAGCAAGTCCTCCCATCATGGACCATGTCTAATTGTCTATCCCAAACCATGACCCTTCCTTTAAGAGCCTTTAGTGAGTGAAAAATATAGTACATCACAAATTCTAAGAATAATTTCTGGCATAGCCAGGACTAAATATTTGAAGAGGCAAAAATAAATAGGCGAGTCAAATTTAAACCTGCACATCGCTCCAAAACGCAATATGTTGACATATATTGTTTTTACATTTTTAAGCTCTAATATAAAGTTTATGTAAATAAAAATTGTTTTTTTCTGCGTTATATCAAAGAACAATCATTTCGTTAAAAAAATAAAAAGGCGAATGCGGGATTCGAACCCGGGCCTCCCGCGTGCTAAGCGAGAATTGTACCGCTAGACTACCGTTTTATTATGAATGGTGGAGGTAATTAAACGCTACTTAATTTGAATGCTATGATTCGGAAGTGACGTCACGTTCTTCATTTAGAAACCTTTTCAAAATCATATCGTCGGCGCCGATCGAAGCAATTCAATGAATAATCTTTGAAATGACACATTTATCGTAAGTATTTCTACACAAGATTTGCCCCATTTGTTCATCATTCTATAATCTTTCATTAAGCTCAAAATGATAAAGTTCACCCCCGAAACAACCCAAGATTGCGTTTTGGAGCGATGTGCAGGTTTAAGCTAAAGGAGGTATATTACAACTTTTGGACTTTAGACTGAAATTATATGTTTCTCTAATATTTTGGTGACATAGTTGCCTCACCTGCCTACGCCCATCCGCATGTAATGAATTATATTTCAGAAAGTAATTTTTGCAATAGCATAAAACAAAATCAAATTTAAGTAATCCAAATTTTCAGTTAATTTCAGAAAAAAAACTAAGAGGCTAATAGGTTAATGCCAAAATTTAGATAATATATAACATCATATTTATAGATCATTAAATATGTCACCTCATAACATCTTAATAATATATTTCATTACAAGGGTCTGACTTGGATTTGATCAGAATATCACTGCTAACAAAACATTACTTGTTTTTACTAAAGCATTTGTTTGAGGAAGTTATTTGAGTCAATACTCTGACATATAAACATAATTTTCCTCCAAATCTTGAACAAACTTACAATGTTTGGATTTGTTAATAATGGATGAATCAGTACAATATTAAAGTGGACTTGTAACAAGATTACTTTTCTTAGTACTGCAATGTTTTAACCAAGATCATATATGGAAGGGTGATTAAAGTGGCATGGAGTTATATAAACTGATAATATAATATAATTATGCACTTTTTACTCCCAAGCCTAAAGTAAAGCTAGTTTAAAAACATATCAACTTATATGTGGTGAAACATTTTTATAACCAATGTGTTTAAAGTAAAATTCTTAAAACTGAAATTATACTGTGAAAATTCATATGAATTGAGATATTCTGTCTTCTTTTGAGCAAGTTGAAACTGTCAGATGACAAAAATCTATGAGAACATGAGCAGAACTTATTTGACGTTTGAAACAATTCTTACCTCTTCTTTGGTCCAGCGACCTTTATTGATGAACTTTTTCCCTCGAACTTTGGGTAGATTATAATCATGGTCTACATGATCTGTATCATCCGAATCTGTGTCACTGTCGTAACTGTGTTGCAGTTGTCGGCGTCTGAAAAAGGATTTCAGGATAGTGAAAAGTTTTGTAATGTACTCCTTAGTGATATTTTTAGGTTACGTCATACAAAATCTGTATAATTCATACATGGAGTCATCATTATTTGTCTTTATGCCAAGTAAGATGGACCTCTAAACAGAAATAGATGTTTTCACCTGCAACCAAAAATCAGCATCATTCACCTGCTGAAGCCCTCCCCTTTTTCATGCGATCTGTCCATAATCTTTTTGAGGATCATTAAAGTACATAAACCCGAGGAGCTTAAGTTTTGATAACTGAGCTACGGTCATCAAGGTGTGACCAAGATACCAAGGGCTCTGGTAAGGCTTTAAGATGATGGTGTAGCACCACAGCCTATTCAGCTTCATCCACAACATATTGACTAGCCAAGATTGTTGCCACAGTCTGAACTTGACTAACAGTAACACCCAATTAATAAAATGGATTACTGGAGAGAATATGAAGTACTTACTGATTAGTACTCACTTTATAAACTGGCACTTGATAAAACATTTTATTTCTTACATAGAACTAGGAACATTCAAAAAGGAACTAAGGAGTGGAAAAGCTAATATCGATTCAATTTGGATGTGACATTGCATAGATGATCATTATGATGTATCCTTCAATTCATCATATAATTATTGATACAAACATCATAAAAAAACATGGGTCAAATGACAATTCATTCAAATGTTCGGTTACTGATCATATGTCTTTCCCAGATCCACAAAACTCTGACAATAGAAATCTTAGTCCCACTGCCCTAACAATTCAAACCTATCCTACATCATGATGATATCATTTAAAATTAGTTGTTCCGGGTGAAAATCATTGTAGATTAGTCAATTTTTGCTGCAATTTTGGAAAGGTTTTAATTTTGACAGTAGGAAACTACTTTCACATTTAACAGCTTAGTAAGAAATTACAAGAACTCAGTATGCCTACTAAAGAAAAATATGTTGCTGATGAACAATTACAAATTATATAGGATTGGAGTAATTCCCAACCACTGAGGATATTGTAAATTATAGATTTGTAGAGTGATTCTGATGATACATCAATGTCTTAACAAAACATCAAGGTTTTAGTAAATCTGCTAAATATCACCTTTTCCTATCACATTTTCAATGTCTCATTCATTTGTTCATCTCGAATGTTCTGGTATGCTTTCACTTCAAAAATGTTTTAGCTTGTCAAAATGCACAAATGACCTCTACTTTTTACAGTTGTTTTTACACAGCATAAATATTACCAGAAGTATTACCTATTTGTTGCATTCAGTATTTTACTTTAGTGCACATAAGCTTCAGTTTCTAAAAAAGTTAGTGAACTGATGTGCATTGAAGTGTTTACTGCTAAAATTTGCCGATGCATCGATGTATGATCATGACAAATTGCAAAAACACTAAGGTGTGTGTTCAGCGAATAAAGTCTGTACATATCATGGGCATAGCGCTATATTTCAAAGTAGTATGCCACCACAGGAACAATAGTTGAGCGAAGCAAAAAACGATCGTTAAGGTACAGCTGGAAAGTAACATTTTGGTAAAAAATTGCTATACCTGCACATGTTATTTTCTGGTACAAAATAAAGTATGAAGGCATGTATCAATTTCCTTGCTTTTTTCAGGAAAGTATCATTACATTGTTTTCTTTTAGAATATCTGGTAGGCGTTCAAAGGGAACTCCAGGGAATTCTGATATTTCACACTTCCTGTTTTTCCAAATTTTCTTTCAAAGTTTCCAGACAACACAGGAGCTACCATTGACCTGTTTCCAGGTTTACTAAATGTAGACAGTGTAATGATACTTTCCTGAAAAAAGCAAGGAAATACACACATGCCTTCATACTTAATTATGTACCAGAAAATAACATGTGCAGGTATAGCAATTTTTTACCAAAATGTTACTTTCCAGCTGAACCTTAAGGTACAGCTGGAAAGTAACATTTTGGTAAAAAATTGCTATACCTGCACATGTTATTTTCTGGTACAAAATAAAGTATGAAGGCATGTATCAATTTCCTTGCTTTTTTCAGGAAAGTATCATTACATTGTCTTCTTTTAGAATATCTGGTAGGCGTTCAAAGGGAACTCCAGGGAATTCTGATATTTCACACTTCCTGTTTTTCCAAATTTTCTTTCAAAGTTTCCAGACAACACAGGAGCTACCATTGACCTGTTTCCAGGTTTACTAAAAGTAGACAGTGTAATGATACTTTCCTGAAAAAAGCAAGGAAATACACACATGCCTTCATACTTAATTATGTACCAGAAAATAACATGTGCAGGTATAGCAATTTTTTACCAAAATGTCACTTTCCAGCTGAACCTTAAGGGGTTTGGGGGTTCTCCCCCGGGAAAATTTTGAAATTTGGTTGTATCATGGGCTTGTATTTAGAGCGAATTTGCAACCATCTGGTACGCCTGTGCGTACCCAGCGTACCGGGCGCTACGCCTATGCATATTTTGACACACGGCTGATGTGTGTAAGCTCGGCTATGGCCTACAGTACTTCAGAAAGCAGGTTCTCAAAAGGTGAATTTATATTGCTCTCGAGTCTTTCGAGGTATACTCTACATCGTATGTACACTGTTTTATTTCAAGATTTTTGCTATTATAGAGCTGTTGAGCCGTGAATATCAATAAGAATGCTGAGCTGAGTTGGTCACTCCTTCATTTCCTGAAAAATTGGCATGGCAACAACTTTTGGGGTGTTGTAAAAAATTTTAATACACTGACTTTCCAGCAATCCTCCGTTCTGCACATAAAAATTACATTATTTTTAGTAAACCTTGTTCAGGGATCAAAATGCCCTAAGTTATGACATTTGATGGCCTACCTGGCAGGTGTAACAACCAAAAATAGCATAATGTTGACAAATCTAAAAAAATTTGGCGGAACAATGAGTTGGCGAAAAAAGTTAAAACTCACCCAAAAAAAACCATGTCTGGACATTGTAAATCAAGTGCGAATGTGGGATTGGACCATCACCTCTCTTTCTCCGGAAAATCATGGATCGATCTCACGTATGTACTACGAAATGTCACTTTAACCACAGTATTTACATCTCGTAATCCAAAATGGCGATGGAGCCAGGCCAGTCGAAAATCCGCGCTCACCCCAACAATACGACTTCTGATTGGTCCAATTCTGAATGCGACCCAAGCGGATAAAAACTAAACTAAACCTTGCAATTGTGTTCGGGAATGGTTGTGCTCGGTTAAAGGGACTTGTTTCCTTGGAGCCACTCTGTAAAATTACGATTGCACCATGATGTCCAATCAAGATCATTCGAATATCTTTGTGATCTTGAGACGTATATGCTCCGTGTTATATGGGCATCCTAAGATGACAACGTCTACCACTGTCCAGGTCACCCTGTCCGGGTGTAAAAGGGTGGTCCTATAAAATTTTGGTCCCACTCTCTCTTGATTTACATGGTGACCTAAATACAATAATTTCCTTATTGTTTATACACAGTCAGGGCCAGTAAGGGCCATAAGAAAAGGGGACCATCATCCCCAGGGGACCATAATTTCTTTTCACGGGGACCACTGTCTCTGCGTCTCTGCCGCCATGACACTTCACATTCTAGAGACTATACTACCGTGGAATATTTGCACGTATTGCTGTCGGCTAGGCTTATACCGGCAAATTAAAGGCAGAATCAGATCTATAGGGGCATGGGCGTAGGCAGGGAGGGGGGTTATTTGGGCTCGTGTGACCCCCCCCCTTCGTTATCACGAACCCCCAAACTGGAACAACCCCTTTTAATGAAAGATCAATGAACCCCGTGCCGGTGTAAAAGAAATTATGGTCCCCTGGGGATTATGGCCCCCTTTCCTTACGGCCCTTACTTGCCCTGACTGTGTATAAATAACATAAGGAAACAAACTGTAATTAGGTCACCATATACCTACCCTTTTAAACCGGGACATCTCGGATTTCCAAGGTGTAATTAAAGTTTTCATTGATTGAAAATTAAACTGTGAAACGAGTAGGCCTATGGTGCACAAAAACTGAATCTTATACTGAATTTTAAACTGAATTTTATACTACCAGGTCAATAGGATGAGTGGGTTCGGAGGGTTCGTGCCCCCTCCAAATCTTGCCTAAAAATGCGAAGCCTCCCATCAAAATAGTAATTCATCGTTTTTTGATTACCTAAGATATTTGAGGTGGTTCGAAAAGTGTTTGTAAAGCCCGTTGTAAAGATTATTTTGAAAAGATGAAAAGATTGGAATACAGAAAATCGATGTATTTTGATTGGCGATAATAGGTTTGCACTTTTTAGGCCTGGAATACTGATTTAATACCTTCAAAATGAATTGAAGCGTACAAATAAAGCATATTAACCAATTAGCTGATTAATGATTGCGGAAAAACGTAGAAATGGTTTAATATTTATGATATAAATCTGGCACGATTTGAGTAAACTTCGAAAGATTTGAGCAGATTTGGCATTTGAGCAAATCTGGGCAAATCTAGCAAAATTTGTGAAAATTTGGCAAAATTTAAGCTTTGGTGAAATCAAGTAAGTGAGCAAATTTGGCAAAAGAGTAAATTTGGCATGTAAAATTGAGTAAAGGCATGAAAAGTTGACCTACCAATCTATTATCCTAAATAAAATATCTCCAAAAAGATTCACGATGTGGTATTAAATCCTTAAAGAAATAATGGATTCAAAGTGCACTAAAAATGGCATGGTGAAAAATGTGTTATAATTAGAATGGTAACCATTCTTATAGAAAAACAATACATTACTTGTATCGTAAAAATCTAAAATTCGTAAAAGTTTCCTGAAATAAAGTATGCACTTCAGGGAATTTTAGAAAATAGACATGACAAGAAATGATATGAGGCAGAAATATTCTAAAATTGTAATTAGGTCACCATATCCTAAAATTGAAACAATTTTTGTTGGCCTGCTCGCTAGATCTGATTCTCTCTTAAAGTATAGGCCGATACGTCTCTGATACAGGGTGTACAAAAAAACGTTCCCTACCTAACAGTAAATATCTCCTTACAACCAACAATGTTTGATAAAAGAAAGCAATTAATGTTAGTTTAATGTTCTTTAAATTGACAACGTTTCTCCACTATAGAAAGTGTATGGCCCATTTGCTGGCCATTCAAATCTCCAAATGGGCACCACGTCTCTGAACTTGATAAACTTGCAATGACGTTTGGTTTAGCGATGATGGTCACGTTAATAGCAAGAGCTTTGTTTTTTTGGTAATCCTGTTGTCCTGATGAAGTGGCCAAGAGACCACTTCATTGTGCCAGATGCACTGTATAGTGTGCTTTGAATAAAAATGGAATCATTAGGCCCAGTACTCCATTGAAAGAGGAAGGGCAAAGTGAACCATAAACACAGAGCGCTGCTATAATGTTTTGCTATAGTTTTAGAGGGTTCTTCAAAGAAATTGTGTTGATAAGGCATCCCAATCGTTTCAACAAAATGGAGTTACATCTGTCACACACAAGTTGAGGCAACTAACATCACCTTGAAGTGGCTTCAGAATCATTTTGAAGATCCACTCATCAGTCGTGGGACAGATAACAACTGGGCACCCTACTCACCAGACCTGAATCCCTCAGATTATTTTGTTCAAACTGTATATGTAGAGCCTTTTCAATATGGCAATGCATATCTATCCCGGGATATCTATATTGTAGACATCCATTGTATATATTATATTCTTCTCATATATTGTATATGGTAGACTATATACAAGTAGATCTTTTTTGCATTGGACAGATAATATTTTATTTTACTCACGCATCTGAACATATTTTAATTTGTCTTATCAGAAATACTAAAAACTATACAAACAATATGTAAATAGTTCTCTGTGTTCAAACCCAGTTACGATCTGACTCTTTAAAGTTAATATGCATCGAAGGGCATTCTGGGAAGGGCATAAACCGGTTCACTTTTCGGGGACTTTAAAAGGTGGTCGCCTTGGTATCAAATCAACATGGTAATTGAACTTCGAAGGGTTCATGTCCGGATTTGAAGATTCTTAACAGACTGATTGATTGCTAGCCTTGCCCCAAGTCGGTCTCTTTTACTTATCTTGATTTCTATTATGACCGCCGGTAATAATTCAAGATCAGATAAAGTAAAAAATACCGACTTGGGGCAAGCTCCTGCGAAATCATTCCCTCAAAAACAAATAACTCCCAGGTTTTAACTAGCTTTGTAAGCATTCTTTCGAGAAGAGGGTTGTAAAGAAAGATAAAAACTGTTTTGTGTTTGTATCGATTTGTTGAGGGTCGGCGGCATGGGGTTGGCGCTTTGTGTTCGGGATACAACAGATTCTGACCAATTTATTCAATTTGATAAATAATAAATAATAATCTCATGATATTATATCAGATATCTTCAAATGATATAATATTTCTTGAAATAATTAAAGATTCATCATTCAGGGCAATTTGGCAGTTTGAAATTAAAGTTCTTGAAATAAAGTTTATGACAATTTGAATTTCGCGGACTTTTTACAGATTAGTGACGTCATTTGTTGATGACTGGAAACGAGGCTTACTCAAAGATGGCTTCGCAAGATAATTGGTGGGCTAAGCCACTTCCACCGAACTGGGAGGCCAAATATGATGCCAATACTCAAAGACAGTAAGTTTTCTCGAAACACTATATATTTCTCTCAAATATGGCAATATCTTATACCAGTCAGTTATGAACTACATGGAAAATAACCTGTAATATTGCCTACACCAACTGAAAAATCAAATAAAAAATCCATAAAAAATTCCTTGCCATCTCAAAACAACAATGATGAAGTACTTCATTTGATAGATAATTGGTACTGCAATTATTAATACAAAAATATACATACCGATGCAATCAGAGTCATACAAGTCGAGAGAATTTTTACCTCTCCTAGATGTTTTGTTTGTGGATCTGCTATGTTTCTGAGACTGGTCAGGGGCGTAGCCAGGATTAGTGGCGGTAGTACGCGAGGCCGCAGGCCGAGCCAAACTAGGGGGGGTCCGGGGGCATGCTCCCCCGTAAAAATTTGGATTTTTGGGCTTATTTGGCGCGTTCTGAGCGATTCTAGGTGCTATTCTATAGTATTTAAAATAGTGTTTGAGTTGTCGTAAAAGATTTTCTCGTAGATTTCCAAGCCATGAACTCCAGGTACAAACAATAAAAGTAGAAAAACGTACGTAATTATTCATCTATTTCCATTTTGAAGTTTCTACAGCCGGGATCTACAGACCCTAGGACAATACCGAGTCGCTAACCCATGCTATGATAATTATTTGAAAAACACCTAAACGAGTTGTTTAGACTCGTTGTTTATGGTACCTTGTTCCCGGGACCTTGTTATTTAAAGGGTCCGAAACGTTTAACGTTACTTGTTTTGCGTAATTAAGACTTACAGTATCTTTAACTGCTTTGAGTTGTAACTTGTGATTTAAATCCTCTGGTGTCGATCGAGAATAATTGTACGTACTTTTAAGTGTTAATCTATCTGATAAGTGATACAAATACTGTATCAATCTTCTTTATCTTAATCAATCTACGTTGTCATGTTGGCGTGAGAGTATGCTTGACGATCATCCATTCTCTCACTTATTGTATCGTTATTGAATACATTTGTATTGCATCTCTCACCTAGCAGTCTAAAAGCTTTTAAATTGTATCATTATTGAATACATTTATATTTCATCTCTCACCTTGTCTAAACGCTTTTGAATTGTATCATTATTGACTACATATTATATTTCATCTCTCACCTAGTCTAAACGCTTTTGAATTGTATTGAAGGGAAGGGGACGAGCAGTAAGTTTACCTTCATTTAACCTTCTTCAGGTCTGATTTGAAACAAAAAATTAACTGTACAGCTGTACAATATCGTCACTGCGAAATTTACAAAACAAAAACAAGTTTGTTTATTTTGCAAATAATATTAAAATAAGAGCTGATTTTCGAGACTTGAAAAAATGTGACGCTACGATTTTTCACCCCAAATTCCATACATATCAATTTTTACTAACGCCATAAGTGGATATCTTGACCGTTTTTCAAAATTCAATAACATTTTAGAAATATTATCCTCGAGATCTTGCTACCCTGTGAATTTTATCATGATTAAATAAGGATAAAGTATTTCATTTTTCGGTTGATTTAACTTTTAAAAAACGTGACGCTTGTCGTTTTGACGTTGTAAGGCTGTTTGCGCCCTATTGTTTTGTTCTGGTATTTTGACGCAATAATGTTACGCTAATGCATTGTCCCCATTTTCGTGCGACGTGTATTACCCGTTTTCAACATAGTTGCAGACAACGGAGAAAAGTGCACCCTCGTTAGAATGATATGATCTGGGGATATGACGGGAACACGCAGTCCATCCTCACAATAGCCCAAAAAAGATGTTTGCATTGGGTTCAAAGGCAGACTGGGCTTAAATAAACTCTGATCACTTGTTTGACAATTAAAAACATAACAACATAACAACACTGTTGGATTAAATAAATGATTTATTTCAATTTGCACTTTTGGTTTCTGACTCTCAATAGTACGCGGCTGCGTATTCTGCGTATATGTGGCTACGCCCCTGCTGGTCTTGTTGGTGTTGCAATGTTGTTATGTTGTGGTTCAGCTTCAGGTTTGCTTGCATCTTGATTCTGGATGAATTGTCTCGTTTGGTTCTGCAACCCGTGTGTGATTTTGGGTAGCCTTTGTTCGGCGGCTTTCTGAAATCTTTGCTGGTGTCTGGTTTTCGGTTCTGCTGATTGTCTGTGATTTTAGACGTTTCAGACGTAATGTATCAAAAACCTCTCATTAAACTGACTTTCAAATACTTCAGAGACCGAAATTTGAGATTTCAAGGAATACTTTTCAAGAAAATATGGGTTCAAATGCCAAAATAACTGATTCATGGATATATATCATTTTGAAAATTGGAAGCAAGAAATATTTTGTCGAGGCCATGTTTTTTTACGTGTCATAACAGGAAATAGATTATCTAGTAAATGAAAACTGGATTTATATCAATAAACCTGATTTTGGCTTAGAATATTTACTTAAATATGTATTTTAATATTATTAAAATGATTATTGACTATTTTTTTTATTAATCTTATGCGGTGATTCGACTGTTTTCTATAATTCATAATATAGCTTAAAATTTGCTTGTTTAAATTAACTTGTCTCTATGGCCTAATGGATAAAGCCGCTGGACTTCTGCAGTTTTGGTGGTTTGAATCCAGTTGATCCCAAGTGTAATGACCATATAATAGTCTCAGATATTCTGAGAAACTAGGTTTGACACAGGATAACATGGATAGCATGGTTGATTCATTGCAAGAATTTTTTTATTTATTTATTAAGAAACACTATTTATATCAGTGGTACTCTTGATGCTGGTACATCTAAGGCCATGGATTCCTGCATTTGACATGGCTTTACAAGGGTACTATAAGTTAAAGTACAACAAATTTACTAAACATTTGTTTCGCATTTTTAAAATGTTATAGAATCAGAAAATGTTTTTCAGTAGTAATTTGCTTAATAGCTACCCTTTGCATTCGTTTGACTTCACTTCTTAAAAGAGAGCTTCGTCTTCACTCTTCCAAACTAAAATAAACCTGTGAACTCACCGTGCCAATCAGTGTTCGTCGGCCAAATTTGACCGACGTTCTTTATATGGTTATTCCTTCTGACGTCATCGTTGAGCCCGGAATTGACCAAGGACATGCGCATATTTAATTAGAATGCATTTGGCGCATGTTTCTTCAAGCTCGCTGATTGGTGGAAGGTCGGCGCGTAGGTCAAAAGTGATTTACCCAAATTGTCACCGGTACCCGTCGTGGGGGCGGGGCTACTAAACTGTAATATGGTCTCTACTAGGCAGAGTGTAGTTTAACTAGACTCTGCATGCAGGGTACTTAATAGCTATGACACTAGTATCTTTAAAATGATTTACATGGAACAATATAACCAGCTCTCTTATTTCTATTGCAGTTTCTACATAGACCACACAACACATAAAACAACCTGGGAAGACCCTAGAAAAGAGTACTACGAGAAACAAAAATCATCTGGAACTCCCTTATGTACAGCATGTGGTGTAAAAAAGGTATGGATAATTCATCAAGTTTTCACTATTTTAAAGCGTTTCTTTGACATTTCAAATGACAAGGATCTTCAAAGTAAAACAGACAAATATTAAACACATATGGCACATTAAGACCAGGCCTGCAGGGGATCATTAAACAATGATGCCAGATTTACATGTTTTATGCGTATTACGGGTGTATCATTATGAATGCTTCATTTGGTTCATTATCACTTAAGTGCTTAATACTAGAGTGCTCTTTTTAGTACATGTTTATCTATTACACAAGATAGATGCTTTTGAAAGAATAGAATTTTTGACAAGAATTAACAATAAGCCTATAAAATTATTAATTATTGCGAATTTTTCAAATGTCAAAAAATGGCGCTAGCTATGCATATATTTGTTACCTCAATCGATTCTAAACATCAACGGAAACATTCTCCCAATACATCATATAGCAAAAAAGATGTGGTTGTCTCTAATTGCAGTATTATACTCTTCAATCTTTTAATCGACCAGTATTTTAAGATGTCCGCCATAAGAGGCCATGAACATTTCATCCAGTGCTCACATTCCCACATCTCTTCATTACCGGGAACATAATAAATGTAATTTAGTCTAGAAGTGACATCATTATAAGTCCATGTGTCCATAGTAGAGAGTTTATTATGTTCTAGGGGACTGAATCAGTAGTGCAGGGACAGTGGAATCACTAATGATTTTCAAATGGACGGAACAATGATGAATTATTTACGTCTATTATACACCTCCATAATTTGTTTTTCAGGTACAGGTTCAAGGGGAACAGTGCTGGAACTGTAGGATTACCAATGAGTTTCAAATAGACAGAACAGCAGGGGATGAAAGTGAAAGTGATGTAAGTACATACAGTGCAAGTCTATCTCAAGAGGAGTTAGTTCCCACTATAGTTTGGTAATCATATTTTGACTGCCATTGACAAATAGGGTGATATTATTGCCATGGTATGTGTCCCAAATAAATGTTTTATCTGAAGATAATCATCATATTAATATCATATTTGTCAACACGAGTCAAAAGAATACTGAGAGCCAATTTTCCTTGGGGGCGCCACAGTCTAAAAGCCTAGCGATAGCCCTGGATGCATTGCATATTCCATAATACTGTGTTTAAAGGAGCTTTGACATCTTCTTCACTGAATGTTACATGTTATTGCTAACATGTAAGTGGAAACAGAAAGTTGTTTGCTGAGTATAAAGATTACTGTGATTCTGTCTCTTATTTAAGTCTCAGTTTAGTTAGGCATGTGCTTAAACATTTGTTGATCACTTCTAGCCACCTTTTTAACACAAACTTTAAAGTAATTACATGTACATGTATAAGAAAATAGGATAACAGTTGGTGATTTATGTAACCTGGTCATGGATCAAATATATATCCTATCATTCATATGTCTCCAGGATGGCAGTCTTGGTCTAGCAACAGTCGATCAGGAGATGTTGCAGAAATTAAAGGAAATGTTTCCATCAGTCGGAGAGCCAGTTATAGCAGCAGCTTTAGAGAAGTATGTATGCATTGATATATAGCTTGTTAAAAACTGGTCAAAAATATTATCCAAATATTAAATTAGTGGCTGACTGGGTGCAGGGTAATGGTTTGCATAGGAATGGTCACATGGGTGCAAGTTAATTTTCAAAATTTGAACTGGATGCAGGCTTCACTTGTTTCAGTGCTTGAGAGACAGCTGTTAAGTATTCCAGCTCTTCAGTCTTTACTTGTAAAAATGTGATTATCATGCATGACATATAATATCACGATTCGCTATATGCATATTTTATTCTCATTCAATGCTATCAAGATTTTGATGCATACAAGTACAGTATATAGACATAGGAATAACAGTTGCTAGTATGTTCAGATAATACACCTATTAATGCATACATTCCTTATTTCTAATAGGAATGCTAACGTTGAAGGCCTGGCAATCATGGATTTAACAGTGCAGGGGTATACCAAGAGTGTGGACCCTAAGATAGTTGAACGAAACAAGGCTGTACGGAGACTTAAGGCACTGTATCCATCAGCAGATGAATCTCTGGTTAAAGACATACTTGCAGGGTGAGAAATTTTGAATAAAGTGGCAATGGGAAGTATTTTGAGCAAATTTTGAACAAAGTGAAAGTCTCAGATGCTAACTGCTAACTGCCTCTTTTTGCCTTCATTACAGTGTAAACAATGATGAGAACAAAGCATCTGAAAAATTGAAGAAAATGTTTGAACCTGAACCTAAACCATCTAGTTCAAACCGTGCATCACCAGCTAGGGCATCTCCGAAAAGATCTGAACTCAGCCAAGCTGTAAAGACACATTGTAAGTATTAAGTATTAATTTTATAGTATTACTTATATGCGCTGCATATTATACAGATGTTGTGTGGGTCAACACTAGCAGGGTATGGTTGGTTCCTGATTCTTTATGTCACACTTTGGGTCAGGTGAAGTAAAAAGTGACAATCAGTTGTAAAGTTTTAGGTTCAACTTAGAAAACTATTGACCTATACTTAACTGAAATTCGAAAAATTGGCTGCTACTTTAAATATCAGGGTGATAAAGAGTTGCACTTTGTAGTTGTTCAAATAATAATACAGTATTCATATATCAGGACCAATAATCATTGTAAGACATCAGAGAGTCAATAAATGCCATATGTACGAGTACAAGGGTTGATAGGAATTCCTTTGTAGTGATTGGGCCTTGATGTATTTCTTGTATAAATACTTGTAAATGAAATAAGATAATTCCTTTGTTCTATAGTGCAAGAAAAGATGCAACAAGAGTTCTCCACACAGGCCAAGACAGTGATTGAAATGGCCCTTGATGCCTGTCAGTTTGATGAGACTAAAACACGCCATCTTCTTGAGAGCATGTCTTCACCTACTCGTGAAGTGTAAATATTGTTTAACATTAATTAATAAGTCCCTTTTGTAATCACCAGTATTAGGTAGAAAGAGTAATCCAGAATATAGTAATTTTCCCGTGCTACTCTTCGTACTTCACTTTTCGGGAGTTCTGGAAAGTTCATGAAATACAATCGCTGCAAAATTCCAATAGTTCTAATTTGCAAAATACAATATTTGCGAAATTCCCAGGTTTTCATTTTACTCAGTGTTGACAGTATTTTCTCATAGTGCTGGGCGACAAAAGTGAGGTATCTTTAAAATAATTAATTTCCATAAACATTTCAATCAAAATAAACCTCCTAACAAGCTAGCTTCAGGTTGTAACAAAAGCTTTGAGTGAGGAGAGTATCAGCATTGCTGTCATTGAAGTCCAAAGGGTGATATAGCAAGACAAAGACATTTTCAAAAAATTCAAGAAAGGACTGGAAACGTTTTTGATAAGTGACAAATTCGAGAAAATTAATTGCCACAAATATTTCAAAATCACAAAAATGTGAAATATGACAGCATCGTATGTTAGTGTGAGTACAGTCTGCTGTTGTTCTGGATCAATGAAACCCAGATGTTGATATGCTTGATCATTAGCAAAAGATCCATCAATTGAAACATTTTCTTAATAAGAAACACTAATAGATACTTTTATGAAAATAATGTGACTACCCTGCTTAATCATGACTAGAATTGTTGCTCTCTGAAATACATTAATTTCAAATAGTGCAATGAATGATTTGATAGATACTGTATGTAAATGACTTCATATTTGCTTGCTTTATTTTAGATCTGCTAGCTCAGAAGCCAGCTCTAGACCACTTACAGGTAGGTTTGTGTGTGTTGGGGGAGTTAATATATCCAAGATGTATATTCTTTCTTCATTAATTTTCAACTGATTGAAATAGTTACAAACAGAAAGGTCCCTGAAAGACAAAAAATCCATTTAGAGTTTTTTTTTCTTGTTTATTATAAGGCAGGCTTTCACTTGCTAAAAGTAAGGGGGAAATTTATTAATTCCCCGCTTTTGCTTGTCCAGTGAATACCACCTGATCTTGTCATGTGACCCAGATTTGAGCATTCATTAAGTAACAAGCATGATAGTGACTGATCATTGTATTAAACATTTTTCAGGTGATGTCTCACTTTCAGAAGTGACATTTTCTGCAACTACTCCCAAAACATCAATTTCAAGGTAAGCTAGGGTTATTATAATTAGCTTATTTTGTCTATATTTAGTATATTTAACAGCTAGAATGGAGAATCGATTTCACCAGCTCAATTGAATGGCTTATAACTATTCTCAAAAGTATTTTTGTTTCATAATATAATGATATGTATATCACACAATCAATAGACATTTCCGTTATTACTGTAGCTTGAAAAAATGAAGAAAGTTAGCTTGTTGCTTTTAGTTTTCTTTTCCAATTTTGGAACTTGACTCAAGCTTTTAAAATTTTGGAAAAGAAGGTTAATGATCAAGTCTATCAATTTTGTAATAACATATCATTATGAATTACGAATATGTATTAGGGTTATTTAGAATGAAAATTACTGCAGTTAGCTGTTTGGTGCACCATTCAACTTATTTGTGTATCAAACACTGTTCAGTTGAACTTGGAATAACAATGAAATAAGTGTACTTATCCATTAACTCAATGTAAAAGAATCTGTATGCAGCACCTTTCAAAGAGAACACAATTTTGAGGGATTAAAAATGTCTCATATACACAGATTCCACTGCAATTTCAATTTATGTAAATCAGCATATTATGTTCTGTTGTAGCTCCACACCTGGTGCCTCAACCTCCACATCCAATAAGAGTAAGAGTAATAAGAGAGCCACCTCCCCAACCAAGAAAACAAACACAACCAAGGCTAAAGCTAAAACCAAGTGAGGCACATATTATATACATTTGCCTAGAATATGTATTCTTAAGTTACTTTAAACTTATAATTAAAACTGCAATACTTGTAAGAGGCCTAAGCAGTCTTTACTTAGCTAATCGTTTAGTACTGCTAATATACAGCTTCCTGGTCATCTCAACCCCAAGTCAACTCAACCCAGTAAAACTCAACCCCAAGTCAACTCAACCCCAAGTCAAGTCGACCCCTGTAAAACTCAACCCCAAGTCAACTCAACCCTGTAAAACTCAACCCCAGTAAAACTCAACCCCTGTATTTCTATATACCTGTATTGATAAACTTATAAGAAAGTTTATTTCATAAAAATAATTCTGATTATTCAGTTTGTGATTTTCATTCTTAGACCACTGCCTTTTTAGATTATAGTTAATAATGAGTTTATCTCCAAAATCTCAACATGGTACTAATAGGATTAAAATATGGGTCATTTTATTATCTTGCTAATACATTTGTTTTGTTGTAATCCCTATGAGGTTGACAATCGTGATTATTTGGAAAACTGGAACATGACCATTGCTTTCCAGGGGCATAGCCAGCTTTCAGTCAGGAGGGATGTGATCGCCCAAAAATCAGATTTTCAGTTAGGGGCTCGTGGCATAAGCGAGCCAAAAAAGATATGTTTTGACAAAATGATGCAACTTCCTTCAAAATTGGGGGAGGGTGTGTGCGCACCCCTCCTGGCTACACCTATATGCTTTCAGTCTATCAATTAGTAAATGTTAATGACTTTGTTAATGCATGTTCATATAAATAAAAAGTTATATAACATTGTTAATTATTTCTAAATTATCTAAAATTTGATTTCAAAAGATGTCTTCATTAAATAATAGTGACAACTTGATGAACTATCCTTGAGGTAACCGTTTATCATGCAAAATGCTAGATTTTCAGAAATGAATGACTTAACTTATTCATCATAAAAAAATTAAATTTGACATTGCACAAATGAATAGGGTTGAGTTTTACTGGGGTTGAGTTTTACAGGGTTGAGTTCACTTGGGGTTGAGTTTTACTGGGGTTGACTTGACTTGGGGTTGAGCTGACTTGGGGTTGAGTTGGACTGGGTTGAGATGACTTGGGGTTGAGATGACCTGTCACCTAATATACATACAATTTATAACATGACTGCCAGTGTACATACAACTTAATATTTCAGGACTGCCAATATGCATGTGCTGTAGATATACTTATTTTGACGCTACTTAATTTAGCGGATTTGCTCAATTTCAAATATTGGCGGCTATTTAATTTTGCGGAATCAGGACTGAGCTCAAGTTTTATCATAGATCTGGAAATAAACATTTCAAATTCATGTGTTCTGCTTTCAGTAAGTCTTGGCTATGTACTGACATCCAAATGGGAATACTTACACCAGTGAAACAATTGCAAATATCAAATTCTCTAGGGACTTTCCAAAATAGATCTGAAAATTGGCGGATTTTTCAATCCACCAATCCCTCAAATTAAAATGGTAGCCAAATTAAGTGTATCTACAGTATATACAATCTGATATTTCAGGACTGCCAATGTGCATATTACATACAATGTAATATTTCAGGACTGCCAATGTGCATACTACATACAATATTTCAGGACTGTGAATGTACATGTATATACAATCTGATATTTTAGGACTGCCAATGTTCATACACATGTAATCCCCAAGCAGAAAAGCCCAAAGAAGCATGCAACAACTGGACAGTATGTGTCAGCACTGAGAACCCATGCAGCTGGTCCTGATGGCAGCCTGGTGCAAGGGCATGATAAATCAAACCTTCTGTAAGTTAACTCTTTATGTTCTGTGATAGAATACCCAGTTTAATTTAACCTCACATGGCATCCTATACTAGTTCAAAAAAGTTATTTGTTCATATAAATCTGTAAAGTTGTGTTCGCTTTAACACTTAAAAGCTCTCCTAAGAATTATGCTTCTGGCAGATACTATAGAATTAGAAATCATTCAGTCATTCTGTATATAGTAATGTAAACATGAACAATGTAAAATAACAAAGAATGCTACTATAGAATAAAATGCCTCAGATGCACATGTCAAATGTGATATTTATAGAATGTAACAATGATTGAAACTAAAACAAGAATGATCCTATCTAACCCTATCAATCCACAAGTGTCCACCATAAGCATCCACTCCTGTCATGCCCCTCCAAGTGTCCATGGTGAACATCCGCTTCTGTTATGCCCCTCCAAGTGTCCACCATAAGCATCCACTTCTGTCATGCCCCTCCAAGTGTCCATTATAAGCATCCACTCCTGTCATGCCCCTCCAAGTGTCAACTATAAGCATCCACTCCTGTCATGCCCTTCCAAGTGTCCATCATAATCATCCACTCCTGTCATGCCCTTCCAAGTGTCCATCATAATCATCCACTCCTGTCATGCCCCTCCAAGTGTCCACCATAAGCATCCACTCCTGTCTTGCCCCTCCAAGTGTCCATCATAAGCATCCACTCCTGTCATGCCCTTCCAAGTGTCCATCATAATCATCCACTCCTGTCATGCCCCTCCAAGTGTCCACCATAAGCATTCACTCCTGTCTTGCCCCTCCAAGTGTCCATCATAAGCATCCACTCCTGTCATGCCCTTCCAAGTGTCCACTATAAGCATCCACTCCTGTCATTCCCTTCCAAGTGTCCATCATAAGCATCCACTCCTGTCATGCCCTTCCAAGTGTCCATCATAATCATCCACTCCTGTCATGCCCCTCCAAGTGTCCACCATAAGCATCCACTCCTGTCTTGCCCCTCCAAGTGTCCATCATAAGCATCCACTCCTGTCATGCCCTTCCAAGTGTCCATCATAATCATCCACTCCTGTCATGCCCTTCCAAGTGTCCATCATAATCATCCACTCCTGTCATGCCCTTCCAAGTGTCCATCATAATCATCCACTCCTGTCATGCCCTTCCAAGTGTACAACTGTCCATCATAAGCATCCACTCCTGTCATGCCCTTCCAAGTGTACAACTGTCCATCATAAGCATCCACTCCTGTCATGCCCCTCCATTATGGAGACCATATAATAATGGCACTAACATTTATATAAAGGTTAACACCAATGTATTGCAGTGACACCTATGTTCCTCAGTTTGGTCCACAGAAGGCCCACAGACATGGTCCTGACCCTAATTTACATAGTGGAGACAATGAGCACTCTGCATCTGAGGGACCAGACCACAAACTCTACCATGGACCAGATCATTCTCTCTACACAGGTCCAAATCCAGAGTTAGCTAAGGGACCCGGACACTACAATGAAGTATAGAACTCAGATCCGATATTCTCAGATTATGTCTTGGCTACATCCAAATCCAGAGTAATCTAAGATGGACATTGGCACTTCAAGAGAAGAGTACTGGTCCTCTTGATACTAGATTAGTATCAAGAGAGCCTTAATGTTGTAATTAGGTATCAGGATCTCCCCCTTGTTTGTTCATCTCATTGTTCAACTTATTTGAGTGTGATGTATTGGAATAATGGGTCAAAAGGGTTTGAAGCAAGACTAGTGAACTTCTAAATTTAACATCTATTGAACAACCCCTATTCACGGCCGCACATTAGTTTTCTAATGAACTGAAATACATATTTAAGTGATGGACTTCTCTGATATTCTCCACATTAAGTTATTACATGAATACTCCTAAAATTACATCTAAGGGGCCATATCACTACAAAGAAGTACTTAAACACAACTTGTCCAGTTAGTATAGTTTTTACCACTTTTTCAATCCACTGATATTATAATATTGTTAGTAGATACCTACTATATAGGGGGACTCAAGTATATTACAGTTTCCATTTTATAGTTCAGTTGTATTGTGCGACAGAAGATGATATTAGCAATTATATGTGACTGTACATATGTATGTTTTGTGCATCATATTTTATCCTTGTGCAATCTCATAAACCAGGTCACCTGAATTATATAATAATTATAATGTTATACATTTATAGTTAATATGTGGGGGCACTGGGGCAGTGGCCTACTTTTTAGCTTTCACCCCTATTTTTATTCGGAAATACTATTAAAGTATGTATCATTATTGTGTAATGTCTTGTGCATAATTCAAAAATCAATATACACATATGCTTGTGTGTCATTCATTTGTGTTCAAACTAATGTGTTATTAGTGTGTGTAGATTATTCTGTATGTAGAATATGTTATAATATAAGTCATGACTACATATTAATATAATATCTAACCTTCGATATATTCATCTACTTACTACAAAACACACTTATTTCTATTTTACACTTAATTTGCATTATTGATATTTGAGATTTGTGCATGGATCGCACCAAGGTTAAGTCGGGATCAGGTTATATTGTAACACTACGTATGTATTATGCAATTAGAGCAAAAATTTTCAAAAATATTACAGCTTTAATATATTATAAGTGGGAAGTTTCTTCCTTGAAGGTCTTTATCTCACATTCATTTATATGTCACTTTTTAGTTTTGAAGAACTAACTTTCGCAATGACCTCAGTAGACAGTGACCTTTTGACATCATTGAGGAACATTTTCTGATGGTATATGAATATATTGCCCTCCAACTTTTGAAAGGTTTGTTGTAGAATTGGTCTGTTTTATATATTTCCTCCGATCTTTCTAATGTTGTAAAAATTCAGAAGTTTTGAACTTTCTATTTCTAACTTTCTAAAATGCTGCTTTGTCTCCTTTGTTGATATTAGACATTTTATTTTCTTACTTTTGTAAATATAGTACTTTATAATGTAAACAAATAGTGTTCTTGCTAAAATGTGATATTCATCAATTTATTTATTTATTTAAAATATATATTATATAACGTAACATAATATTAGGTCTTCCTGTCTTTGTAAAACCTTTATAAATTAGAAAATAAAGGCACATATAAATTGAATCAGTTTGTTGTCTTCATAGGAATATTGTTGTTGTGATGAGTGATCATGAATTCTAATTTAAAAGAATATTCAAGTAAATTACTGTGAATAAAATAATGACAAAAGTCATTTGACATTTTGAGAAATTGAACACAAGTAAAAATAAAAAAAATTCAAAATTACAGTCCTAGTAGAGAATTGAACACAGGAAAGTGGTATTGCAAATAATCTACAACTTGATGAAAAAGATTCCATTCAAATAATAATTGCACATTTTCCTCCGATATACTCTATGTTCACTGTTCCACAACTAGTTACTTTGACGGAATGTCAATGTAACAAAATGGATGAACTTCCTGGATACGAGTTTTCAATTTGATTTTTAAATAAAGCTGTAATTCATGCATTTAGATCATCGCTTTTGTTACATTGACGTAAGTCATCAAAGTAACATACATTGGAAATATAATGGACTTTACGTCAATGTAACAAAAGCGAGGGACTAAATATATGAATTGCAACTTCATTTACAAAACAAATTCCAAATCGAAGAAACTTATTAAAACTAGACCATATTTTCTAGCTTTGTGCCAAATTATAAACTGCAACTTGACTTATTGTATGTTCAAATCGAGCAAACAAAAAACTGGTAACCAGGAAGTTTATCCATTTTGTTACATTGACGTTCCGTCAAAGTTACTAGTTATGGGAACAGTGATGTTGATATCTAGCATCAAGTTTTTGAATCTCTAGTAATACTATACAGTAAAACCTGTTTAATGAAACACCTTCGGTTCCTCAAAATAGTGTGTACTTTCGGAAGTTCATTTTCAATTGGAACTTTGAAGTTTTCCACTTTCAGATGTGTTCCACTTTACATGTTTCCTGTACTTAATGCATATTTATTTACACATATTGCTATTATTAACTATGACTTGCAGTACAATACTACATATGCATAAAGTCTCTTCAAACTCAACTCTGAATAGGTGAGCAGTGACTGGCATATAAGACAAACAAATATTTCATTCTGTTGAATGCAATGGAACATCAATTCTTAAAGTCGCACAAGAATTCCCCAAATGGAATGTGATATCGTACCAAGTACCTTCCAAGTGTGCTACAGGAATGAAATATTTGTTGTATCATTCAATGCTGTTTCTGTAACATACTGTTTTCATAATGCACACTGACTAAAATTCAAACTGCCAAAGCTGTGATCCGAAATGGATTGACAAAATAGTATTCCATTTGCTATTCATCAATGCTAATTATATAATCCAAGTTGATTTATCACAATTCAACCTAATCAAGGTTCAATGTTAATACTTATTTGTAATGACTGTCACTCTAGTTTTGATGCGTCTTAAGTCAAAACCAGTGTGTTGTTTCAGGTTAGTTGGCATAAATAGAAGGAAAAGGTAACTCTTTGGTAGGTTGAAGCCTGGAAAAAAGAATGAAAATTATTAATTCATATTTTATTAACTTTTACTTAGACAGTTTATAACCACCAAGACAATCAAGAGAGTTTACAATTCACCCAGAGTTTAACTATCTGTGGGAATGATAATGAAATGAAAGTTATGGTGACCTTGATGAAGAGCTCCGATGTAGAATGTCTTTCTTATTATATTTCTTTGACAGCTTTTGTCCATTTCCTTCAGTTTTAAAGAATTAAAAGCTCATTTAAATAAGAGACTATATACAATAATTTATAATATTGCAACTTCATTCATTAATAACATTTACCAATTTTCTTTGCTCCATTCTGTGTTTTTCTGTTCTATGACGTGGAATGTGTAGATGTGGCGGGAATTCTCTGAAGTATTAGCGTGACTTTTGTGAACAACAAGGCCGTCTATCAAGATGAGGTCCCCTAAAAAAGAATAAAAAATAAACTTAGTAGCAATATTTTTGTCTCAGGGGTTGATCTCAAGGCAAACTGCATTCTATTCAAATAAAAATCTGATTTTGCTGGCTCTAGTATCTATTATTATATATTATAAATCATAATGCCAGGTACAGAAAAAGTAGGAAACATAATTTAATAGACTAGATGCAAGTAGATATAACCTTGATTTACGTCATTAAATATTCAGAATTCAGTCAAAGTGATATCATATTTGAATCTACAAGTAAAAATACATCTAGATATATGGTTACAGAAATTGTTTATCAATATTGAAAATTAAGTTTTTTTTGAAAATGTAATTTCTAGTTCGGGGAGATTCCCCATAGAGCCCATGTTATAAAATCACAAAAGTTTAAATATCTTTTCTTGTAATGGACAGATAATATTTTCTTTAACTGGACATATTTTAATTTGCATAACTATTAGATACTGTATAAGGGTGATATGAAAATTGAACAGCTAAAACAGATGAATATTAAGTTAAAGGGAACTTTCTCCTATACCCGCCATGCTATCTGACCCGAACGAGCCACCTAGTGGTGAAACTGGTAACTACCTACTCGCATCTGAGTCATTGTCATGCATGGTTACAGATATAATCCTCATGAAAAACAACTATTTAAAGGGAATGCGAAGTTTTGTTCCTTAAACTTGATAATAAGTTAGAATAAAGATATATCTTTCAATCCAACTTAGTTTTATTGTTCTATCATTATCCTTTTAATTGTTATTGAGCCCCGGGTTTTGCATATGAACTGGACCACGGAGCTGCCATTTCAATCGTAAAGTGGTTCTTTACGACATTGTTATGACGTCATTGATGCCAGATTGATGCCTTGGCATTCCAAAAGTTTTGTGGCGCCATTTTTGAATCAGAAAATGAATGCCGAGTTGTTGCCATTCCAAAACCAAAGAAATCATTTCAAAGGAACTAAAATAATACGTATATACCACCCATAATAAAGAACGATTTCAACAGAATATTAACGCCGGTGTGAAAGAAATGATGGTCCCCCAGGGATTATGGTCCCCTTTCTTAACGGCCCTTACTGGCCCTGATTGCGTATAAGATAATGAGGAAAAGAGTTGTATTCAGGTCACCATATAAATCAATGGAGAGTAGGACCATAATTTGATAGGACCTCCTACCCTTTTACACCGGCATTTTCGGAATTGCTTTTTATCTATCCAGACATGGAATGCAGGTTAGATTTATTCTTTATTTACACTTGAAACAATCTGGGATTCGTGACGTTTTAACTTTTATTAGGTCTAGCGCTAAATGCGAACAGAGAATGCTAATTCTATCAGGCGAATGCAAACTATTTGAATAAAACATAATGAAAATTAATTCAACCAACCCATCTTGAATTTCCAAGAATGCAATGGTTTAATTTGCTAGTCTCATTACAAAAATACGTGTTCGTACTTTAATATCCATTTCAGTTTATCTTTAACACAGGTATTCAAAGAAATTAAAATATTTAAATTAAATTTTAAAACCGTATTCAATCACTATCATGGATTCTTAGCCTCACGTCACATTTTTACGGGGACCGTACGGTCTATCATTTCTGTGGTAAGTAGGATTTCTACGGTTGTCTAAGTATTTCTGCAGTCAGATAATTTAGCAGTCACATTTGCTAAGATAGCCGTACGGCGTATCTTGATTATGAGGAAAAACTACGATTCCCGTACGGCAGATAAACGATGACGCACGATCAGCGTAGGGCGGCCCTACGACGTGCGTAGTTTTTCTTGAATGTATCCACAGGGGGTTCTATGGTTCGGAAAGGTCAATTGTAACCTATGAAATCCAAGCGCAGCCGCAAGTCGACCGTGAATCCGACGTACGGCCGTCGTGAGACCTACGGTTTGGCTGCTGCTTGTTGATATCTATGGTGACCACAGGAAAGAAAAAGTTATAACTCCAACTCTACGCCTTGTAAAAACTGGATATATGTCGTGTACGTAGACAGCAAGGTGACCTTAAGTCGACTTTAGTTTTCCTATGTTTGCCGCAGAAATTTACTGATTTCAGGGACATACGATCGACGTGTGGTCGCATTGAACAAATGTGACTGAAGCTTTTAAAGTTCCACTTATTTTCCGGTATAGAAAAACAAAAGGTTGTATGCCATTAGATTGAAAATCATTATTTCGAAAATACTGTAGAACTGTACTTACCACGGATGTTATATAATTAAATTCGAGCTCGAAATCAGGAATTGTTTTTAACAAAAAATAAATATATGTAATAAAATAAATATTAAACTATTGGCGTACTATCAATACGGCAATTGCCTTATCGTCGTTGAAATGAAATATCATACTACAATCGACCCCATCCTCTCCCCGCATCACTGAATGTTATGAGCCTTCTCTTGTCATGATCCAAGGTGAAATACCATTGAATTTTGAAAAGCTTTTTTGTCATATCGAATGTCGCTACGGTGATATGATGATTGAAATTGGTCGTTTAACAACTGAGAAAAATTAAACATTACGTTTTATTCTTTGAAAATATGACAGTGACATGTCCTTGTAAAGCTATTGCCAATCTTGATATTTAGGAGATTGACATTTACATACGTATAATTTAGACGACATCGATTTTTCGTTTTTTGTTTGCGTTTTTCATCAGAATTTAAATGGCTTAACACTTTAGGGAGTTACTGTTTCATTGGATTACTACTTTTTGTTTTATTTCTTTCATTCTCCAATATGCACCTATTCATATTTGAATAGAATACTACAGATTGAAGAAATCTACCATTTATGATTAGGTAAGAAAGTTATTGCGGCAGTATGCCTATTTGCCGACGTATACCTTAAGGTTAATAATGATGTGCCATAAATGCTCATCAGCGCATTAATGAACATTAGCATAGATTTTGATATTTTAAATGGTATGTGGTGTATTTACATAAATATGGTAAATGCAACTATTTGTTGGATGCGTTTAGCCGATGATATAACTTACTTATTTTCACAACAAATACGCCAGCACATTAGCCACATTAATCTTAGTTAAATAAATCCCCATTGATGCACAGTAATGCATTTATGTGTAAATGCCATTTTGTATATTTTAATGCATTTACCTCATTTATTGGTTAAATATACAAGAAAGCATTTACAGGATTTGAACAGATTTATCCTTTTTGACCCAATGTTATCATTATATAAAATAATTCTAGTGGATATTTTCCAAGTGGAATATAATGCGATGACTTCCGAATCCAATATGATATATACTATCTCATTTTGGAGAAAATAAATACAAACATTTGTAAAAATACATTGCAACAATTCAATTTCTATGAAGAATATATTGAAACAACTTTTCCAAATATATGATATGATATGGACTTGAACATGCGGCAACAATGTTAAGCGGACAGAAATAGTTATAAAATATCAGTGAAATGTGTTCTATTTCTGCGATCCGAGTATGACGTGACATTTCCCAGGCATCAATTTTAAGGCATCAATGACGTCATTGATACATAACAATGGCGGCATCCGCAGCGATCCAGATATGGGTACTTTGAACTTGAATTATATGTTAGTTCAAACACGATATGTCCCATGAGTGAGTTGAAGTGATAGATGATGGTTATAAGTAGCCAGCGTGTAAATTAGAACATGAAACTTCGCATTCCCTTTAAATGACTTAAGTTCTGTAACTTGCCTTTTTTGATTGGCACTGGTACAAATTCTTTGGAGTCATACTCCCTACTGGCCCCTCCAATATATTTGGAACCTTGTCCATCTGGGGTTCGTACCATTCTCCTATTTTCATGTATTCCATCTGCAAGTGGAAACATAGTGTAATCAGGGCTGCAATCAATACCAAAAACTCATAACATGTATTCATACAGCTAATTCCTATTAGCTTGAATATTCCAGGCTTTCTAAAACTGAAAATGCAAAAAAATGATCTTACAAAATATTTGTAGTTTTTGACATAGACACGTTAGTCATAACATTTTATAATACAACACTAGGCTACGTCATGGACTTTCAATAGAGGCCCATGGCTATGTATATCATTTACAACTAATTTTCAGAAAGTGTCACTACAGTTGGCTAGTCCTAAACAGCTACATTACATGATAATCGATTAAGGTGGGCAGAGTAGAACAGGTTTTAGACACAAGTAATTAAATCAAGTAGCTCATTCTAATCTGTCTATTTTTAATATAGCACAGTACCTTTATGTGATCCAGGAATGAACCAAAGGCATCCATTGTCCAATGTAGCATCTTCCAGGGCTATCCAGATACCCATGACCTTCAGTGGGGTTGTATACAGGTAAGATGCATCTTGGTGTGGAGACACCTCACCTCCTATCCTTGGTTGCTATAGGAATAAAATATGGGTAGTGTAGAATATACCTTGAAATAATATCTTTTGGCAAATCCAATTTCCAACAAGAGATTCATAACAACTAATAAGGCTACAATGAACATATTTTTTTACCAACAAAATACCAAATATTATTTCAAATTTTAATTAAACTAAAAAAATCAATGTTACTTACCTTGAAAATATACATACTTTGGCACACTGCTGGATCTTCATATTGCAAATTCTTTAATATAGTCTAAAAGTACAAATAAATACATGCAAAGAGATTGTCAAAGAACATATACTTGCAGATACTGAATATGGGAACACATGAACATAACCATGGACCTATAAATAAATATAAGTTATGATGTCCAATTATCAACAGTTGTGGAAAGACATAGTGAATTTTGTTTTAACAGGATTTGAAAATGTTAATTTGCCTTTTAGTTGAAACTAACAAAATCATCATTTACCCCCTCCTCCTCAAGAAATACTTCATTCTACAAAAACGTCAATCCATTTCAAGCATTAAGGAGGTGGGGGGGGGGTAATAAAAGAGGGAACATATACATTGCTTCTAATTTCAAACTACATGTATACATGGTCATGTAACATGGTCATGTACTACCCAAATGCATCTTGTATATTGTCCCATTTATGGAAATTAATGCCTCACTATACTTCATACCTTTATAGTGTCACTGAATGTACACTTCTTGAATCCTGGGGCAAGCCAATAGAGAGCTGAAATATAAATCCTATCATCAAAGTTTGAGATGCAGAATTTGAGAAGTAAATCACTTGCTCTGTCTGTATTCTCCAATTAAATCCATCAATTGTTTTATTGGGATTAGAGCCATTCATAATAGCCCAATTTAAATCAGTTTATTATTATTCATTTCTCATTTTTAATAACACAATTTGAAACTTACCATGTCCTATTTTGTTTAAGGATTTCTGTTTATCAACCATCAATTCTCCTGAAGAAAACAAATATAGAAACATCAACATTATTAAATGTGGGGTGTCACTTAGAGTGTTGAAATATGTTGAAAATATGTTACTTTTAAAGCACCAAACAGGTTATCATCCTATATGGGTTTAGATACCACTAACAGTATATCTTCCATATTAGGATATGAAACATTGAATATGTTAATGTTAGATTGTTCTAAGCAGGTATATTTTTCAGAAATTATTGAAATGGGTCAAAGGTCAAACGTGTGGGGTCCACATTCCACAAGTCCGAATCAGGGCATTTGAGAAGCATTATTTTAAAGCGAGTACTAGTAGGATCCATGCATTCAATTACATGTACTTTATTAGTACCTCCTGTACAACTTAAGCATCTTTTATCTATAGAAATTTAGTAGGAAACAAATTGGACAACTAAATTAAGAGAGGACTTGGCAGAAGCAGTCTAGTGCAATTCATTTTGTATTAAATCATTTCATAGTTTACTGTAATAGCAATGCAGCGCTTGCATTAGGTTAGAAAATTTGTGAGTCCCAAGGACGCAATTTTTAAAAAAAAGTGTGTCCTTTGAAAAAAAGTGTTTCCCCTATTTCTAGCCTGTTTTGAGGTATAACTTTATTTTAAAAGCATTCTTTACCAAAACACCTTGAAGTTAATTTTGTCACATGATTGTCTTTGCTTCAACACAACAACAAGTCAGTAAAACATCTTTCCAATGTTACTTTTATTAACTTACGTATACAATGATAACATATACAATGTTTACGGGGACAAACTAATAAAAGCCATGCTCACTCTTAGAATATTGTTCTTTTAAAGTTCAAACTTAATACTTGTCATATTTTCAGTTTTTGATTTCTTGCCGCGAATTTAAAACGGAAGTAAACGTTAAGTACGGACTGAATAAATGCATGTTCGTTCATTCGACAATGAATACATTTTATTTCATGAATAACCTAATATTTGTTTCTGAATAGGAAAAACTGTGGCGTGTAATGGTTTCAAATCTAAAAATAAACAAAGTCGAAAAATTCGAGAGAATCATGACTATTTGTAAATATTCAACATGTTGAGCCTTATTTACGATTCAAATAAAGGTGAGAGATCATAATTATTTGTTTTTGTTAGGTATCATTGTAAACACATTGTAGTATTGACCTAAAAAAAATTTGCGTCCAAAAAACGGAAATATTTTCAATTTTTGCGTCCTCCAAATTATTTTTGAGTCCTTAACATGTACGGGACGCCGTTAATGCAAGCCCTGGCAATGTAATGCAACATAGAAAAATAAAATATTCTTAATATAAAAACTTGTACCTTTTTCATCCAGAGCTCCTTTTTCAAAGAAAAATCGAATTTTGTCACCACTTGTCATAAAATAATCTTCCTTCATCTGAAATGAAAAAATAGATATTCATTTAATTTTGAATGCTAGAATATTGTAAAATTGTTGTGTATTACTCCATACAAAGCCTTCACCAAGCATAAATAGCAATATTAGAACTGAAGCAATAGACTATAGATGCGAGTAGATATGATCTTGATTTACGTCAATAAATATTCAAAATTTAGTCAAAGTGATGTCATATTTGAAATCTACATGTAAAAATACATCTAAAAATATGGTTTCGAAAATTGTTCATCAACTTTGAAAATTTGATCTTTTTTGAAAATGTGATTTCTTGTTCGGGTTGATTCCCCACAGACCCCATATTAAATAATCACAAAAAGTGAAATATCTTTTCTTGTATTGGACATATAACATTTTCTTTTACTGGACATACTTTAATTTGCATAACTATTTGATACATAAGGGCCATATGAAAATTGAACCACTAAAACAGATGTAATTTAAGTAAAAGGGAACTTTCTACTATACCTGCCATGCTATCTGACCCGAGCGAGCCATCTGGTGGTGAAACTGGTAACTACCTACTCGCATTTGCGTTATTGGTTTAGCTCTCAGTTAAGAGTTTGAAAAAATGGGATGTTTTAATAAAATGACAAAGTTTCAATCATGAAAAATTTTTACTCAGTTGATAAAAAAATTCTAGAAAGACCAATGAAATGTTGAGGAAGAAGATTCCAAACCTGCGGACTTTCTGAATCATCTCCAGTGGCCACAAACACTGTGTGGTGTTCCTTAGGGTCCATTTCTTCTATCATATCATGGCATTCCTGTCTTAAGGCATCACATTCATCCGAGGATAGAGCATTCTCCACAACACAGTAGCCATCCTTATTAAACTGAAATGTTATTTTTAGTTAAGTTTACATTATTACATTATTGTTCTATTTATATAGGTAAGCATTAAAAGGTGGATTGGATCTGAACTGCAGTGTGAGATCATTTCTCAATATTCTAATAATCAACATTTTAGAGGGAGATCAATAGAAAATATACATTTTTTAAATTCCCAATCAAATCCACATTTTACATGAATCCAATCCAATCCACATTTTAACGCTTACCTTTATATAATTTTACACACCCTCTGGAAAGAAAAAAATTTATCGTTATGAAAAGAATATGCAATATCTGTGTTACAATGCAAAGTTAGCTCTGAAGAATTTTGTGCAAACATTTGAACAGATTGCGTATATGTAGAAACAAGTAAGTCGTTCATATTTCTTATGCATAGCGACCCCTGTCAATCAACCACACAAATGCCAACCCTCTTTGCCATGTATGGACCCGAAAATCACGTGTTGATATAAATTATGAATGAATCGAATATTTTCAAAGCTAGTTTTGCGTGTAATGAGAGCAATGAAAAGAAAAATTTAATGTAAAAATATTTTAGTTTTCTGACATTTTCCACTATTTGGTCGGTATTATATAAGTAAAGTAGGCGCGTAGAGAGTTTGAGAGTGGCGCAAACTTTGAGGGGCACAGTTTTCAGTAACCAAACCCATCTGGTCCAGTTATCTACTTCCGAAGTCGTAGATCTGGGCCAGATGAGATCCAATGCAAAAAAAAAAGGGGGATTCACTCCGGAAAATACACACTGGTTTTTCAATGTATAATACGTGCTGATAAATGAATAAACATCATAAAAAACACTCACGTGTTTGTTCCTTGTATCAAACTTTGTATTTATATTAGGTTTCCATCGATGGATGACGGCTAATAAACAAGAAAAAACGATTAAACGCAGCAAAAATCGTATTTAATGTCCACCATATTTCTTTAAAGTCTAAAATACAACACAGATACGTCTGTTTTATAAAGTAATCTACATTCTGATAACAAATATGCTGAAGAAATCGTAATATTTGGGATGCATTGGTTCCCGGGAAATGTATTTTTGTTCCTTGAAAGTTAAAAAATCATCGCGTCACACTTATGTTACGTCACATAACGTGACTTTATTTCAAATAAATACTTGGGTTTAAAATGGAGCCCGATGTTTTGGTTGGATGGCTAATAGGGAATGAATAATAAGTGATGATTCAGCGACATGTTTTTTTCGGAGTAAATCCCCCCTTCTTAGCATTGGACCTCGTCTGGCCCAGATCTACGACGTCGGGAGTAGATAACTGGGCCAGACGGGTTTGGTTAAGTTTTCAGTTGAAGTCAGCGCCACAAAAGATACTGGGGAGATCATAGGTTAGATTGAACAGATATATGTCACAAACAAAATGTAAATACTATATTGTAGACATCCATTATTCTGAATTTGATACCCGACTGGACTGTCTACGTGCTGATCATCGCGTCATTCTCACGACATCATCATGTAGATTTTTACAATTTCTTAAGAATCTCGCTAATGAAATTATAATTTTATTAACGAGATCTTATTAAGAGTTCATATCGCATAATAACCCTTATTATCGGATTCCAGCTGTTAGTAGTATTAATTTGAATAAATTAAAACTGAGTAGTACAGCTGAGTGGACATGTATATGCACCGATAACTAGGTCTATTGCTTAGATGCCAACTTAATATTCTGAAGACATTGAAAACTCACCTTACTATGAGTAAACTTCAGTGAATTCTTTGACAAAGAAAACAACTACATCCACTGCTTGTGAGATGTCCAATTTATCCCTAAAACTTTGTGGGATGTAAAGTTAAAATAAAGTCCTTCTGTAGTATAGGATATAAACCTTTCACTGTTTGTGAGATTTAAACTTTAAAAACTTTCATTACAACTTTGAGAGTGTAAAAATCCAGATACATAATATTTGACTTGATGAAGATTGTTGAATGTTAATTCTATCCTTCATAACTCAGTTGTCTGTGGTTATGTTCTGAAATAACACAAAACTGTGTCTTAGTGACAATTAACGACTGGGTGGGCGAGGGGGGAATATATGAACTCTTAATAAGATCTCGTTAATAAAATTATAATTTCATTAGCGAGATTCTTAAGAAATTGTAAAATTTCTATTACACTCATCTTATTAAGAGTTCATATCGCATGTTTAAAGTAAAATAACCTCAGAACAACTGATCTAAATCCTTTAATTTCCTTTATCAGTTTATCAGATTGTAAAATTGTTAAGCATTCAGTTAATTTGCATTTCCCATGACTTGGTTTGTAGATATATCAAATGTTCAAGTTTATGGTACTGTTACTGCATACCTGGTTAAATATGTCTTTCAAATGTACTTAAATGTATTTATTAAATATCTATCTATAATTATTATTCTATAAAAATAAAACCTTTATGTATTGTTATAGAAACTGCTAATGTGTATGTATATGAGATGTTTTACTGGATATGTACATGCATGGCATCGCATGACATTTGACAAGGATAATTTAAACTTCCTTCTTATGATTCCCTTCTACTACTAGTAGTTTGTTTCAGATGTTTCTGGTATTTTCTAAATGCTAGTACAACATCATTAAATGGATTCTCATGAAAACAACTTGGAAACCCAATTTTATGTGTTGACATTCTGTCTTTGACAACCATCCAATGGCATATTATTTCAGAGACCCTGGGATACATGCTTGAAATAGACATTAACATGACTAATTGTGTACTTTCAGTTGAGATTTCTATTCTGACCCGAATGTTCAATGTGAGATACAGTACAACCTTATTCACATCCCAAGTTTCATTGATTTTATTTAGTGGGTTTCCATTGTAAAAGTTTCTATAAAAACAACCAGAACATGGTATTGACTTACCTATGACTATCTATGGTTCCATTATATGCTGATTTTGCAGACTTTAAGTATCGAGAAACGAATAGCACATACCTGATTTGACATTTCAGTTAGGAAATTGGCTAAATTTGTATCAGAGGCTAAATATTAATGTCATGTTTATTAGAACATGCAGCATACCCATGTTTTTTAGGGGTCCTTGGAAGTAATTTAAGTACTTTCTTTACTTGATTTAATGAATATACATGTATTGCCAGTTTGTCACAGAAACCTCTAGTTTCAAACTTGAGGATGATAATTTGGACACCGTTAATGTTATCTAGCTTTTTTTTATTATTTTATTTATTTATTTTATTTTTTTATTAAGGCTGTAAGATTAGATATTAGTAATTTCATATGGTTTGGCAATAAGATGGGCTAATACAGACCAACATTTCCAACAATTATAGATACCGCAGAGCCATTTGCCACATTGGGGCTATGAGAGCTATATCTGTGCATTTTTTCTGTCTCACTTTAACCAGTAATCGGCTGATTTAAGAAATTGGAGGAAAGTTATTTGACTGTTTATTCTGAATAAATATGTCAACTTCCAGAGTTTCTGGGTTTAGTTTCCACCTGAAATTAATTTTCTACTGGTCAACAAAATCTATTTATCTGGACCTTAAAACTTTCAATTAGGAAAAATCTCCCAATCTTATTTCTAGTTTGATGCATCGAGGAATTTCTCTAGGTTTGATCTGACATTCAATTCTGATTCCTTGGAAGATATTATACGGTAATAATGATATCTCTGGCAAAGGTATCTGAACGATCTTGCATTGCTTTTAACATTTCTAGCCATCTCGTTCCCCACATTTTATGCACATAATGTCATCGTGGTTTTCTTGTTAATTTTATATAACATTGTCTAAGTTTTTGTGAATACTTTCACTACCATATCCATGGCTTTCATTCATATGAAACAATTTTTTGTTTAATCTATTTCCCCTAAGCTACTGTCCCGTCAGACTTGAACTTTAGCCAAACAGGCTGCTTTTTTGTTGTTATTGTAATTATTGATTCGGATAACACTATTAGTATTCTGAATTTCAACTTCTTGGACCAATCACTATCAAATTTTATATTCATTTTTTGTGAGTTATTTTGGCAATCAATGCATACATGTAGGACTGCTTTGACCTTTGCAAGTGTCAAAAATGTAGAGGTTCAATATACAGATTACAGACTAAAGTACAATTCAAAAGTATCTCAATAACTTGAGTAAGATTACTGACTAGGGTTGATTCTATCCCTACAAAGTCTTTGCGAGAATTTTGATAGAAACTATCATTTCTATTAAGGCCTTCAAGTTCATCTCAATTGTATTGATCACAAAACTACAAAGCTCCATTTTATGATGGGAAAAATTCAATAATAGGCTTTCCCCATTTATCAGAAACTTCAGTTTGAAACAAATATTTCACTAACTTGAAATCATGTTCATGAGTAGCAGATAGGCGAGAGGTTAATGACATCAGAGAATCAATAAAAGATTCAAAACCAAATTAAATATTCCACAATAGTGCTTATGGTATTTTCACGAGTTTAAGGAAAGCAAGGTCCATAGTAATGATCTCAAATGATGTTATATCATTCAACGGAGCTATTTCATGTGCCTCGAATGTATGCTTATGGTCATATAAGCATCCTTAGCATGGACTTTCACCATCGGTAATCGTTTGGCCATCTCATGTTTCTTAGAGTTACCATGTCTTCCATTTTGAAATATTCATACCAACTAAATGGTTAAGGTTTAGATTTTTTAGAGTTTAGATTGAGAACGAGTCTCTGGGAACAATCCTCTTTCTCCTGTAACAATATGTGACACAGAAATTGATCTATGCTTTTCTGTTGCATGTTTAAGAGTTAAATGAATCTCCTGTTTTTAAAGGATGGACAAAACATCCGATTGCTTAAAATCGCAGTTTTGAGAAATATTAAAGCTGCTTTCCATTTTTAGAAATCTTAAGCTATATTGTTATCATTTCTCAGAATCTCTGGTAACCTTGACCATACTTCATATTTCTATGTAGGTGACTTTGAAACTTCAAAAAGTATATGTAATTTACCTAAGTTTCTGTTTTAGTGAACTTCCAGATTGTTTTTTCTTGATCTGATGTTATATCAAAACATTCATCTTTTTTAGATCCATTTTGGTTTAATTTTAAAAATAAAATTGACGTACCGGTCATTGGACAAGGATTTTCCTACAGCGTAAGTTTTGCTGGAGCGACATCGTCTATAATGACATTGTTTGTCATGACTTCTAGTTGTATAGCTATTGGCAGCTGACAGTTTCTGCTTTCACTGGCCTATTCAAAAGGCTGTCAAATACTTGTATTTATAATCTATTGAAAGATTTTGATCTAGAAAACTATGTTTTCATGTCTTTGACAAAATTCAAAGTTTTTGTTGAGTCATCACCAAACAATTCTTTTGCCCAGCTTGGGGTATTCTCTTTTTGGTTTTGGTAATGGTATGAAGACAGAAAAATCTCCAATTCGCTCTTGTCAAATTGAAATTTGAAGCATGAAGCTTGTTTCAACTACAGTAATTGGTTATGGGAAATCCTTGTTCAGCACCCGTTCAGCAACAATAGCTGTTTTAATCAAAATATTGTACGAGTATTGTCATTTGATCTAGGGCTGTTAACCCGATTTCCATGGATAAAGAGCTTTATTTCAGAAAGTCCATGTGACACACATAACCAGTATTGCATATGCCATTTTCCCATTTTGCAAGTGTACATTTCTACCTGCTTTGGGACTAGGAACATTTTAAGTTCATTTACTTTCTAGATAGCTTACTCTAGCCCTTTCTTCATATTTTGATATCTACTAGGATAATGTTTTTGACCAATATTTATGGACAGATTTTACATGCTTGTCTGTTGTCTTCAATTCAGACTTGTTCTCCTCGAAAACTGAGTCAAACATATTGAACATATAGACCGCTGAACATGAATCTATAAGCACTAGATTACTAGAACTTGAATCAAAACAAAAATGATTCTATTAATTTGAACCTACTATGAGGCTATGCAATTGGATATGCTCGCTGAAACTGTAGTATGACCTCTAATATGACTATTATTCTGATGGCGGCTCATTTTGAACCTTGGTCAAACTTTGGTTTATAGGCCTTGAACTTTGGTCATTTGGACCTTTGGTGAGTGCATTCAGACATAAACTGTGGTCATTTAGACCTAAATGTGGTCATTTAGAAATAACATGTGGTCATTCAGACCTAAACTGTGGTCATTTAGAGCTAAACTGTGGTCATTTAGACCTAAAATGTGGTCATTTAGACCTAACATGTGGTCATTTAGACCTGGACTGTGGTCGTTATAGACCATGGTCATTTAGACCTTCAGTATTCAAAATTCCATCTTGAAAAAACATAATATTTCCCTACCTGTCCAAGTACATTATTTCAGGAGCACTAGTGGCCGTACTAACTGCTAATGGTTCATAAGTCCAAACAATTGTAGTTAGACTAGTAAATAAAAGTTCCAAAAACTGCAAACAAATGACTGTTGAAAAAATTCAACAAGTCAAGCAGATCATCTGAACTAAAATCCATGTGCTATTTACAGCTATGTACAACTAGCCTAGTCTCTTTGAAAGGTGTGTTTCCGTTGGCAGCTAAGCAAAAATAGACCTAGTTATCGGTGCATATACATGTCCACTCAGCTGTACTACTCAGTTTTAATTTATTCAAATTAATACTACTAACAGCTGGAATCCGATAATAAGGGTTATTATGCGATATGAACTCTTAATAAGATGAGTGTAATAGAAATTATTCAAAAATTGTGATCGTCGAATGTAGATAAGACAGAAGAATGCCAGCACTAAAAATCTAAACAGTCATGTAGTGTAAATCAAATATTATCACTCTATACCTTTATATATTACCAAAACATGATGACTTAACGATAAAAGAGATTGAACGAACTATCACCTTTTCAGTTTGGTCCTTGGTCGCCATCTTGAAAATGTTCAGGAGATAAAGTAGGTCAAATGATAAGAGAAGGCATTTCTCTAACAAGAATCATCAAAAAGACTCTATATTTTCCTCAGTGTACCTCTGGATATTTATTCATTCAAATATATTTTTTGTTTAATTTTAGATGACCCAGGTATAAAAATTCATACGGAGTGAATTCAGTGAACTTTGACCCTAACAAAGAGAAAGTGAACATGGATTTGAGATTACTCTTGATTTTTATTGTTTCACATTCATTTGTGAGTTCAAAGAAATGTTTTACTAACGGAATAGGAAAGAGTATCAGCAATAGCATAAACCAGAGCTACAGACATGTCATACTTATGCACGGGATACTGGCTGGACCAACTGAGATGGATTGTATGCAGAAGTTTATTGCCAAGGTTCTATAGTTTTTATCTTTATGGTTGGTGTGCTTCCAACCAAACTTTTTTATAATATTCATGGAGAAAAATTGAAGTTAGAATTTTTTCATTTCTTCTGAAATACTACAAAGCTATTATTTTGTAACCCTAATCAAGATCTGAGGTCAATAAGTACAACAGATAATTTTACTGTCTACAACTGCATCCAACGTAGTCCAACAACATTAGACCTAGCCTGGGCCTCGTTTCTTATCTGACATGTCTTATGGCCCGGCTAGGTCTAACTTCCATGATGATTTTGCCCTTGTTGCGATCATTTAATCGTTCAGCAGGTTTCGACATGCGGAACTAATTAAACTCCGAAAACATGGAAATATTACATAAAGAATGTGATTCAAGCATGCATACATACCTTATAAATACATACACACCATCCCGTACCCCCCTTAGACCATATTGATGCATAATTACGAAAATATTGGAGACAGGTTTGGAATTTTACGAAAATATCGGTCAGCTCCGGTAACATCGAAATTGCAAATCGTATCAGGAATTAACCGTCATTGCGACACTGCATCAACGAACAGTAGGTTTGCAATTAATAACGATTTTGTGTGTATACAAGCGCTATATAAATCAATCAAAGATACCTGCTATCCTCAAAAATGGCTATTTTATCCCGAGTAATCGCGTGATAATTATCAATCTATTTGACAACAATTTCGTTTCAATAGTTTAAATTTTAACCCGGGACGAACAGACACAATGAAGGACATGCGGAAATGTCATTTTAGAGATTGGTAAGTTTAACCTCATTTTACTTGTATAAATGACCATTTAATACAATAATATTGTGTTGAATCGCTTGATGTTATGTGTTTTTATATTGTTGTCAAGTATCAGTTGCATGTTATCGCGGAAAAATGGTTTCGGTGGATCCAAAACTTGCATCAATGGAAAGAATAGTAAAGAGGTTAAACTCAATAATGGCCCCAAGAAAATTCTTAATAATAAATAACGCCGTTATTGAGTTTAACGACGTTGAACTACATCCAACGTGCAATCGATGATGTGATAGATGATAAGGATGAGGGTATATGGGGTATACAGCAGTAGATGGGACAATGGCATTTTTTTTACTGTTATCTGTTATATGTGATGTAAAAATCTTGCTTTATGCCTGTTTATGTCATCAAACATATAAACTGAGAAAGGACTTCCTTGTTTCGGTTTCTGTATTTAATGAGGAAATTTTTCTACCATGATATCATACTGCAGAACATGAGATTTATCCCCTTGAAATGTGTGTTACTTTTCTTACTCATTGATATTAGGAAGTTGGTTGAAATGTTTAAATAAGTATGTTAACATGTCATTTGATATAGGAGAGTCAGATTGACTTTGAATGTGTGACATACGTATACATTAGTAAGTAGTACTAAGCATGGGCTTTCAATTAGTTGAAAGCCCATGTTCTAAGTAATAAAACATTTTCCAGTTCATTGAAAGAGGTAGATCTGAATGATGTGAATTTTTATGTAATTTTGATGATTATAATTGTCAATTATAACAAAATGGTAATGTGATGACCCTCAATAGCAAGTTGCTACTACAGCCTAGCTGTAGTGGCTAGCCCCTATTGGCTCAGCGGTAGAGCATCAGTCTATGGGATGGAAAAACACTCCATTTCATATCCAGTATCTGGCTTGTTACACTACAGCTCCCCATAGGTGCCTCGGGTCATTAGAGTAAATATTTTTCATTTTCATAGGGATTAATAATTACATACAAAAGTATATGAAAGTGATATCAATCCCTCTCATTAAATATGCTTAATTTTTATATTTTACAGGCCCATCCTGGTACCAATGTGACAGTTATCAAAATGTATGACCGATTAAGCAGTCTGGATTCAATGTGGACCCAAGTAGGGAACATTACAGCAAAGATCAAGCCAATCATGAAAGAAAACCCTGAGGGGGTGCATATGATATGCTTTTCTCAAGGTAATTCTGAAAGCTACAGTAGCACTCATTTTGTATGTGATGATATCCTTTTAAAAGCCAAATAGAATAGAATTTGTAGTGACCTCTCATTGATATTATGGATATGAAATTTAAAACGTCAGTTTGATTTCAGGGGGACTTATATGTCGAGCTATAATCCAGTCAGTTCCTGATCACAATGTTGTCAACTTTATTGGCTTGAGTTCGCCTTTAGCAGGACAGTATGGTGGTATGAACTATTATTTTTTATATTATAATAGTACTATGTGCTGATACACCTTCCATTAAAAAGTTGTGTTGCTATGATAGCATAGGCAGTCCGAAGCATAGATCAAATAAATAAGAATCAATTGATATGATTTTATTGAGATTTTTCAAGCACTTTATACTTCAAGCCAGTCATACAATCACATGGTTGATGTTGTTTGTTTATGAAACATAATTTTTCTTTTCCTGGCCTAATACATGTAGGTTAACATTCATGATTTTATCATATGAGTTGTATTCAAGAATTTCAAATTTAGAAAAACTTTCGTTTATATGACCATAGTATAGTAGATATAAACCCTATACCAACATATCATATTTTATTTGTCCTTTCAGATACAAATTATTTGAAATATTTGTTTCCAAGAGCACTGAAGGAGACACTGTATGAGTAAGTTCATTAAATTTATAACAGTGATGCAATTTGCACTATGCATAGACTTTGTAACAACTTGTATATTCTGGAAATATTAAGGTCTCAAAACATTTCTTGTTCATTAATTGGCATTACAAGTAAAAATCATAAGAGGTGCATATATACATGATTTTGAAAAGGAGATTTAACTTTTTTATTTTATTTTTCAGAATCTTATATAGCAATTTTGGTCAAAGATTTTCCATTGGAAATTATTGGAATGGTAAGTTACACATTTATCAGATAGAATAGCAAATATATATATAATAGATATTGTGACAACCATCGAGTTCAGTCCCGATATTAAAGCGTTCCTAAGAGTTGTCATTTACATTTGACTTCACTAGATGGTGTCATTAAGTCTTAATTATCAATCTAAATCATCGTAACAATAAGGTCTTTCTGTTTTATATGGTTTCAAGGTACTTTACTAGCGAGTTGTGCGCTCGGAAGTAGTAATATTTCTGCCGATAGATGGCGTTTATTTGTTATAGCGACAAACAGCCTTGAGCCGGCCAATCAAAACGCTGATGTCGGAACACGAAGTTGTTGCATGATCTAGCTAGGTGAATCATATTTCTCTTGGACTTGGAACGCCGAGTCGAACTTTCTAATTGTGTTTTAACTTGGTTTTATTTTGGATATTCTTGGTTTATTTCATTCAAAAACAGGATTAACGTTGTTGTGGATTATCGTCAACAATGTTGAGATACATCCAGTGGTGAGTTAAGCTTTATTTTTGGTAGATAATTGAAGGTTCAAGTCTCAGAATCTGGGAAGACATTTTCGCCATTTTCAGACAGTGCCTGTCGAGAAATCCTCGAACTTTTGGTTCAAGTCGCAGCTTATTATGTGGCCATCTGCGATTCATTTCTAGTTTGTTTTCTTAGTTGCAATGTTAACTTTATGTGTCGGTAAAGCCGCACACTTTGATTAATTATTGTTCGTGTATTTTTAATTTGATCTTGAAAACTTTGGCAAAAGGCTGAAGATTCGCACATGTTTATGATGCAAGAATTTTGCATACTTTTCTGTAGATTTTAGTTGAACATCGGGTATCGTTTAAGTACTATTTGTGAATTGTATCTTTGTTCAGGATTTGACAAGGATGCATGTAGATATTTGGTGCTTATTGTTCGTGTTTTCTGTTAATAGATTGAGTCATTTACGTGATTCCCGGGGATACACGTGGAATGCACGTGATTCGCCATTGTTATGAAAAGTTGTGAGCATTCTCAAACTTTTTCCGTCAATATATCTGTGTTAGTTTTACTTTAGTTATGTGTTAATCTAGGTTGTTCCTTATGTCACAGAAGACTGTGACATTGGACATTTTGTGTCTATGCATAAGCCAACATGTGAATTACATGTATTTGTTAGTTATTTTGGACCACTGTATAGTGTAGTGATGCTACATGAAAAAGGCGTTTGATGCATTGGCTCAGAACATGAGTATGCATTGTGACTGATCATGCAGTGATAGTTACTTAGGTTTAGTGTTAGTGTACATATTTTAGTCTGTTGTTCTCTGTTTTGTGATTTGCAAGTATTCTGTGCATAAATTCTGAGGTTAATAGAGGGGCAGTAATTGTTATTACATTTTGAGGATCTTGCATTTTTATTTGGACATAAGTTCAAATGGCAGAAGTCTGCTTTAGGTTTTCATATAGAACCAAACGTATGGTTTTCATTGTTCACAGTTAACAGGCCTTGATTGTCAGTTCTTAGTATTCTGTATAAAGTGCTTCATTAGTACCGTTAGGAATACGCGGAATGCCGCTACTCTTGCAAATACCACTTCCTATCATATTTCACAATTATTCTAGATTTAACTTTTCATTTACACTCAGATTAATACCAACTTTTGTACAAAGGATCAATAAATAAGTTTTGTTTTATATTTATAGAAATTTACATGTTTTTCTTATGTTCAATTATGGGCTGAGCATAGTGAGATGCTGCCATCTATTTTTATGTCATTCAGATGACATATTGTTCAAGTGCTGCCATCTTTTGAACTTTGTAAAAGATAATTTAATCAAACCACTGCAGAAGGCTGCCGTGGACAAGGCTATAACACAATAGTAACTTGATCGTTACAAGTGAACCCTAGAATATTTTTATGTGATGATCTGACAATTTAATTACCGCTCGTTAAACCGCCAACACCAAGTCGGGTCATTACAATATAAATAAATATATAAAATTTATTATCCCATCGAACAAAGTTTGGAGGGATATAGGGAACGCCTCCGTCCGTCTGTCCGTCCAGGCAATAACTCAAATACCGTCTGCCCGATTTTGTTCATATTTCGTACACATATACCCTATGGGAGTAGAAGTTCTGCTCAAAAGCTGATTTTCAAAATTGCAACTCATTTCAAAATGGCAGCCATTTTATTGACGATTTACAGTAATTTAGGTGCAATATGTAAAACAGTAGTAGCAATATGTTTTAGATGTAAAAAAAATTATATAGGACATTAATAAGCTAGAAATGTAGATATAGATAAGATAATAAGCACATGGCAGCCATCTTGAAAAATTGTGGCCTTTACTCGTTATTTTACGATTTTTGCTGTAACTGGAAAAGTGGTGGAGTGATTTAGTTCATATTTGGTATGTGATTACTATAAGCATGGCACACTGTCGAATGACACTTTTGATAGAAGGCGGCCATTTTGAAAAATGGGCCATTTTAACGTACAGTGTATTTTACTATAACTCGAAAAGTAGTGGAGCGATTTTGTTCATATTTGGTATGTGAATACTATAAGCATGGCACACTGTCTAGTGACACTTTTGGTAGAAGGTGACCATTTTAGAAAATGGCTGCCATTTTTGCTATATACAGGGTGGTCAAAAAATGGAAACCCTGCATTTTCCTTATATCTTTGTCACTTTATTAAATTACTCCCTGATATTTCACACATTTGTACATCAATCAATTTCCTACCACCCTACAGTATTTCATGACCAACAGACTGATAGTCACAATTTTACAGCACTTTGAATAACATGCTTCAGATTTGGCCATTATCGCGTTGTAGGCAAAACAGCACAGTTGTCAATGACCCGAATGCATTCCTCAGCAGGTATGGCCTGAATGACACAAATGATCTCACTTTTGAGGTTTGCAATTGTCCTGAGGTCATTCTCATATACTCTATCTCTGCCATATCCCCATAGGTAGGGACATTTTAGACGATGAGTACAGGTTTCCCCACAAAGCAATAGTGGCCACTGGGCATGTTCTTTAAAGTACTGTAACATTGTGACTATCAATCTGATGGTCATGAAATAAAGTAGGCTAGTAGCAAATTGAATGATGTACAAAAGTGTAAAATATCAGGGAGTTGTTTTTTTAAATGACAAAGATATGAGGAAAATGGTATTAGGGTTTCCATTTTTCTGACCACCCTGTACTTTGTTTGTAAAAATGCCAGCCATGGCTATTTGATGGGATTTGCTATGCTTTGACGTTGCTGTTGTCTAGTTATTTTTGTAGTTAACATGTACTCATTAAATCCTAACCACCTTTAAGGTCATAAAACACAGAATGCCGAACCAGGAAGTTAACTAAACTTTGTAGTTAGAGGGCTTGGTAAACGGGCAATTTCATTTGGTTGGTAATCTGACCTCTATAGCTACCTGGGAATCAATTCAAAGATGTTTCATAAAAAGAATATTTAATTCCAGCATTATTCGCCTAGTATTTCCTTTTTATGGTGTACTATAGAAATTATAAATTTATTTTTAGATCCATACCACCAACCCCTGTTTAAGAAGTTCTCAAACTTTCTTGCAATCTTAAATAATGATACCGCTCATCCAAAAAGTCAAGGTATGTGTACAGATTATTAATTCAAAATACAAGTATTTGTTAGTGTTTTTTATTAAAAGATATACATATATTATATGTACAGTATTGAGTACAAATTATAAATGATAACATGTAAAAACCACAAAGTTTGATTTATCCAAAATGGCAATACTTATGTCACAAAGGTCTTATCAAAGTACTGAAGTATGAGTAATCCAGTTCATGTAGGGTGAAGATGGTTTGTGTAATCATCTGTGAATCCAGTCTCAGCAGAGAACTCTTGGAATGTTTTATTTTAGAGTCTCATGTATCCAGTATGGTCACATGTACACACATACTGTGGTTGACTGCTCTTCTCATTGGTCACAACAGAGCACTGGGATTGGTCTTTCTTTCCTGGTCCAAGCTTAATGATCCTGTTTAAAATAGTAAAATACATATACTAATCATTACTTCTTATAGCCTATTGTATTTCTCAATCCCATCTTTTTCTGTTGGTTCATTTTGGCAATTTTGGCTTGGAAAAATATAACTATTTCTTTTATAATGTCTTTGTAAATTCTGAATTAGCAATGAATAAATATGAACATTCCACTGCATTGAAAATTGACTTACAAGTTGGATATCTTTTTGGGGCACCAAATGGGTCAGCATGTGAAGCAGAGCCCTCTTTCTAATATCTGGGACACATATAGAGCATTGATATTTTGTATTTGAAACTTGGTAATTTTATTCTTGCAGAATACAAAAATAATTTTTTGATGATTAAAAATCTGGTGCTTATTGGTGGTCCAGATGATGGGGTTATTACACCCTGGCAATCTAGGTAAGTACTAAGTATCAGGATGATCTCTGACAAACTATGCTTGGCGTGTCCTTAAACTAAGACAACTTTTTCACTTCTTGTTGAACAACCATGAAAACTAATATAAGACACTATAGGGTTCAAAGATTGAATGATGACTAAATGATAGAATAGTCTAGAATTTTTGCTGCTCTGCTATTATGAATGCTGTTATGCCTTATTTTTCAGTCAATTTGGATTTTTCCAAGACCACGATGAACACACTGTTATAAATACAAAATACACAAAGGTTAGATATATTCAACATCAATTTCTTTTAGAAATGTTTCATCATAAAACTTTTTGTTTTAAAATTTTCTCGATTTTTTTAGAATTTTTTCCAAAATGTCCATTTGCCTTGTACAATGTTAGTTAATTTCACCTTAAAGCTTGTCTTACCAAGGTTTTCAGTAAAAGAAACAATAACTTCTATGAGCGTTTCATCAGTAAATGCTTAATCCTTTTCCAGTGGTATCATACAGATTCCTTTGGTCTCCAAACATTAGACAAACGAGGCAGTCTCCACACATACAGTATACCAGGAGTGAAGCACATCACTTGGCATGACAATAGCACTGTCTTTGATTGTTGCATAAAACAATGGCTCACATAAAACATTCCTCAAAAGTGCATTCAGAATTGATGGTTCACTGGAGGCAATAGATGGCTCTGTTATGAAATGCAACAGTGCTCATATGGGCAAAATGGCAATTATACTGTGATGAATGAAACCAAAACGCTACTAGTAAAACACCAATAAGCAATAAAGAATGAATGTAACCAATATAACATGCTCAGGGATTTCAATTGTAATTCAAATGTACATGTATGATGAATATGTAGAATATTTGCATAAATAGAGAAAATTCGCACAAAGGGTTATAGTTAAACATATCCGCAACCACATCTTGTTTTAATTGAACAACTACACATAAATCTGGTGAATGCATTACAGATTTAAGATTTGTTGAGTTGAAAATGTTTTGCGAAAACCTCTCTATTATCAAGTTCATAGGTAAAAGACCCCATCATATCTTGAGTGTTTTGGGCTCCACATTGAGTTGATCATGTTACCAAGTTCACCAATACTCATAGCCCCCTGCCTTTGCTATGATACCTCTAGCATAGCCAGGATGATTTTGAGAAATATTCCTCTAGCGAGGACAGGATGTAAATTAATTGTATAACTTTTATTGATTTTTAATCTAAAATCATCAATTTTTGATTCAATTGTGAACAATCTCATTATGTAAGGGTTATCATCGTGTTTTTCTATTGCCAGGCAAGCGAGGCAAGGTTTGGAAATATTTTTCACCTGATTGCTTTTTTCTTCCTGGCTACGTCGCTGGATAACATGGGGCAAACTCAAGATATCATGTTGTCTGTTTAGCATCCATTGAATGTATAGTAGTTGTAATTTTTTATTAAATAACTTATACAGCAGTAAGATGTAAATGTAATTTATTGAAGTTTGATTTTTAGTTAATGTTTCTGGGTGTAATGTATAGGTGGCACTTATTCCATATTTGAAGCACACATCATCACGGCATGTGTCTATGAAGCATTGTTGATGACTACTCTATTTATTCAGTGTGCAACCCATTTATAGAATAGTCAACAATACTAGTCAAGTGGTCACTGTTGATAGCTGTTTGTCTCAGAAATTGTGTTCAATGGAGATGCTTATGTAGATATACTTTATTTAAAAGTTTTTCTGGTGCATTACCTTTTCTAAGAACATTTATTTTTTATGTAGTTATGACTAATGTTATCATGTAATGATACAATATGTCAATAAAAGTTATAATGTATGTATGTGTATGTATTCAGACCATATTTTTACAAGAGCCCTGTTTGATAAGACCAAAAGTCCACGATTTGATGTTGCATCATTTCACAAGTAGCAACAACAGGGTAAATAAATTAATAATACAGTGAAACCTTTGAAGTGAAACACCTCTATAAGTGGAACACCTCTATAAGTGAAACACCTCTATAAGTGGAACACCTTTGTAAGTAGAGTACTTCAGAGTCCCAAGATCAACCGACTTAAAGTTAATTGAACCTCTATAAGTGAAACACATAACAAGTCAAACACGAGAGGTTCTAGTACCAAAGGTGTTCCACTAAAACAGGTTATACTGTATACTTTATTTTAAAGTAAATGTAATTTTTTTTAACAAATTTAGAGGGAATGTGATATGATTTTTAGGATATTCTATTCAATATATTGGTGTTCACGTTATTCAGTTAATTTTCAGTTATTCACGAGGAGTAATGATCAACATGGAGAATTTACTTTTCAGTGAATAACCAAAAACCTTCAATAGAATAAAACCCCTTATCCTATGCCAAGTAGAGTTTTAGGGAGATAAGCTGGTAAGATATATCCCGTATCCTGATTTTGAGGTTTCCATATCCAGAACCTCCATATCTCCCGCTTCGGTGCATATCTTCTCACTTCGGTGCATATTTTCCCGCTTCGGTGCATATCTTCCCGCTTTCGGTAATTTCACTGAGAACTCTACTTGGTATAGGATAAAGCAGTTATGTACGGTCGGTTTGGATATGGGGTTCATCCCTCATGAGATATGCACTTATCCTACACTTAGTGTACTAAACGTATAATAACAATAAAAAATAAATTTGATATTTATTGGCATTTATCCAGAGGATATCGTAACGATATACTCCGGGCGGAGGATATTGTGACGATATACTCCGGAAAACCCAATATGCGGAGGATATTGTGACGATATACTCCGCTTGTTGATTTCCCACCAAATTGACTCTATTTTGCATGAAATTCATTTTGCAATGATATTATACATTTAGTACACTCCTTGTAAGTGTAGGATAATAAGAACTTCCTATGATTTTTTCAGAATATCATTTTAATCTACTCGGTGATATTGATGTATGCACTCGTTCGCTTTGCTCTCTCGGGCAGATATCAATATCACCTCGTAGATAAAAATGATATTCCTCAAAATCATAGGATATCCTATAAATCTACCTTCGGTCCCTCAGGTAGATATGCATATCTCCCTCTGGATAAACCCCATATCCAAAACCTCCCAGTACATAACCCTTATCTATAAACTATTGGATATTGTACCCTAATGGAATAAATATGGCTATTTATAAACGTTAAACTCGACTCTTCATGTCATATGGGGATATGTCAGAACAGTAATAAAATTAATGGTATCCTATAATATTTTATTGTTATTTTATATTATTTTCATTTCTCATATAATATATTATACATTTCATAATTAACTCTCTCATGATACACGTTTTCTTGATACATGATACATGTTTACTTCCATATTAATAACTTCATTTCACTATAACGGTTCAAAGCTGGGCTAGAACACCAAAAATAGTGGATGGACAAAATTACCCATCTTATTCTTCTTTCAACATTTATTAGAAATCAATTATAATTTCCTGAAAATTCTCAAGTCTTCTATAATTGTGGATGATGTTCAATGAATACTAATACAAACGCTTTCATTTCATGTTTATCATTATAATTCATGGTATTTGGTTAGTATTTCAACATATATTGTTTTTTAACCTTTCAACATTTTCTCTATAAATTAATTACAAGGCATTAACATGCAAAATGTCACCACTTACCATTTGTTACAGACACTGACCTCCAAACACCATACACCAATTGCTGAACACCGTCAATGAAAAAGTTTCAAAAGTTATATTGGCCCGCTGTCTTGTGAACAGTTTACACTATACATCATCATACAGTCATAGGTGGTATGTTATAAAGATTATTATAGATCACAGTAAACAATCTGGTATTTTAAATTAAAATTACAGAAAACATATTTGACAAACCATAGATCAAACTTGTAAAGCTCTAACACCTGTACAGCCATCAATAAATATTCAACTTTAAATTTCTATAATCAATTTAAGAGTTGTTTCAAATGATAGGTTTACACTTTATATCCTCAAGCTTACATTTTAATATTATAACATGATACACGCAGTTGGAATGCAGAAACAGAAAAATGAATAAACACTCTCGAAATCACAAGCTCATGGTTCTACTTTTGACAGGCTTAGCAACATTTACAAGATACATATACCTCTAAACTCTTGATTAACATATTGGAACTCCTATAATGGATTGTACAATGCTTTTTAGACTACATGCAACAATAGTCTGATCTCATAAAGAACCACAGACTGTTTGATAAAAGAACTTAGATGGCCAAAAGTAAAAGTAATTCTCATAAAAAATAACCCTAAAATAGTTTCATGATATGTAACTTACACAACCAATACTTGGACATATTCCATATCTAGCCAGCTTAAGGGTCTGTCAATATCACTAGTTTTAGACATACCATGGTACATACCATACCATGCATACCATGGTGCTGTTACTGATTAAGTAAAATTGTATCTAGTTCACACATTTAAGGCAACTTCCAAATGTGAAAGTTGTGCCTTATTCATATTGATACATTCAAATACATATATTCAAAAAACTTTATTTTCCATAACACAAAATGATGGTGATCATGTTAAATCCAAGGTTCAACTTTGGCAATGTAGCATGCACCAACTTTGAATTCCATGATAGAACTCAAAACAAAGTAAGGCCTAATGAATACTCAAGTCTATGTGTGGTTCAGGCGCATACATGTGCCATCTATAAAACCTACTTTCAGTATATTTCTTGAATGCCCCTTGAATATTATATTACAGTGACTATTTACAAATTGCACTCAAAGATAATGCTATCTGAACACAAATCAACAATTCACGAGGCCTGCTCAATAAATTTCTAGTACAACGTTTATGCTTAATGCTCTATCAGAAAATAACTTGTTGTATAATAGTAATAATATTTATTTGTGGTGAAAATCCAGCTGTCAACGTTTCACATGATAAAATAATTCAAGGCACATACAAAATGAAATACATAAACTATTTGTTTAACTTTAAGTTAAGCAAAATGTAAAAAGGGAAGTTCAGGTGATTCAATTGCCACAAATACTTCCTTCAAATTTCAATTCTTCAGCATTGAGGGTTTAACAGCCTCTACTAACTCTGGAAGAGAATGAACTCTCTCAAATATTTATTTATTTCCCATGGCACATATTTTTTGCATAAATATTACTGGACACTCAGTTTCACCATCGATGTGTCTGTCTTACAATTATCATGAGACAGATATCAATATATCTCAGTGCAGAAATACTTTGATGTGTCTCATCTTTTGTGTCTCTAACATACTTCAACATGTCTCATTAGACACATATTCCAAGGAGACTGTTTGACGCATTCTCAAATATGTCTCATTTAACACATACTCTACTAGCTTGTCTCACTTTTATATACACAATACTAATATACCCTGAGTGAGCTCAATTTACGGTTCTACAGTTGCACATGTTTTATTAAACAAAACTACTTCTTACAGTATACTAAGCTCTCCCAAAAAACATTCATAAAAAAGACTTTAATATGACAAAAAGTTTACCTTCAGGTTTCAGTTTAGTCTTGCTAGAAGCCCTTTTAAACCCCCAAATATGCATCCCAACAAGTTTGAGGAGTGAGGTCAAGTAGAGGGGGGAGGGGTTCACAGGGGTTTGTAGCTAGACTAGCTACTGTTATAAAGTATTACATTATTGGTGGTTATGGGAGAATAATGATGAGTAAACTTGATGTAAAAAGTGTGTTTGAAGCAAAACATTTAAACACACATACATAGGCTATGTCATCTTTTAACTGGAATATCAAGCTTTTTAAACTCTTAACTGTTTTTTCTGTTGCTATGAAGTATAAATAGGTAGAGGATGGGCCTCAGTATTAAACACATATTTATCTAAAGGTAATAAAGATTCATCATCGCTAAATAACAAATAAAAATATTTTAATGTTTCTCCTAGCCAAAAGCTTTCCATTTTGTCTCTAGGGCGAGGATTTTGAGCATCTTTAACATTATGTATAGAGGTATAACCACCTCCTGGTACTTTGGTATGTTTTTCGAAAGCTTCAAATATTTTCCAGCCCCACTCTCTGTATTGCTGCTCCCCTGTAAGTCTGTACATATAAAATAATGACTCAACCGTCTCTGGTCTTTGTAGATTGTGACTGTCTGCTCCCTGGAAGAAGAAAGATTACACTGGGTTAGCTTCTTTAAACAAAAGAAATATCTCAAAGGATGGTTTCCATGTATCAGCAGTTGAGAAAAACAAATAATTTTTTGTTTAAACACTATTCCCTCCCCCTTAGCTGAAACTTTGAATAAAAGTACTATGTATATTGTCATCAACTAGGTTGGCAGGAGCATTGTACTTGACCATCGGCGCATTTTCAAACAAACCACTTGACAGATTGATTTGACATTTTCAGAGATATTTCCTTAAATCAATCATTTTTATAGAAATTAAATATGTGAGGATCATATTCATATAGAAAGACAGCTTCATCTACACTCTGAGATATAGAGAAGATCTTTTCAACTAGGCCTAGCCAATCAGAACACTGAGGATATGATAGATAAAAATCCAGGTATTACCTGAATTTTATGCTTTCATAAGTACCTATCATTCATTTCATAATGAAACTCCAATTAGAGGCTATGGCAGCTACTTTTGGGATCATTTAGATCTTAGCATCAAAACTATATGTCTATTTCTCCTGTTCAGAGCTTACTGTAAAAGGATCTGATTCAGGATGAAAAATAATTAATTTCTCCATATCAAGCACAATATGCCCTTATCATTAGATTGTTCAACTTTATCTGAACTTTTTAACAATGCAAATATTAATATAAGCTTGTCGCCATTATAAGTGAAGTGAAAATGTCTGCACACAAAGTCCCTGTGCTGTGTTCTGAGAAAACTGAGATCATTATAAATCACTTATACCAAATGGTGTCAGAATGTACCAAAAATGTCCTGAATATAGATGTCCCCACCCTTGTGTACCAAAGATCAGTTCCTTTTATATTTTTTAATCTTTTAGGTATTTTCTTAATGTGAGTTTTTAACATAACTACACTCCCCATATATATTGTATTGGGTTCATTATACAGTTGTATTATTAATTTATGATGTAATTAATGAATAATGAAGATTAAGATCAATTCATTAATGGTTGCCATTAACATGTGGTACGTTTGTTTTGAATATATTGCTTCTCCCAACTTTCCATACAAATAAACCGTAGGGTTTTGACCAATATAAAGATGGCATCAGCGTTGAATCCATTTATCTCTAAAGAGAAGTATGCTATACAGATAAACATAGATAGCACAATATAGCGCTATTTCTCAATTCTATCTCAATTCTTTAGCCTATGGAATAAACAAGGCAGGTGCAATAATTAGTGCAGAGGAATCATTCAACGATCATGGACCAGTGTCAAAATATATTTAAGTTTGAATATTTCATCAAGACTAACATCTATTTTTATTATCTTCAAAGAAACGCCCTAGATAAACATTATTTTAGCTGATATTCCTCTTGAAACATGATGGATCTTAAAAATATAAAAGTGGAAGTCCCCTTTTTGAAGCTTTGAACTGAATTTACACTACTTAATGCTAAAATTGATAATTTATCCATACATTTTAAGAAAATAGGTATGTCAAAGAAGATGTTAAACCAAATGTTGCCTTGATAGCTCAGAAAAAATGAAAAAACTTTCCTATTTTCTCTACAGTCCTTATTGCCCCTTTAAACATCATAGAAAACTGTTCAAAATTATTAGCTCATAAAATGAATATAGATTTATTCTAACACACCCAAAAACATATGACATTTTTTTAACTGTGATGAAAAGAATTCTTAAGAATAATACTCCGTGAGACTATAAAAAGCTTTTCATCTGAGATAGAAAAACATATTATCAAGCTGTCAAAAATATATGTTTACACTTAAAGAGCTACATACCTTTATAATCAGATCCTCCTTTACACCAGGAATCATATTGAAATGTGCTATCTCAGGACTTAACTTTGTAGGCATTTGAGCGTACATCTCATAACATGTTTTTGTTAGACGTCTAGCAAGATTTAAATGCTCTGAGGGACATTCATTCACTGCTCCTAATGCTAAAGTCCCTGCGAAGTAACACACTAAGTGGTCCTAGAAGTAGAAAATATTTTGTAAATATATTATAATGTATTTCATATTTGTAAATATATAATATTTATATAAACAGATAAATGATTTGATATAAATATATAATATTATCGCAAGGTTTTTATCTCAACAGGTTTGTAAATCCCAATTTGACATGTTTGACTGCAACCATATCAAAAATAATATGGTATGTATGTTTTGGTACAATAGATAAACTGTTTTAGACAAAAGATTCAATATTTCATCTTTTTGACATTCAGGATTGCATTAACTCATTCGCTACGAATGACGTGATATGAGGTCATAAAGCACATACGTTGACTACGGAGGACGCGATATCACGTCCAAGCACAAACCCAATGTATTTTTTGGAATCTTGTAACCATGACAACTTATAAAATTGGGACTTTAAAACCTATTGATTCTGAAAGAGTATATCATATGCTTTAAAATGATATATAACACTACATATGTATGCCCATGTATATACTTTATATATTATCTCAGAGGTACCATATATGGCAATTTTCAAAAATTCTTCAGTATTTTAGTGCTTTTTGCCCCAGTATTGAATGAGTTAATGCTGAAGACTTCCCTTTGACATAGGCTTCAGATTAATATGTTTGTGGGTGCAGAATGTGTCATAAGTCAAATCTTTAATTCTAACTACTATTCAGTATCACTATAATGCATTAACTAGTATTCAGCATCACAATGGAGCCATTGTGATAATAGCACCATGGTTCTGACTGTATAACATGCTATAAACATGGAACAGAAACCTACATCAAGTTGGGGATGATTTATAAATGCTGACTACTAAGAAAAATCAATATTGCAACCCCGATCCACCATTCCCCAAATTTTGAAAATACAGTAAAACCTGTCTAAATGGAACACACTTCGTACCTCTAAAGGGTGTTCCATTTGCGAGGTGTTCAACTTATAGAGGTTAATTTAACATTAAGTTAGTTGGTCTTGATACTCTGAAAAGTGTTCTACTAACAAAGGTGTTCCACTTCTAGTGGTCTTCCACTTGACAAGTTTTACTATAACTGTTTTACTGTAAATTGATTTGCATTAAGTTGAATTTCAATGATGAACTCAATCACCCCTGTCTACACATGGAAAACACCCCCCCCCCCTTCATTTCACTTTATAAACCTCTATACTCTCCATATATATAAATGAAAAAAATTAATGCACCTGACTTATCTAATGTTCTTCTCAACTTTAAATATACTATTCAAGTAAGTTTTGAAATTAATCTAAAATTAATCATTGTATTCAGCAGTTGGTTTGAAATCATCTCGAATTTATTGAAAAACAAATGCTATAAATCTGAAAGAAGGTGTACTACATACTACAGTAAAACCTGTATATACAGAAGTCAGTAGAGTACATGCAGAGGAAGGGTGTCCACTAGAGAGATGTGTTCACTTACACAGATTTTACTGTATTTATCTTTTCTGAAATACTATTTTCAATATTTGAATGTGAACATTTTTCTTTGAATTGTGAAACTTAATGTAAGATTGAATAAACAACATTGGCATCCTAATAGAAAATAAGATCCAAGTCACATAATTTCACGCTGACTTGCTCCTTTTCAAAAGAGATATGTTTAAAATGCTAAGCATAACTGTTGGCCATAAAAACTATTTTACATCCTGGTACGGGTGGTAGTCTACTGTTTATCAGTTTAAAACTTAAGAAGTTATTTTTCAATTTGTTATACATATACGATACAACAGTAGAAATTACTGAAAACAATGTTCAAACTTGTTTTAGTAGCTTATCTGCTAGTTATCGTGACAGGAGAGGACGAGAATGGAAGAAAGTGCACACGTTTAAACTGTCCGAGCAATGACGGCTGCTTGAAACAGAAAGTTTATGAGATCCAAAGTAAATCTGTTGAGAAAGATAGGAAGATTGCTAATTTGACAGCTCGGCTTGATCAGCTAGAAGAGTTGGATACTTTGGATGACGATAAAGATGAAGAAATTGCGAGTCTGACAGAACGTGTTAAACAAATAGAGGGTGCAATTGCATCAAAACCTCTTGAAGGCAATACAGAAAAAGATGAAAAGATTGCAAATTTGACACGTCGTTTAGAAGAATTAGAATCAACTGTGAGGTTCTCCCAACAGCTACTGACGACACAACTGACTCAACTTATTGAACTGACAGATGGTTTACTGGCACAAGTGCAGAACAAGACTTCTAAAGTAACATCTGAAGTGATGCCAAGTGAGGAAGCCATAGGAGCTGGATTAAGATTTTTCTGGGATAGAACCTACAGAAGTGTTGAAACAGCTTTGACAGGCTTGTTACCATCGCAAGTGGGTGAGGCAATTTAGTAATAATCGTAACAAAATCTTAAATTTAAAAAGGTTGTCAGCAATCAAATTTCATCTTTAAGTATATATGTAATACCAAGATTCAAGTAAAATACAAAAAGACCCACGAAAGTTTGTATTTTGCAAGGTGCTAGCTGTTTTAAATAAATCCTTTCAAGATCATACTATTTAATAAGAATTCATTAAGTAGGCCTAACAGTTTTTAATCAATTATGTTCTTCGCACATGTACAGGGTGTCCCGAAAGTATGCCCGACCCCTAGGCAGACATATACCAATGTCTCCATAGTATGTGTCATATATCATCTTAAAGCTTATCCAAAGTTACATTGATTTGCAAAGTATCATGGTTCAACTCACAAATGGTAAAAAGTTACAGGCTTTTCAAAACTTAGTGTTTGGCCAAAAATATAGTCCATTTCAGTATCCTGGAAACAGCCCTGACCTGAATGTGATTGAAAATATGCGTGCTATTGTCGAAGTTTGAGTTCTAAAAAGAGGACATTGAGGGTAGATACTCCAAGGAAACTCTTCTAAAATGCCTTGAAAAGGTTTTATGAGGATTACAAAATGCCACATCCCTATTTGAAGCACGTTTAAGGTCATATATGGAAAGCATTGCTGCTGTTAACATGGCCTAGGGAGACACACTGACTATTATTTGGCCAAACACTAAATTTTGAAATGCCTGTAACTTTTTCCCATTTGTGAGTTGCACCATGATACTTTGCAAATCAATGTAACTTTGGATAAGCTTTAAGATGATATATGACACATATGGTGTTTAAAAAGATATTTTAAGGCATTTAAAATATTTCTTAGATGTAGAAGTATGTGCCACAATGAGATCAGGACAAATACAGATTCTGTGTCTAGATGTAAAAATACAAAAAATATTTCCATCAAATGGGAACCATTTTAATAATGTAAAATAAATAGCTGTTATTCATATATAGCACATTTTTGATTCTCTAACTATTTAATGAACTATTTATGTTTTACAGAAAGTGGAGATTACATATGCAATTTACTCTGTGGAATGACTGGAATAGGAATACATGAGGGCAATTCGGAGCTAGATTGGGATGAAGGGTTCTTCCTTGCAAACCATTTAAAATGTCTCCGTAAGGGTAGGTACTTGTCTAGAATATTAAGTTGTAATATACTGCATATACTTTTTTATTTTTTACAATAACAATGTTTTGAATTCAAATAAATCTATCTTATACTAGATCATAGGTAGATATCTATTTATATTATCATTAGACTCTAGAACTTAGTACCCCACACAAGTTTTTGATAATAACTTTGACCCGTGATTTGAACACTCTATCCTTGACTATTTGTTATTAAATTTAGCACACATAAACTAAAAGGATCAAGAAGGAAAGATAAAATTTGACCTAGTTTCTCATCACCCTGGGCACATTCCTTGAGTGACAACATAAGTAAATTAAACTTCCGGTAAGACCTTTTAGTTGCCTTGAAAGCTTTGTGAGAAAGAGAAAAAGGAAACAGGCAAAAGAAGTTCTAGAGTCTAATGATAATATAAATAGATATCTACCTATGATCTAGTATAAGATAGATTTATTTGAATTCAAAACATTGTTATTGTAAAAAATAAAAAATTATATGCAGTATATTACAACTTAATATTCTTAAACTTGTGTGGGGTACTATATATATCTAAATAAGAAACAAAGAACTATTTGTTTTTTATTTCTCTTATCAATTTTGAGATACAGTTCTCAAAATTCAATGTTAAGGGTCAAAATAATTGGTTTTGGATGACCAAATTGAAATCAAATTTTGCTTAACCTTTCATGACTTTAATAGACATTGCCAATTTATTTTTCAAGAATACCTAGCTAAATATTAAAGGAATTCTGAGTGATATAAATGACCAAGTTTGATTACTTTCTCGAAAATCATCCAATGGCTTTGACATGCTTTTGATTTAACAATCGACACAAATATACCATATTGAAGCAAATATAGAGCAAATAATAACAGATTTTTTGATCAATAAAATTATCAGTTGGGGAAAAATATCGAGCCCCAAAACCAAAAATTGAAAATCTAAGGACTACTTTTTGACATTTCGACCTAAATCTAAAAAATAAGGCCCAAAAAGGACTAGTAATGCCCAAAAAGGCCCACTAATTGAGGCCTTAAAAAGTTTTTGAGCCCTGTTATTTTCTGGGGCCATCTTAGGGGGATGGGGGGCAGCCAACCTCCCCCCAGTGAGTTGCCATGAACAACTTTCAATCCTCAGCCTAAATATGGCTTTAAACAGCCAACTTTGAATAGAGCTTCATGCATATTTCAAAAATAGAATAATCAGAGAAGGGTTTAAACCATGGAATCATCTCTATAGCCAGAAAAAGATCTTTTAACCATTTCATTAGCTCTATAGTATAATGGACATAGCCAGGATCTGAATTTTTGTAAAGCTTTTAGACTAAAGATAATAAATAATACTATTGACTATCATCACTTCACAGTCATATCTCAAATAAATATTACATTGCAGGAGCCAATGTTACCATGAAATGGAATGGGTTGCAAAATGTAAATGAAGTTCACGGCATGGACTACCTTATGTGCACAAATATCCCAAACAAAGTCGGGGAGCAATCTGGCAGTCAAACGATCTTTCTCGATGAGGAAAGACGATATCACTTTGTATCAGGAGTTGGAAATAACTGCATTGATGAAAACATTAGGATTGCTATCTGTGCTCTAAACAAGGATGTAAAATATCTATCTCCACGTAACCAATACTATTACTCAACACCCAGTACTACGCCATCACCATAAAGCACCAGGTATGACATGTAACCAAGCCCACTTTGTGTATTTTCAACGTTTTGGGCAAAATAAAGACTTATATTTGAATTTCAGTAGAACCTGTATATCTGAACACCTGGCTAATCCAAACACCTCCCAATCTGGACACTTTTTTCGGTCCCATTTTTCTTTCTATTGACTCCAATGACTCAAAACCTGAAATATGCGAATGCAAAAACCTCGAAATGTGAACACCTCTTAATCTGAAGGCTTTAAATCGGTTCCAATGGCGTTCGGATTAGACAGGTTTTACTGTCCAAAGTATTGATAAGAACCTACTCTTTCATTTGACACCAACAACAGCTCAAGCGGGCCACATCAAAGCTTACAATAAATTATCAAATAATATTTTCGATCTGTCAAGCCTTATATATCAAGTTTTTATCAATGTCATTGAAAGATGGGAAAGCTGTTTGTATTACATGATACATTCATTTTTATAGAAGTGTCGCCATCTTTTAAATCAACAGTAATTTAAAACATGCACTTTGTTTAATATGTGCATGCATGTCTAATGATCTCTGAATTTCAAGTTATTTTTTTCTTGGTTCAATACGAAAGCAAATCAAACTTTGTGTCATATTTGAGCGAGTGTGTGATTAACATGTTTCAATGATTATATTTTCATTTTTTCTTCTAAATTAAGTAAAGTGGGCATGTGATGCATAATCTAGTAAGATTAAATTACTAAGCACTGTTTTTAATCCGAAAAAAAAAACAGCATTTCAAACTCATTCAAATATCACGTCTGAAAACAATCCCTTTTATGAGTAAACAAAACCAAATCTTTAAATACAAGTACAATAGGGAAGATTATAATACAAATATATAAATGTATATACATTTCTGCTAAAAAGAGTAAAGAAAACCACAATGAATTTATATTGAAAAAGAGTGCAGTGATGTAAAAATAAAGAGATTCAAACTATAAAATAATGGATAGTTACTAAAGGGCTAATTTCAACCTGTAGTTCCCATCCTAAAAGATATGTCACTTATTATCAAGATTTGGACATTAACCTTTTCTGAAAATACTAAAGCTTGAAGAAAATGGAACCCTCTAATTATGATACGAAAAAGAAAATCAGACAAGCAATATACTGAATTGAGGAAGATAAGATTTATCCAAAAATTTCAAAAAAGGCTATCAGAAAGGAAGATGGCCACCCAAATGTTACAGTTCTGGAACTTGATACCCTCTTATAATACTCTACTAGCATGTGTTCCTGGAATTGTGATGAAAAGAAGCAGGATCCCAATCACAATCATGACAATCATTTTGCCACCAGGATGATTATATTCTACCAGTGGATGGGAATTACAGACATTGACCATCTATAAATTAATTCATTATATAACTTTATATTTCAGGAATCACTGGACAACTCTACAACAATCTTACAAACCATCGACTGAGACTGAGACAATGAAATAACAATAACATATAAGGATATAATATAATTTAATGGCTCTTTATGCTGAGTCTCCAGCTTTCTTGAGCAGTTAGAGAGTAATGTACACAAAACTGCTTCAAATAATTGATGTTGCAAATTTTAAATGTGCATATCGAAGTTTAGATGCCTTGCACCAATAGGAAACATGTTATTCAAGAACTTGTTTTTAAAATATTCATATATAATAGTGACAAAGCAGGCCCATAGCCAGAATTTTCCAAGGGGGGTTTCACTTTTCCAAAACATTCTAGGGGGGGGGTCACTTTGGCAAATTTGGCCAAAAATCACTCAAAATATAGTCAGAATGATGAACAACTGCATGATTTTGAAAGAAATTTTGGCCAGGGCCCCCCCTGGCTACGGGCCTGCAAAGCTTACAGTATACAGGCTTATTGTTTATGCAAGCAGTTTGAAGAGAGTGATTACAACTTTAGACATTAGATGGAAAAAAGTCAAAAGAAAGTCTATTAATATCAATGTTTTGAGAAGTAGGTGAAAAGTTATCTTAAAGAGTGTATGTTCTCTTATAAATAATTGGTGTACATGTTATCATGTCAACTGGTAGTTTAATTGCTTTTGGTTTTGATTTAATTAAAAATGTTTAAGATAAAATACTGTTTTTCAAAGTTTTAATAAAATAATCTGTTATATGTTGTCAGTTTGAGCCTCTGTTGTGCTCCACTTTAAATAAAAATCTAACTGCAGAAAGCTTTCTAAAATACAGTTAACCAGAAATGTGTCTTCAAACCAAATAATCTCCTGTGTTTAGTAAAAACATCTCATTATCTGACCTTTTAAAAAATTGTATTATTAAAAATGTACATATTAGAACTACAAATGTTAAGTATTTTTCTGTTGATTCACTGATTCAAATCAAAATGAAAGTTTAAGAAAAACTTGTTTATATATCTTTTCAATTGAAGTTCAAATGCTCTACAGGATGTCAGCATGACCTCTATAATAGCTCTACATCTCTTCTTCTAAAATATCAATGATTATTTAATCATTTTTGGTTTCATTTTACCATTAAAAGGTTGGTATTTGAAAAAAGTTGATAATATTGAATCAATTCGAAATTCTATTAAAAGTTTGCAAAATAATAAATGAAAAAAAGGCTTGTCAAAGTATATTAGATTCAATTATCACAAAAGTGAAACTTCCAAACTTCCTGTTTCTGATCAAAATGCCACATGGAAATGTAGATGACAACAATAACAATCCAAATGAACTTGATTACATGAACAACCATGATAATAGAGCTGAAAATGATGCTAATGATGGATATGAAACACCACATGACTATGCGACAATAGATGAAACTCAACCAGAAGAGGGTCTCATAGCAGTTAATCTGAACAATCAAAACAATGCATACTCTTATGTCAGAAATGGAAGCTTGCAGAATAGAATTCCAAATGGAATCAAAAATTCATTTCTGACAAGGAAATCCAAGATGGCTGCAGTGACCTGCATTCTTGTCATAATAACTGCAGTTGTACTTGTACTGTTGCTTCGGACACTTGAAACAGGTAAGTGAAATAAAATATTGCATTATGATATCTCTTGGTTCCTCAAACGATGACCTGGATGTATAGGGTGTCCAATAAATAAAAAAACTCTATTCCTTTATGTCAAATCTACAGAGGTCTGAGACAATGAGGCACACTTGGTATACATGTTGAAAAATATCATGCAAACTTACATTGGGGCACATTTTGCATATCTATATATTAGAACATCTTTCATCTCCAGGAGCAAATAATGAAACTACGCAAACCACAATCAAGGAGGCTAATGGGACCTTAGAGGATTGTCTGAACACAATAAACAGTACAGAAACTGATAGTAAAGAGGAAGAGGTCACATACACAACAGAAAACATTTTTGACTGTTTAACAACGATAAGTGGGACTTCAAGAAGTGAGAAAGGCAACTACACTTCAAATGGGACATTGGATGATTTCTGCACTGACTTTGGACACCTTTTACCAAAAACATGTACCTAAATTATTATAATATTACATTTTGTTTTTCTAAAGACTACTACTAGACCATTATTGCATTAAAGAGTGTAAATATTACCCCAAGGAAAAATATTAACTTTACTGTCCTTTTATTCAAAGGAGTCATTTAAATCTTGCCAAAATATAAATCAAGGTTGACTACTTTCAAACATTAATAACATTAATTTAATAATTATTACTTGACTCCAGTATATATTTTTCGTTGGAGTAAATATTGTAAATACATGATGCTAGTCAAGTAATAATCAAGAGTCATCAGTTTATTATGATAAATCATGTTATACCATATTAAAAACTCAATAAAAATATATATATAATAATTATGTTCTCCTTACAGTTACAGTCTTATATCAAGCCCAGCCCTTTATCTTGGATTTCCAAGGCATGAATAGTTTTCTTTGTAAGCAAGTATGAATTCCCAATAACCTTAAACAGTTTCGTTTTTACCACTAAACTTCCTACAAAAATGTACATGAAGTGCATTTTCAAGTATAATCTTAGATCAAATTTTATCTAAGTTAATAATTAAAATACAGAATATTAATTTGATACCATTTTAACCAGTACTGGGTCTGGGTATTAGCCAAAACTTAATAAAATCATTCTCATCTATTATCTGTTTTTGGGTTGAAAATTATGTACTGCAAAAATGCCTTGTCCTAATTTCAAACTGGTACTTTTGAGAAAATCAGGCTGATTTTGCTTGACATTCATACCCTCAACTGTCATTGATAACGCCATATATGGTGAACTACAGAATTAAATTATTACCATTTTTTGACTGATTGACTCTATTAATAATGCCATACATGGTGAACTGTAGAGAAGGGTCACTTACGGTTCAGTTCGATTAACCGCGGTTTTTGTCCCACGGTTCTACTGGGACCGTCTGATCGCCAAGAACCGAGTCCAGAACGGTTCCATCACTCCCGGGAAAATACTTTATTTTCGTGCAGTGCAACATGAATCCAAATTTTTTGCGCAAATGATTACAGCTCTATTTCATCTAAATAGCAAATGAAAGTACCATTTAATCGACAATTGAACAACTTTAAACGATCAATAGAGTAATAGAATCGTCTCCTTGGATATTTCATTGCGCTTCCACGTCTCGGGGGAACACAATTCTATTTGCGAGCGTGAATTAATTTCAAGCGGAAACACTTGTGTTTTAAAAATGACGGACAGTTTTCGAGGTCTTAGGCAAAGAGTAAAACCATAACAGAAACTTTCCCACGATGCCTAAGTTGGATGTTTGGAAGTATTTGGTTTCTCCGAAGAGAATTCCATATTCGTCTACCCTATGTCGGTTGTGCAACACGACATTGAAATACGCTGGAGGTTTCCAATTTTTGTGATTGAAACTTTTTGTAAAATTTTAAAAAATTTTAAAAATTAGACTGCGATCTTTACTAGACTTCAATTCATCCCCTATCTTGTAACTGCTTTCTATTACCCACTCATTAACATTTTTATGACTGATATATACACTTTTTCATGTGTCCTACCCCAGGTCCTAAGTCAGGTTGAGAATTTGGGTAAACACCCCCCTACCCCACCTAGCCCACTGCACTATTATCTGTTATTCCCAACTGAACGATTTCTGTACCATCCATATAAATTCAATTTTTCAGGAAACACATCTACCTTGAAGAAACATATTGAAAGGTCTTCCAACCAGACCCAGTTTAAAAAGGAATCCCTCCCATCTAATACGGGGCAGGCGGCTTTGATAGCTAGCTACAAATAGTTAAAATCTAGTTATTTAATTCCATAAATATTCAATGATTATCAGCTATCACGATTCCATATTGACCATTTTTTATTCCATAGTTAACATGATATTCATAGGATAACACGTGAAAATAAAAACGGTATTTTTGTAATCAGTGGTAAAATATGATATACTTTTGACAAATTTTCACTTAACAATGACATACGGCGACGTATGCTATGAATAATGGGAATTTTTGCCACTTCAGACTCAAAACGAGGCTAAGTGTCAACATAGCCGGATCGTTTGGAAAATTCGAATTAAATCACTTAATTTCCAAACGATTCTGATGATGACTTTAACTATGGAATAAAAAGAACATCCTATGATTTACTTATGATATGATTTTAATCCACTCATGGATATTGATATCATATCCATTCGTAGATAAAAATCATATCACTCATAAATCATAGGATATCCTCTATTTATAAGATTGAAAATAAAATGATATCCCCTAATAATACAAAATAAAAGTGAAACACCTTTTTATGTTGCCATATTTGTGGCATAAATTGCAATTTATGACACCCACCTTATTAAGTATATGATTGAAGAACCGACCGAACTGAGAGACAAGAACCGAGAATCGTACCGAACCGAACCGTGACCGACCCTACTCTAGCGAACTGCAAAGATTTAAAAGGACTTACCATTTTTGGACTGAATGAATGGCCTCCAATGAGTTCTCCTATAAAGGTAAGTTTATTTGGCTCTGACTCTCTCAGGAGATGCTTTTCCATTCCTACCACTGCCTCTAAGTAGTCACTCTTTAAGCTATTGAGAGAAATAAAATAAACCAAGTTAATTTAGGGATGGCTATATATATTAATGTGTATAGGGTTATGTACTGGAAGGTTTTGGATATGGTAGGAACCAAAGGTAGATGTGCACATCTCAAGAGGGATAAACCGCATATCCAAACGACCATATTTAACTGCTTAATCCTATACCCAGTAGAGTTTTCTATTTTTTCAATTTTCATATTTTATTTTTGTCAAATTTTTTTCACATTTTTCTAAAAAAAAATTTCACATTTTTTTCACATTCATTTCATTTCCACATTAGGATAAAAAGAGGATATCCTATGATTTCGGAGGGATACCATTTTTATCCATGAGTAGATATCGCCTATCTCCATGAGTGAGCTCAGCAAATGAGTGGAGATTGGCGATATCCAAGAGTTGATAAAAATGATAGCTGAGAAAATCATAGGATATCATATTTATTATCCTATGGTTGCTATTTTTGTATGGACTTAAAATAATTAGACCTAAAAGTTGTCGTTTTCTAATTCTTTTCTAATTTTTTCATTTCATTTTCTATGAACTTATTTTTACAAAATGAATGCATGAAAAAATATAACTCATTCTTACTGAGCACATAACCTTTTTACTTGCATTTGAATTTTTTTTCAAATTTTTTTCCGAATTAATTTTTGAAATATTTTTTTCAAACATTTTTTCACAATTTTTTTTTCAAAATATTTTTTAATAGTATCCGTTGGATAGGATTGGATATCACGTCATATGGTTCGGATACGATTTTAGTGGCACATACCAAAATTATCTTGTGTTGTTATCCCCATATATATTTAGTATCCATTGGATAAATATGTATATACACAGGTCAGAATGTGTAGGATATGACATTTAGGTGTGTCTTTTAAGATTTATACAAACACAAAATGCTTTTCATGGTTGACACAAGTTGAGGTGTAAGTTTTTATACATTATACAACTAGAAAATAATGTTCACACATTTTGGTTTATAAGACCCTTATCTACCCCTAAAGCCTCGGTCAGATTTGATGAACGGCAGCTGTATGGCAGTCGTAGTTTCCCAAATAAAGAGAATCATGCAGCATAAAACATAGGGATAAGCCCTACGATGTAGATTTTCTACATCGATTTTGTGAACCTACGACTGGCGTAGAGAAAATATGACTGAGGCTTTAGGTGGGATCTTTAAAAAGGGGGTGTAGGTATCGTGATGATGTTCATGGGGGAATCTAGGAAAGACACGGGTCAGAGGATTCAAATAAGTTAAATTATATAACCTTATCTAAATATGTTTCATAAAACTTACATGTCATTAGTTTTGCCTGTCTGCAGCCACTGTTTAAGTAGATACTCATAATAGCTGTCAGCACGAGCCCCAAATGTAAGTGTACCCCCTTGACGGAACCTGCCCGTATTGGCATTGATGAAGTATGGGACCAGCCCATCCTTCTTTGGTAATTCATGGACATGCTGAGCAACACTGTCAGTGGCTTCCTGGAATAAATTCTTGACATTTTATTTTAGTAAATGGAAAATACGACACAAAGGATATCTAATGGGTTTACATCATACACAGGGCAACCAAAAGTACTCAACTCTCTATTTTTGGTATAACTTTCCTAATCATGGTAGAATTTTCTGCAGTAGATTGGACCACCAAACAGTGGTCTACTTATATTGCAGAGCATTTGAGACTTAGTGAAATCAAGTTAACACCAAGGTATGCTCTAGTGACAAATAAGTTGCATTTTTGGGTCACCCTGTATTATAAAGTCCTTACCTCATATTTATGATCCCCAGTGATCCTGCTGAGATCTTTGAACTCCAGCTGTATGGTGGTCACCTCTGATGTACTACTGTCTGGTCCCCACTTAGGAGCATGTGCATAGCCAGACTTTAGATTCACATCAGAGAAAGGCACCCCTGATCTCTTATCAAAACAAGGCAGCAATCTGTCCCCAAGGTCAATCTACAAAAATGTGTTGATTTATTAATTACTGAGTGTATCCTGATTTTCACATTTTTACAGAATTCAGGTGCTAGTTAATCTGAAAACATAGGATCAAATCCTATGCTAAGGGCTGATGTGAAAAAGACACTCCAACCTGGAGGGAATCGAAGTATAAGAGTCAGTACATTGACAAGAAAATTATGAAATTCAGATAGACAAACACAGATATAGGTTTTCCTGCTTTGTTAAAATTAGTATTTATAAATCACAATGTCATTTATTCCAAATATATTAATAACCATACAGTTGATTGAATTGCTGAACTTTATGTTAGGATGTCCCAGGATGACATTTGAAACAACATTAGAAATTGACATTTAGAGCAAACCTACTGCTTTATTTAGGAATACAGTGTCCTTGGTCAGATGGTATGCACTGAGGAGGCCTCCCAGGATTCTAATTGTTATCTCAAACAGATTCACATCTTTGTTAATGTTGAAATCTAGGGAGTTAGCGACCCATTCTCTGGCCTCTTCAAATTCTGAAAGTACAATGATATAATATAATACCCTGAATCCACACCAGCTGGCTAGGCTACCCTCTCACTAAAACATGATTTTGCTAATGAGATCTTTTAATATGAATTTAATGCTAGCTACTTATAAGCAAAATTGTAATTTCATGATTTTCTGAATACAGTTCATGTGTTTTGATTGTATAAAGGCAATATCAAAGAATCATCTTGAATCTAGAGCTGAAATGAGGTGGAGTTCTTCCAAAGGATAGAAATAATATGGATCTACTGAGTCAATCTGCTGATATGTGATTTACAGTTAAATAAGAGCCCAATAATTGAATTTGTGATGATTTTTAAATGAAATTATGATTTATTAATTCAATCCATAAAACATGAAGAGACAATTAACAAAACTTTACCTTCTTTTAAGCCCATGATGTACATTGTGTCTAGTGAGTCAACTAAAGTCAAACCAACACCAAACCATGTGCTATAGCTTCTGCTGATTGGCTGAAGTTCATCACGCCCCCATGCATATTCCTTATAGCCCTTCCAAGAATGCTTGAATGCTTCAACTACTGCCCTTTGTCTTGGATTCTGGGGCCCTGTGATAATCATTTTGTCAGGCTGAACATGTTCCTGCAAAAATAACATATCACATCCAGTCAGAATGCTCTTCTGAGTGGGAACCGGGAAGGGTAGCATAAGTTTTCTGATACTAATTTAACTACATCGATGTCATGGGTTGTGGTGCATTGATATTCTTATAATATCTAAAATACGAATTTACATGTGTATCAACAAAATAAGTTGAAAAATAACATTAAGCAAATAATCAATAAGTTGAAGTCAATAAGATGAAGAATTATTACCATAGAAGAGATTATTGTAGAAAACATTTCTAAAGGTCTAATTACAGAGAATGACCTTTAGTTTGGGATAAAAGCTTGTCTAATTATCTCATGGGAAACTCAGAGTAAAACATGGATAAATGCCAGATGTTTATGATAGCAAGATCTAGATTTAGTATTTACTTATAGAGGAATTGCACTACATATTTATATGAGTTTTTCTTTTGTTTATACAGGAAATACCTACATCTTTGTATACATAAATATTTTTCTGACTCATGTCATGTAAATTATACATGTACTAGGATCTTTAAAAATACACAATTTGCAATAAACATATCTCATAATTTAATATGTGTTTACATCATAATATTTAGTACCTTTGTGTTAATTAGTGTATGTTGTATATCATTATCTGTGATATATATCATTATCTATTATTATCTATGATGTTGTATATCATTATCTGTGATGTTGTATATCATTATCTGTGACGTTGTATATCATTATCTGTGACGTTGTATATCCTTATGAACTGGGACATTGTATATCATTATTTGTGACATTGTACATCATTATCTGTGACATTGTATATCATTATCTGTGACATTGTATATCATTATCAGTAAAATATCACTCACTTACCTTTGTTCTGTTTCTGACATTTTTAGGGGGTCCTCTTTTAGGCTTTTTCCAATCATCCTAAAAATGTGCAAAATTGAAATGAACAATGACATCTGCATAATTCATTTAATGCAAATAACATAATGTTTCTGCAGGGCCAAGGTGAATTCTGAAACACTAAATCTCTCCCTCTTATACAAGCATAACAGAAATTCACATATTATCTGAACCAAATAACATTTTAAACGAGGCTTCCGACCCTTCAACAAATAAAACAACAAAGTAAATATATTACTACATACCACTGCCACTTGGTCTATTGGCTTATTCGCATTGTTTCTAATTTCCTCAAAGTCAACAATCTTCCTTGTAACAGAGTCACCCTCTGAAGAATAATAAGCCGTTGACTCAGATATATATGTATGTGTTAAATGTAGATATGAATATGTCACCTAGTGCCTCTGAGAGTCACCACCTGCCATTTGATACAGATGCTAAATGTTGAATACCAACCATCAGAGGCCATCGACAAAAAAAGTTGAAAACTCTAACAATATGTCAACACTTCTGGTGGTGACATAAAAGGAGAAATTAAAAAAAGATAACAGAAAAATATGTAAACTGTAAACAGCATGGAGCCATAATATGGTCTTTAGCTTTTCTTCCAGTTTTGGCTCACTTTGTTAACATTACCTCACCTAACTTTGTATGCTGGCTATGCCCTTGAATGCCAAAAGAAAGAGAAAAACCCCTGGTAAATCTTTTCATAGTCATATATAATTGTTATACCCATGTCAAAGAACATTTTCAAGTCTAGTTTAAAATAAACTTTTTTTCATGTTATCAATTTATTCCTTACAATAGATTTCAACTAGACAACAGCAACGCCAAAGCATAGCAAATCCCATCGAACAGCCACGGCTGGCATTTTTACAAACAAAGTATATAGCAAATTTGGCAGCCATTTTGAAAAATGGCCACCTTCTACCACAAGTGTCATTAGACAGAGTGCCATGCTTATAGTATTCACATACCAAATATGAGCAAAATCGCTCCACTACTTTTCGAGTTATAGTAAAATACGTTAATTTAAAAATGGTGGCCATTTTTCAAAATGGCCGCCTTCTACCAAAAGTGTCATTAGACAGTGACAGTGTGCCATGCTTATAGTATTCACATACCAAATATGAACAAAATAGCTCCAATACTTTTCGAGTTACAGCAAAAATCATAAAATAACGAGTAAAGGCCGCCATTTTTCAAGATGGCTGCCGTGTGCTTCTTTAATGTCTACATTTCTAGCTTTATAATGTCCTATATATTTTTTACATTTAAAACATATAGCTATTACAGTTTAATATATTGCACCTAAATTACTGTAAAATTGGCACTAAAATGGCCGCCATTTTTAAATGAGCGGCCATTTTGCAAGCGGCTTTTGAGCAGAACTTCTTCCCCCATAGGGTATATGTGTACAAAATATGAACAAAATCGGGCAAACGGTATTTGAGTTATTGCCCGGACTGACGGACGGACGGACAGACGGAGGCGTTCCCTATATCCCTCTGAACTTTGTTCGATGGGATAATTAGCTTATTGCCAGGGTTTTACAACATTAGCAGCAATTCAATATATATATATATACATGTTTGCAAATATTAGATATAAAAATAGAAAGGTTACTTGGTTTTTATATTCCAAAATCCCTGAAGCTTATCCCATGGGCCGGGATGTTAACAAAAGTTGAAGAAGATGTTGGTCAATTCAGAAAAAACTCGTTAATTACTACAAGATAGATAATAAATCAAGACTTGTATGTATATACAATGTAGTAGCTAACAATATGAATTAAAGCTTCATTCATTGTAGCATCTAAGTTAGTGTTTCCGAAAAGTAAAAATTGTAATTCATCATTCAAGTTGTAATTATTAAACAAGTCGCTTAAATTGTCAGTATGGAGGCCTGCAATAAGGTTGTTTCTTTTATCTTGGAGAAGTGGGCACTTTAAAAGAAAATGCATGGTTGTCATTGGTACACCACAATGACAAAGAGGATGTTTAATTCTTTGAAGTTGTGAGCATAGAGGTGTGATTTTAACAAGAGGCCAGATCTAAGTCTATTGAACTGAATTTTGAGATGTCTGGGTAATATGTCTAGTTTTTAATGAACACTATATAGATTTTATGTGTATATTTATGCTTTTGTTTTTAGTTATTTATTTAGAAAATACGAAGTTGATGTCACCTTAATTGTGAATCTTAAAAAGACCGGAATTACAGAATGAGGCTGCACAAATGTATGGTCACAAGGTCACCAAATGAGGTAATTGTCTAATATGAAATAATTGGGTGTAGAACTATTAATAGCCCAATTCACACTACACGCAGCATTCCAAGACGTTTTGGCTAAAACGTTTTAAAAAAATTAAGTTGAGTTTACATTACCATTTTCAAGATGTCTTAGGAAGTAAGATCAAGTTTACACCCATTTTCCTAAAACGTCTTAGAGATACATGTATGTAGGTATACATGTAAAATGAAAAAAACAGTTCAGTACTGGTTGAAGGACGGTTCAGTCAATATAGCTATTCCTTTCCTGCTTGTATACTTTGTACCCGACTTTGTACTAAAGAATGCATTGGTTTCAGAAAAATATGTCCTAAAGACAGCATTGTTAAAAGCATGAAAGAGAGCATGAAGATTTTGTGCATAAATTAGGATTATGATAAATCGCCAGGCAAATAAGTTCTTCTCAATAATTTTGGGATGATATTGGGAACAAGGGATAAGACAAAATAAAGGACCATGCGACATATGTAAATGGAAAGTTTCAAATGTTTCGTTTGGTGCAATGCAAAAAAACGGGCTAAGAACGCTTAGCTAAAACCGATGGATTTACACTCGCTCGTAAAATGTTTTAACTCTAGGACATCTTGGCTATGACTAGGGTCCTAAAACGTTTTAGCTAAGCGCTCTTAGCCGAGAGCTGTGGAGTAAATCTGGATTTACATTACATTTGTAAAACCGTTTTAGCGTAGCTGAGACGTCTTAGTGCGCTAGTGTAAATCAAACAAATGTGTCTTGCTCTATATTCTGTGTTTTCATGTATCATCAACCAAAAGGTATCACCAAAAGGGTAAAATTACATTTCATCAAGGTCATGCAAGATTAGGGGAGATGTCAAAAGTAATCAAACATATCAATAATTCATATTTTTGGCAGGATGCTAACCGATTTTGAATGGTGTGCCAGGAGCTTGAAATGATTAGAAGATTGACCAGAATTTTAACTTGTATCACATATTTGCCCCCACCTAATCCCCCAATCTATTCCCCAACCTAGAATATGTTAGAATTGAAAATAAGAGGATGGGCCACACATGGGGCTTGACACGATACTAATTATGCATGTAATAATCACCGTACCTCCAGTCCCATCACCAATCTTCCTTCTAGTCATTCTATCTATTTCTGTGCCCATGATATCATGGTATATGATAGGTCCCAAATAGACTACAGCTACAATACCCAAGCATGTGGCAACTAAGAGGATGCTCCTTTGAAGACTAGAAAGTCTTTTCCAACTCTGAAAAATATATACATATAACTGTGTAGCTTACATACCATTTGATAATACGAAGCTTACGCTTCCCTACATCTCCATACTCTGTTTGTGAGTCTGTAAGTTATCAGCTGCTTCTGTGCCGATCAAGACTTGTCGTTATCTCTGAGGGGACATTTTCTAGCGAGAAATCGTAATGATGGTTTTGACATAGTTTTTTGCAGTACCAATTCAGTATTTCAGTTTCATACAGATCAGACAGACTTTGAAATATGTTAAAGTACTAGTACGGTTAAGTGAGTCTGAGATGTGTGAGAACCGAGATCTACATATCTGATATTATTCTCAATTATTCTGATGTGCAAAATAAGAAAAAAAGGAATCTAGTCTAACTTACTCTCCAGCAGGATTGTCGCCTTGCTTTACCATTGTCATAATGTCCCTGGCCATCACCAAGTGATATTGCGCTGTATTCGCGCCTACTTGATGATGAATACATCTCTTCAAACTTCAAAGCACCTCAACAGCAAGGAAATATGAACTTTTAAAAATTTACGTGGAAAATGTTTGGACCGAAGAGCACTAATTTTCTCCACATCCGCCAGAAGAAGACTGCTTGGTGATAATGAATAAAGTGCATATTTATTGGAAAATATCTGTATTAAATGTGATAAGTATTTTATCAAATACTAATTTTGAGTTCGTTCTATATTATATCACTTTCATTTGATGAGGAATGTCTATTTATTTATACGTATTGATAAACATAAAAATTCATCCGCGATTTATTTACGACAACATGTCAAGCATGAAAGTTAAAATCTGAAATTCGGTAAGATTACCTCTTTGTTTTATGAGGTTTAATTGCATTTATGTGTAGTACTTGACGATTTAACTTTTCTGAAATATACTTTGATATATCAGTATAAAGTCTACGGACTTTGAATGCCTTTTGTAATCAATTTCTACTCAGAATGACACTAAATGGGACAGCAAATATTTTTGAAAATGAAAGTTTTTAAAAAAAATCTGAATGTCAGCAAATATTTCTGTATTTTGTTCATCAGGTTCACTGCCCTTTGTGAAAAAGGTACAGATAGTTGAGTTTTGCTCATTCATAAGAATCTGCAACTGTAATATATAGCTGTCGCGATCTACTCTAGCGTCCATGAAGTAACTAAGCTGTCAAGCCTTACTGGAGTCTCTTTCCAATTCTTGGCTAGAAGTAATTTCATCTGGAACACCTTATCGCATCCTACGACCCCTTTAGATTGTGGTCGTAGGCCCGTTTCATTCGTAAGCCTGTCTTTCTACAATGTCGGAGAATGAACTACGCATTGCGCTATTAAATGACCTACCTCGATACATTCCAGAGTTTTTTAAAATTCTTTTTATGTTGTTAGTATAAAATACTGTCCAATAACCCGGAAGTGAATTATAGAAATATAGGTATCGTGAGCCAGAACAAAGGGAAATTGGACTAGTACTTCATAAGAAATTACTAATGAGGTAAGTGATGAATCGGTGTCGGGAATATGATAGAATGATAGGTCTAGTGTAAAAAGGGTGAAGTTACAAGGTGAAATATAAACCTACACAAATACAACACAGCAAGCTAAAAAGAATAAGGGATTAGGTACTTTAAATATCACCACACCAACTACCAACTAATAGTAAATCACACAAGAAATATATTCATTCAATAAAGTCTATTCTATTATACTTGCGTTTTATGTCACAACTGAAATATATATGTACAATGCGAATAAATAGTATTTAAATTATATAGATTATAATTTACATAAATGCTTAATGTCTTTAAATCTATTAGAATGAAATTAAACTCAATAACGCTGAAATCTGCAGTCTGATAAAATGTCTTCAAAATTATGACCGGGATACTACTTCCAACCAGAACAGAATTGCCAACAACGATCTTGTAATAAAGTTGAATTTTATGCCCTCTATAAATTCAGTCGGGAACTAATAGCATGAAAAGTGACGTCAGCTATGCGTTAAAAGCCCGAACGAGATTTTGATAAATGGGAAAGAGCTGTGAACTTTCAACCGTCAAAGACTAAGGATGTTATTTTAAACACCAGAGGTGCAAACTCAATGGAATGTGCCCGTAAGGACTTCTTTCAATTACAATCAATATTCAAGTTCAAGTTAAAAGCTGTCTAGGATACAATAATCCACAAAGATGCTCAAGTTTTAACGAATGAATCTAGACTTCAAAAGTGACGTATGTGATCACGTGACTAAGTCGTCTGCTTTCCCCAAAGTTATGATTTAATTTGACCAATAATTCCCTTAATTGATAACGTGAATCTCTATTCTGTACTATCTTGAACCTTCCCAGCATATGGGCTTATCGGGACAAACTCCCAATCTTGTTCAACTGTTACAGACTGCAGATTAACACCGTTAGAAAATATGTGCGGGAAAAATGAAAGTTTCAAAATGTTTCTTCAAAGTTCAATTATCGATCAATATTACTGTCTTAAATCCCTTCACTCCCTTATGGAATGCTATGGATTTCTATACAGTACTAAAAATTAACTTACCCAAACGCCAACACCCCGCTTTTGGTCAAAAATTACGTTGCTCATGAATCCGTGGTGAATGTAGCCCAACTTCTCGAGATGTGTTCAAAGCCAAGGGTACTGTGCTGTGGCGAGTATTTTCCGAATCTTAGCTCAGCGGTGCGAGAATTGTTACATTGTATCCGCAAAATGCACTTGTTTATATAGCAACAAATGGACATACGCAATTTCGGGGACGACGTAGGGAGAAATATATGTAATGTTACTAAAAATGGGATATTACCAAGGTTTTTAGAGCTACGTAGGGTAGTAAAAAAGGCAGAAAGAGCAGCTTATTGGACAGGAATTATGAGGTAGGGACTGAGAAAATGATGTCACTTTGAAAAGTGACGCAAAGTTGAGACTGCAAATTCAGCGCTTTACAATGATAAATAGGTTTTCTCTATAAAGATACTAGCTCTGATACGATGATTCTGGCATACGTATTGCAATAATGTGATCATGTTAAAGGGACAGGATATGGTTAAATACTGATTATAGATATTAAAGGGACACACACTGGATAAATACGATATAATAAATAGCTATATACAGGGTGGGTCTCTACAACTACCCCCTTCTTAAAAAATTCAGTTTTGTCCTCAAACATAAAAATCAAGCTAATTAAGCTAACCGCCTCACTGTATTCAGGAGAATTTACATTAACAAGTCACAACAAATCACCCAAAAAGTCTATGCACTGTTCAAAAAGTCTAAGTCCAGCCCCTCCAAGTCTACATCCGGCCCTTCCAGGTATTCTCCAACCGCTCTGCTGTTCATCCCCAGCAGAGGATCCCCGCTCTCCGCCAGCAATCCTCGGACCAGAGGGGAATCTGCTAGTTCCGGCCCGTCCTCTAAATCCCGCAGGGGATGCACAGCGGCTGTGAGCTGGGGCATCGAGATCGATGCGGGATCGACCCCCAGCTCCTGCCCCGTGCCATCCCCCTCCTTGGGTTGAGATCCTTTGGATTTCTTTCGGGGCGGCTCCTCGACGGTAGGGTGTCTGCGCCTATGGAAGGCCAGAGCCTCTGCATCTGATGGAGTAAAGGCAGCCGTACAACTTCCCACTCCGCAGGCCACGGAGGCATCGTGGGAAAAACATCGGTGTAATTCCCAGTCCTCTCTAGAAACAAATTGCTTGAGGCACTTATAGTGGCGCCCAACGGGCCATCCCTGGGGTGGTTTACCAGCCATCTGGCACACCTACAACAAAATAAAACTCTTACCCTCTTTACCCTACTAGGAAGGTTTTAAGTATTTTTATACGAACCTCCCCTAGGGTCTTAAGGTACTAGTTTTCTTGATATTTAATTAATACATATATACTTGACCATATTGAATTTAGAATGAACATCTTTTCATCCCTTTTTCAATCTATTCAAGTCTTTAAAAGTTAATCCTCTACGATCAAAAAGGGCTAAAAGAAAGTTTATAAGAACGGGTACAAGCCATAAGCACAAGTTAAATCACATTAAAGATAATCGTGAAAGTAATATAGATTAAATGTACATGATAAGAATATTAAGGCACTTGACTCGACTCGTGAAATCTGACATGGAGCTACTCTATAACATAATCAGTCAGCCACTCAGGTTTCTTTCGGGTCCTTTGCCTTCTAGAGTTCTCAATTTCAGGAGCATTCTCAAAATCTGAGGGTTGGGAATTCTCAACAGGGGTTTCAGTCTCTTGATCTAGACTCTCATTAGTATTTTGTGGAATGAATGTTTTGAGGCGATCGTGGTGAATGACTCTTGTATCTCTCTCGTTAATTTTGATTAGATACCTTAAATCATCTATTTTCTCCGCCACCTCATAGGGTCCATGCCACTTTAGAGCAAACTTAGGAGTCTGGCCAACCTTCACAGCTGGAATATGGACCCAAACCTGTGATCCCTTTTCGAATGACTTTAAATTTGCTTTGACATCATACCCTCTCTTCTGTCGGTCACTAGATAATTTGATATTGCCGCGAGCCGCCTCGTGAATATTGAGTAGAACTTCTTGTAATTTCTCACAGTATTTTGTATGACATGTGCTATCAAGTTCTCCCCTCTCAATTTCAGGAGGAGGCCCGAGCAACAGATCGGTGGAGGTCCGAACCTCCCTTCCGAACATCAGAAAATTTGGGCTGTAGCCAGTAGTAGCATGAACAGCACTGTTGTAAGCAGAAACAACAAAGGGGAGACATCGGTCCCAGTCCCTCTGATCAGATGCAACAATTTTAGACAACATAGCCTCCACAGTCCTGTTTGATCTTTCTACCATACCATCAGACTGTGGATGATATGGAGTCGTTCTTGTCTTACTCATGCGGAACATTTCACATAATTCTTTAAATAGTTTTGATTCAAACTGGGCACCTTGATCGGAATGAATTTGAAGAGGTGACCCATAAATACAAATGAAATGATGTAGCAAAGCTTCTGCCACGGTGGCAGCTTCTTGATTAGGGACAGGAACCAATGCCAAAACCTTTGTGAAATAATCTTCAATTGATACCACATACTTGTTCCCCAACAGACTTTCTGGTAAAACCCCCAAAATATCAATGGCTATTCTCTCAAGAGGGGCACCCACATTGTATTGTTTCATTGGTGTTCGATGTTTCTTATTGGGTGGATTTCTCCTCTGACACAAAAGGCAACCCGCTACCCATCTAGCAAGGTCAGACTTGAAACCAACCCAATAGTATTTGGCCCTCAAACGATCAAGAGATTTATTGACCCCAAAATGCCCACTGTCAAGAGCCCCATGAGTCATTTCTAAAATGGTTTGGTGCATGCCTTCAGGCACCACAATTTGCCAGCTAATGATCCCAGTGTCAGTATCTACCCATTTCCGATAAATAATTCCCTGTTCCAATTTGAACCTGTCCCACTGAGACCAGTAATGTTTAAAGGTAGGTGATTTGTCTGATACGTCTGCCCAGTCAGGTCGGTTCCCCACCTTAAGCCAATTTTTGATTGTTAAAAGACATGGATCCTGAGCCAAGGCCTCTTCATACTCTTTGAGAGATATTCCCGGTGCCCAAGTGCTCCCTGAAACAGGAAGATTCCTCAATTTGGGAGTATGAACAAGCTCTGGCTCTAAGTTTGAGTCAAAGATCACGTCAAAACTTCTAAGAAGCAAGTTAGCCTCAGGATCAATCAAGGCTTCCTCCTTCCCAGGAACTCTACCCAGTTTCTCTTGTCTTTCGCAATATGCACAGTCAGTACAGGGACGTCTAGACATTCCGTCGGCGTTCAGATGTTTTGTACCAGGTCGATGTTCAATTTTGAAGTCATATTGCCCCAATAACTCTAACCACCGGGCAATCTGTCCTTCAGGATGTTTAAACCTCAACAACCAAGCCAAAGAGCCATGATCCGTTCTGACTTTGAAACGACTGCCGTAAAGGTAATGGTGAAACACTTTAACAGCCCTCACTATAGCCAACAATTCCAATCTAGTGACACAATAGTTACGCTCAGGTTTGGACAATGATTTGCTATAATGACTGACAACTTTCATTTCCCCATCAACTTCCTGTTGTAACACAGCACCAACCTGACAAGCAGAAGCATCAGTATCCAAGATAAACTCTTTGGACTTATCTGGGTAAGCCAACAATGCAGAACTCAAATAAAGTCTCTTCAATTCCTCAAAGGCAAATTGACAATCCCCTGACCAGACAAATGGAACACCTTTCTCAGTAAGTTTGAACAAGGGTCTAGCCAGTCCTGAAAAACCCGGAATGAACTTCCTATAATAAGAACAGTAGCCTACAAAGGACTGGATTTGTTTCACAGTACGAGGAACAGGCCATTTCACAATTGCCTCAGTTTTCTTTGGATCAATTTTTACTCCATCTTCAGACACAACATGACCCAAATAGGATACTTCTTTTTGAAACAACTTACATTTTTTCGGGGACAATTTCAACCCAGAACTTCTCAATTTTTCAAAGACTTGACCTAATTTTTCCAAATGACTTTCAACGTCCTTGCTGAATACAATTATATCATCGAGATAGACTAAACACATCTCCGGAGACAAACCAGCAAACACGCATTCCATAAGCCTCTGAAAAGTGGCTGGGGCATTAGCCAGACCGAACGCCATTACATTAAATTCATACAAACCACGTTTGGTGCAGAAAGCGGTCTTTTCAGCGTCAGCATCGTCCATAGCTATCTGCCAAAACCCACTAGCCAAGTCAAGTACAGTGAAGTATTTAGAACCGCACAAAGAGTCCAAAGTATCGTCAATTCTGGGCAACGGATATGCGTCTTTGATGGTGACGTCATTAAGTTGTCTGAAATCTATACAGTACCTATAGCTACCATCCTTCTTTGGCACCATCACAACAGGTGAGGCCCAAGGACTTTTGGATGGCTTAACTATGTCATGTTCAATCATCTCGTCCAAGGCCTTGTCATAATCAGTCTGTTTAGACAAAGGCACACGTCTAACAGGTTGTTTGATGGGTCGGGCATTCCCGGTGTCAATTTTATGCTTTATAACTTCTGTCTTTCCTAAATCAAATTTAGATTTCGCAAAAACATCTTGATTTTGTAACAGAAAATTCTTAACTTTGGAACGGTCGCGATCTGACAAGTTTTCCGTTGAATCGTCAATCAGATGTCTTAAATGGTCCGGTATATCTTCATACGTCTTTTCCAGAGATTGGTATTCAATGCCACCAGCTGCAATGTTATTTCCAGTCACTCGTTCATACCTTGCTACACCATCGTCATGAGAACAGAGGGCGTGACCTGGACAATCAATCATCCTAGCGGTATAGGGCTGCCCGAGGTGCGCGTTCGGCACGTCATCTAAGGACTTTCCAGCCTCACTTTCCAGCGCCTCGTCAGCTACAGCAGTGCAAGGGGTCAGACCTGAACATAATCTCAGATCCCTAGTTAGGACGTTTCCAGCGCATAAGGGATCGTCAGTCTCTGAATGATCGTCATCATCGCATCGAGACTCCCCAATTACGTCACGAGGTAAAATGTCAGGTCGTAGTCTGGCACGTTTGCCCTTCACCCCCTGTGGACCATCTCTCATTGAATTACCAATTTCCGGATAAGTACCACCCTCGATGTCAAGTTTTTCCCCACAAGAAACAACAGGATCCCCTATGTTAAACATTGGTTCCCCAGTTGCTACTGCAGTATTCTTGTAAAGGAACAAGGGTTTTAAACTAAGGTTAGCCAATCTAATTGGAATAAAAGGTTGACTAGGGTCAACAAGGGATTTGGCAATAATCAGGGGAGGAAATTTTTCTCTATCTGCCAAATTCCCATTCATTTCAATTAACAGAGGTGTATCACCCAAGTGTTGACATTGTACTTTTCCGGGAACAATCATTTCTGTCATGGGAGGCACTCTGACAGTATCTTGCATTAAAATTCGGCACTTGGTAGACAAATCAGTCTCTAATATACAATCAAAATCTTTGCCATGCATAGTCAACAGTGCATCCCCGACATTAAGGATTGCCTTTTGATTCTTTAAAAAATCGTAGCCTAACACAGCCGGAGTGGTTATGTCGGCCACTAATAATGTTTGAACCACCCGTATACCCTGACCTAAATAAAATCCACATTCAATTCTACCATGACACTTTACTTTGTTACCATTTGCCACGGATATATTCAAATTGCTTGTTTTACATTGTTCGAACACTCCTAATAATTTGCTAGTTTCAGTCGACAATATGCTCACATTTGCACCAGTATCGATTAATGCAGGAACAGTAATTTCCCCAAAGTTCAATTGCAAATATAAGCCATTGTAACGACTATCGGTCAAATGATTAAATATATAGGGTCTTTTGGAATCATCAGTCGAAGTCTGACCCTGTGACTCGACTATTGATCGTTTCCCGAACTATTTTGAATCTGCTTCCGGCATTCACGCATGTAATGATCTGCAGATCCACAAATCCAACAACACCGGTTGCCATTTCTCGCTTTGGGATGCTTATTTGGACAATATGTGGAAAAGTGTTCTTTCGATCTACAAATTCCGCAAGGTCTTGATGGACGCCGATCATTGCCATTCTGATCCCGTTCAGATAAGGATTTTTCCAAGGTTTGGATTCTAGATTCCATTTCGGAGAATGTCATCTTGTTAACAGCAGGGTTAGTTTCGACCAATAAAGTGGAATTATCATCACGCCCAATATTTGGAGTCAATCGCTTCGCTCGCCCTCTTTTGAAAGATTCATATTTTAAAGCACTTGTCAACGCTTCGTTAAGAGTTTTCGGACTTGTGGATTGGACATGCCATTCCATTGCACTATCATTTAATGCGTCAATAAACGAGGTCATCGCAAAATATTCAATGGTTTCGCGAGGGATATTTTTGAAAGCTTCCCTCGATAAGCGCCTAACATCTTGCGCCAATTCCTCCAGCGATTCTTTGGATCCGCGTAACTTATTTTTCAACTTTGCCCTAGAAGTTTCATTTTGCTCCGGCGGCTCAAAACGGTACTTCAGGGCGTCCACAAGCAATTGATAATCAAAACGGTCTTCTAAACTTAAGTCGGCTAAAATGGCCAAAGCAGTGCCCTCTAAATGACCCACAAGTTGTAAAGCTTTTGCCCGGTTATCCCATCCATTCTCATACGCAATGGTTTCAAACTGAGCCAAGTAATTAGTTAGGCTAGTCTTCCCATCATACTTACCACATTTTGGAAGTTTGTTACCAAACACACTGGCTGGGAGAGATATATTCTGTCCCACTCCAGTGACATTACTAATGGGGTTGGGTGCCCTACGACGATCATTGTCGTCATAGCGATCACGCCCCGAACGGTGGGCACTAAAAGTATGATCGTTAGTCCGTCCTCGCGAAAAATTATTGCTACCCGAGCTATCAATTCCATCGGAATAGCCTGAATCAGTATATCTATTAGAACCGGACTCAAAAACACCCCCGCTTTTCCCCTGGTAACCTGATACATCGCAGTTAGAATCATTAATTGATGGGTCAACATAGTTGCTATCCTCAAGGTCCTTTCCATAATTACCACTGCAAGGGGTGTTAGGGGGCACCCTCAACCCAGGTCCACCCATTCCACTTCCGGTGGAGTTGGACCCATTTGCCCTTGCTATACTACTCCGGTGAAATACGGAATCTGAAAATTGTACATGATTTTTAGATAACCCATCCCCCTGATTAAAGATGGGCTTCCGTGTAACGTTAGATGATAATTTTGGCTCGGCAATATGTCCACCAGACATGGGAATACTAATTTGAGACGATAACAAAGGCCTTTTATTAATCGCCCCAATTCCGACATGATGGTTCTCCGTGCGCGATGGCATAGGCGTAGATACCCGGTTTAACTGATTTTTTACAGGCGTTGTCATGGATGTCCGAGCAGGCGCTAATGTACGCTTATTCAGGTCATCATTAAATAATTTTGCTGCCTGATCATTATCAGAGAAGATGGTAAATTCTTCCTGCCTTTGCAAGGGAGGAGGAAGATGCCATCTTTCAATGGGAGCAGAACGGGAACGGTTACCCTGCGCATGAGCACCGTTATCGCTACCGCTATCCTTTCGAGTTTCTTCCGCGTCATCCGGATCAGTTTTAACGTCTGGCATTATATTTTCCTTATCGAACAAATAAGATTTATCATCAACATTCAATTCCGTTTTCACAATAGTGGGCCTAGGGTTAATGCGTTCCCCCGTATCCCCCTCACTGGTGGTTGTCATGACCTTGTTGTCCCAGGACAGAGTGGTATCGTCTGGGGGGCCTGTTTCTTTTAATGGCTGCGGCCCGCCAAATTCCACCTCCCCGTCCCGGTAATTCAAAATGGTTACAGACTCCTCGACATCCTGTCGAGAAGGCTGGGTAACAATTCCATCCGCCACAGCTGACGGAGAGCTATCCTCAAGATGTTGTTCCATCTTTAAATATTAGTCACGTGATCACTTATTGTCTTTAAGATCGATTACGACGCACTCAGCAAGATAAAAATATGAACTAATTCACCAAACTATTTGTACAACGAAGCAAGCAAGCAAATCACTTAATAATTTCAATTAAGATCGTTGAAATTTAATTGGTAAATCCAACCCAATTTAAGTGGATGATTTATAAAACTTAAAAAGATTTCAACTCCGCTTTTATTGTTATTCAAAGCTATTAGCGGAAAACACACTAAAATCTTAATGGTAAAGAATCTTGTGGTCGGGGTACTATAATACCAAAAGGTAATAAATTACGGCCAGATCAGCAAGTGTTCAAGATCAAAGGTCGACTTAACCTTACGCTGGGAGTAAAATGAGTCACTCTTGAATAAAATTTCAATCCCAGAACAGAATAAAGTATGGAAATGTTCAAATAAAAAATGTTTTATATGAATTATTCCTACTGCTAACTTAGCTCAAAATCAAAATATTCTTTAAAAGTCTTTAATTAATTATTCAGAAGTAGGAGTGTAGTAAACTATGTACACAATTGAACGAGGTTTAAATTTCAAATTCCCGATAACATGAGACAGTGTGTATATATTCCTGCACAACTGTACAGATTTAGCAACTTAAATAACTTATAACCAAAAACAATGTCAAATGTACGTGAAATATATCAGCGATCTCTGATTAATGAACGGTTAAGCGAGAGATTTTACAAGCACATTCACCACCACCACGATTAGTGTAAATTAAACTAAAATCCAAGCAAAAGTAATTTAAATGAAAAAGTATGAGAGGGTTCCTTAAAAGAAGTGTTTAAGAATATCTCACCAGAGCTGCCACCATTATAAAATACTGTCCAATAACCCGGAAGTGAATTATAGAAATATAGGTATCGTGAGCCAGAACAAAGGGAAATTGGACTAGTACTTCATAAGAAATTACTAATGAGGTAAGTGATGAATCGGTGTCGGGAATATGATAGAATGATAGGTCTAGTGTAAAAAGGGTGAAGTTACAAGGTGAAATATAAACCTACACAAATACAACACAGCAAGCTAAAAAGAATAAGGGATTAGGTACTTTAAATATCACCACACCAACTACCAACTAATAGTAAATCACACAAGAAATATATTCATTCAATAAAGTCTATTCTATTATACTTGCGTTTTATGTCACAACTGAAATATATATGTACAATGCGAATAAATAGTATTTAAATTATATAGATTATAATTTACATAAATGCTTAATGTCTTTAAATCTATTAGAATGAAATTAAACTCAATAACGCTGAAATCTGCAGTCTGATAAAATGTCTTCAAAATTATGACCGGGATACTACTTCCAACCAGAACAGAATTGCCAACAACGATCTTGTAATAAAGTTGAATTTTATGCCCTCTATAAATTCAGTCGGGAACTAATAGCATGAAAAGTGACGTCAGCTATGCGTTAAAAGCCCGAACGAGATTTTGATAAATGGGAAAGAGCTGTGAACTTTCAACCGTCAAAGACTAAGGATGTTATTTTAAACACCAGAGGTGCAAACTCAATGGAATGTGCCCGTAAGGACTTCTTTCAATTACAATCAATATTCAAGTTCAAGTTAAAAGCTGTCTAGGATACAATAATCCACAAAGATGCTCAAGTTTTAACGAATGAATCTAGACTTCAAAAGTGACGTATGTGATCACGTGACTAAGTCGTCTGCTTTCCCCAAAGTTATGATTTAATTTGACCAATAATTCCCTTAATTGATAACGTGAATCTCTATTCTGTACTATCTTGAACCTTCCCAGCATATGGGCTTATCGGGACAAACTCCCAATCTTGTTCAACTGTTACAGACTGCAGATTAACACCGTTAGAAAATATGTGCGGGAAAAATGAAAGTTTCAAAATGTTTCTTCAAAGTTCAATTATCGATCAATATTACTGTCTTAAATCCCTTCACTCCCTTATGGAATGCTATGGATTTCTATACAGTACTAAAAATTAACTTACCCAAACGCCAACACCCCGCTTTTGGTCAAAAATTACGTTGCTCATGAATCCGTGGTGAATGTAGCCCAACTTCTCGAGATGTGTTCAAAGCCAAGGGTACTGTGCTGTGGCGAGTATTTTCCGAATCTTAGCTCAGCGGTGCGAGAATTGTTACATTGTATCCGCAAAATGCACTTGTTTATATAGCAACAAATGGACATACGCAATTTCGGGGACGACGTAGGGAGAAATATATGTAATGTTACTAAAAATGGGATATTACCAAGGTTTTTAGAGCTACGTAGGGTAGTAAAAAAGGCAGAAAGAGCAGCTTATTGGACAGGAATTATGAGGTAGGGACTGAGAAAATGATGTCACTTTGAAAAGTGACGCAAAGTTGAGACTGCAAATTCAGCGCTTTACAATGATAAATAGGTTTTCTCTATAAAGATACTAGCTCTGATACGATGATTCTGGCATACGTATTGCAATAATGTGATCATGTTAAAGGGACAGGATATGGTTAAATACTGATTATAGATATTAAAGGGACACACACTGGATAAATACGATATAATAAATAGCTATATACAGGGTGGGTCTCTACATTAGATCGTCAATTGTATGGGTTTATCGTCAGAACAAAGAGATTTTAGTTTTTACATCGGAAATATCTCAGCAATTTTCAAAATGTCGGAAGGGGAATTCCCCAGGGATTTCCCTTATGACTGTTGCATGCCGGGAACTGAATGGAGGAATTTGACGGTTGAACCTACACGCAAATATTGCTATCAAAAACGAAAATATCTTCGTTCTGCCGATAAACCCATACAATTTGCGATTCAACTATATGAAAAGAATTCTAAAATACTCAGGAATGTATCAAGGTAGGTCATTTATGTGTGCAATGCATAGTTCATTCTCCGACATTGTAGAAACACAGGCTTACTAATTAATCGGGCCTACGACCACAATCTAAAGGGGTCGTAGGATGCGATAAGGAACACCGTGAACGCCATTTGAAAAAAGCTGGCCAGCGTGTCATAAGTTTATTGAAAATTTTAAAAATTGCCAGATAAATAAATCATTAATTAAAATGGGACAGACTGGGCTCCTTGATGAGATATTGCCATGATTTCCTCAGCGGATTTCGTCCAAAATTAAAACAAATGGCTCCAAGAAAAATGGTGATATTCGAAAAATGGACGAAATGTCTGACATTAGTAACTGGCTGTGGAAAAATGGCGGACATTTGATTTCAAATTTTATGATTACGACATGACCCGTTATACAGGCAGGAATTTATCTTTGGACGAAGGCCACGATACAGTGGCCTTAGCTAGAAGAAGGTAAATCTAGAAAGATGAAGATATAAATTAAGTGCAAAATCTGTCAAGGGGAAGCAGGTACCATTTTGTACAAGGAACGTTTTGAAAGGTGGTCACTTTTTTGAAATTTTCCAATTTGGTGTCTCATCTTCTGAATTATTCTTTGAGCCTATGAGATCCTACTGCAAAATGATCTGGCCAACATCTATGCCTGTAGCCCCTCGTCTGCAAACGACCGCAAAATATTTCTTAATATTCTAATGATTTTCACATAAGACATGTTGACTCGTCAACAAAGTAAAGTTCAAAGGTCAATACATTATTTCGTGATAGGGGCAACACCTTCCCAAAAGTCAACACGAGGAAAAATTGAAAAACCATCAACACCTATTTCAATCATGGTACGTGTATTATACATTCATGGTACAACTAACTTTGTTGCAAGGCTGTGCTTTTGTTCCCCCAGCCCTTTTTGGTCCCATTCACCATGTTTTAACAAAACACATACATGTAAGTGACATAGTGTGCTTTTACTTTTCAGAAATGAATACTTGTATCTGATGACATAATCTACCCTATCGCTGATGCAAGATATGGAGTCAATGATACTAAATATAATCAGATGTCCATAAAGTCAAGATGGAGAATAAAAAGGGAAATATGAAGCCACACCTACCACATGGGTGGGTTGCAAAGCAATCAAAGAGTTACCCTGATAGGTTATATTACTTCAATATCTTGACAGGAAGTACTAGCTGGGAAGTACCAAAGTCTATGCCAAAGGTGCAAAATAAAGTAAGCCTATTCTAGAGATTTATTTTCTAGAGATGTATTTTGGTAGAGTCCACCTTATATCGGATACCAAATCTAAAATCCTTGTAAGAATGATTATTAATGAGTAGCTCAGATAGCAATGCTTTAAATGAACAGCTATACAGAGGCTTGGAGATGACATCGCAAGAAATAGTGAACAATTGAATGGCCATTCATTTTTAAATGTTTAGAGCTATACAGTAATTTGATTGGCTGAGGAACCAAACAAGCATGACCATGTTTTTAATTTAGTGTTAAATTACCACAGAAACACATATCTTGCAATAAAACATAACGTTTGAAAATGATTAATTGTCATTTGACTATCTGACTATCTTTTTTATATACTAGTAACACCCACCAGCTCAATCTTTTATAATTCCATTTCAGCCAAAGCAGAGAGCACAAGAAGAAAATGACTCGGGAATATATTCTAGTCCATCAAGCTCAAGCAATCAACTGAGCCCCCTTTATTCAAAAACCAACACCACCACAAGCACACATATAAGAAGAACAAGTGAAGGAGGTAACTTGAGTACGACTAAGAAGAGTCCAGTTAAGTTGGCCCATAAACCAGTTAGTGCAATGGTACCACGTGCTAGTGCAATGGTACCACGTGCTGTCTCTAAGGCCTCACCAAGAGGCAAACCAGTTGAGATTCAAAGGAAACTTAAGGCTGATGTATCACTGTATGGTTCAATACCAGATTCAACCACTCCGCATCTTGAATTTGCCGAGAACAAGTGGAAACCTATTGACCAGAAGGTTGAGAAAGCGCAGCAAAATGACATTAGTTCAGGTGTTTCTCGTAAAGTGCTACAGGCCAAGTCAAGGAGTGGAACTGGTAGAACAGTTAATCCTCAACTAGTCAGGAATGATACAGAAATAACGGAAACAAAAAGACTGAAAAAACCAGTGAAGCTAAAATGGGAAAGACTAGATTTGAAACCAAAGGAGGCTGTTCAGTTGAAACGTAAGTCCACTACTAATCTTTCTGATGTGTTTCCAGATATGAAAACAAAACCTGCAGCTCCAAATAAACCTTTACAAAATCCACCCAAGTCTAAAAGTAAAAATGAACTCAACTCAATGCATAGAAAAATTCCTCCCAGTCAGAAATCAACTATGAAAAAAGAAGGCATTTTGAAAAGACAGGAAATCTCAGAGAAATCAAAATCTCCACTTACAAGCTCAAACCAGCCACGTCCCAAGACAATAATAGAAACTGCCTTAGGCAGTGTGTCCAAGGGTAACACATCTGTGCAAAAATCTCAATTTGAAAAATCTCAGGAAGACACAAGAAAGGTAGTGTTAGCAAATCAAAATTCAATGATCATTAAAACTGCTGACTCCCAAGAAGAAAAACATCGAATTAATAACACTCCAGCTTCGACTGTGATAAATAAAAATCCAAATCCAAAACGTCGGAAATCTAGAGAGGATTGGCTCTCAATTCTTACTCCTAATTCGTACTCAATCAGTGTACCAAATGCTCAAGCCAGTGCCAAATACAATCCTAATCCAATGGCCGGATTAAATCCCATTTCCAAGGTTGCCATTGGAAAACTAGTCAATCAACAATCAGGTGCTCCTAAACTAAGCAATAAACCCAGTGAGAAACTGGTCAGGGATATTTCAGTGAATTCTCAGATGGAGTGCTCACAGTCTGAGCCTGAGGTTAGTTCTCAATCTGAACAAAAGCTGGCAAATGTAGAGACATGGCTGACTGGCTTAGAACCAATGAAACAACAAACACCAGTTGCAACATCATTTCAAGGTAGGTCATATCACAAACTAGCTAACTAATTTTGGTTGGTCTCATATCAAACCTCTGCATTTCAATGACTTATGTTTTTCATTATTATTTTTGGAAGTGCTTTATTATGAGCACGAAAAAATGCATGGGCTACCATTGCTTCAGTTGATGATTTGTAGGAATTCTGTCATAATTCATCATTTTTGTAATCGAACGAATCTCTTAATAACCTCAATGCAATGACCATGTAATCAAAAAATATCCAATAAATGACCATGCTCCGTGCATTTATCTGTGTAATTTAGGACTCCCATTAGGGTTCATGCCGTTTGTTCCTAGAGAGAGCAGTAGCCAAGAGATGGAGGTAGAGATGTCTGAATCTGAGAAAATAAGTGCTGATGTAAGTGGAAATTTAGCAGCTTGGTGATATTCTTTTCTCTGTATTGAACACTTCTCTCTTCAAAGAATTGTCTTTTCATGAAAACTTGTATATCAAAATTTGTCTAAACTGAAGCCCTGGCTCTATTGAACACTTGTCTTAAATGATCATTTGCCTATAATGAACACTTCAATTTTAACAATATTTACAATATTTTGTGAACATTTCAGCATTGTAGAGAGGGTTGATGATCAAAACCAAGTGTAACCATATTCATTTGTATAAATCCCATTTTCTATGTGTATCTGTTTATTATAGTTGAGTAAAGTCAGATCAACATTGGACTATCAGAACTATGAGGTGAGCCAAGTTTTATATCAACACATATTGTAGCCCTCCCATAATTTTGGATTAACTTTAAAGCTTGAAGTTTGGGACAAAGTATTGGGTTTGATTCTTGTTATGGGCATATTTTTGGCAACTAGAATAGTTACATGCAGTAGTATAGAATTTAATAAGGTATTTTATTTTAAAACGATGAAATATTTTTAAGGAATTGTTAAATGTCGAACTATAAAATTGATCGAGTAGACCACACATTGTTGTTTCCATTTTTATCACACCATCGGTGGGATATAGTCGTCATACTGGTCGTGGTCGTGGTCGTGATCGTGGTCGTGGTCGTGATCGTGATCGTGATCGTGGTCGTGATCGTCCTGCTTTTTGTCATCGCCGTTTAAGGAAAACTGCTCATCAGATTTTCTCCAAATTCGCAGAGATGATAGAGCATATGAAGTACTAGAGCTGATCAACTTTTGGGTGGCCATCTTGTTTTCTGGCCGCCATTTTGAAGGTTTTTCGAAAAATCTTGTCATCGCCATTTCAGGAAAACCGCTCATTGGATTTCCTTCAAATTTACACAATTGATAGAGGATATCAAGTACTAGAGCTGATTAACTTATGGGCGGCCATCTTGTTTTCTGGCAGCCATTTTGAAGATTTTTCGAAAAATCTTGTCATCGCCATTTCAGAAAATCCGCTCATCGGATTTCCTTCAAATTTACACACATGATAGAGGATATCAAGTACTAGAGCTGATTAACTTTTGGGCGGCCATCTTGTTTTCTTGTTCTTGAAATTTGTAAACATAATAGGAGAACAGTTTTCCTGGTTCATAGTGTCTGCCTATTTGATGGTGTGATCTCGTTCACGTCCTGAGCCTTGTTCTATTAACTTTGTAGTTGTAGCTCCTTACTAATGGAGTTACCTTGTTGACATTATAATCTACTAAATGATGATGTTGAATCCAAATCTAGTCAAACAATCATTCTAATTTCCTGTATTGCAAAAGGAAAATTTCTAACTTGTTTTCCATGGGAAGTTGGATTATACAGTGTATTGGCATTTACAGTTGGTCGATTCCAGTAAGGATTTCGAGACAATTCTGATAAGAACCCATTTATGGAGTGAATAGTTAATTCAATGACATTCACTATTATCTATTAATTAAAAGATATATTTTGCTTTTAGGCAGTGGGTAAATTAACACAAATGATAGACGTTACCATGGTTCCCGATGGCAAGAACACAGCAGTTGATGTAGACACCCAGGTAAGCCTTTAAAGAGGCAAAGTGAAGCCATATAATTATACATTACATCAAAAAAAAATTCTCCAAAAATTTCAAAACTTTCTCGAGAATTCTTTGAAAGCACTTATAGGGTATTCGATTTTGTTCAAATTCAAAAAAAAATTGTTTAACTTAGTTTGTGTAGGATTCTTTGGTCACTATGATTGTACTATTGTTATGCACTTGGAAATATTCTCGTACATGTATACCAGGCCCGTAGCCAGGATTTGCCAAGGGGGGGGGTTCAGTTTTCAAAAATTTCCAGGGGGGTTCACATTTGACAATTTTGGCCCAAATATGGCTAAAATCACTTGAAAAGTGCTCAAAATGGTGAAAAACTGCATGATTTTGAAAGAATTTTTGGCCAGGGGGGGGTTCGCCCGAATCGCCTGTGAACCCCCCTGGCTACGGGCCTGTATACATACAAATATTGTGACTTCACATGGAAATATTGTAAAACTGAATATGAATAATGAAAAACGCATAAAATATTGTAATTATTATTGTAAAATATTACAAGTCCAAGTGTGTATAAATTGTATTTCCAGAAAGTGTTCATCATACTAGATACCAACATTCTAATGAATGATCTAAACTTTGTTGAAGAAATCAAAGACCAGGATTTCAAAGGTACACATACTCATAATTAATCTGCCAATAATCTGTAGCAAATTAAAAATAGAACATAATGTAAACAAACACATCTTTATTTCAAAAGATTTGTCCTGATGTATATGCCTGTAGAAGTCATAAGGAAGTCAAAGTCAACATTTCAAACAAAAAAGCACAAATGCACTAAATCATTTTAATTTGCAACCCTTTAGAAATGTTGTAATGTTATCTTGACTTTATGTCACCACCAGAAGAGGTAAAATTGTTAGTCTCCAACTTTTTTGTGTTGGCAGTTAGTGTTCGGTGTCTGGTGGTTAGTGTTTAGCATCTGTAACAAATGGCTGGTGGTGACATTTTCATGTTAATGCCTTGTATACCAACACTAGGTTCGCGTTAACGCCGTTTTTTCGCGTTTTTTACGCAGTTAATTTCATCTTCACGCAAAACTGCAACACATCTTACGTATCGTGTACGCAAAAATCATATCCCCCAAATGTACCGATGAAATAATACCAAAAACAACCAAAAAACAAAAATTAAAAGCACGCTCTCTAACAGCGTAACATAACGATCAATCTGATTCGTGCATAATATTTGTCTTCCGGTTATTAAGCCAATCAAAATTCTTGTAGCAAACGTATGCGGCTAAACAGAGTATAGCTGCAGAATTTTTTCCGCAGGACCGTTCGTGTGAATTGATCGCTTATTTTATAATCTGCACTGTACAGCCATGAGGAATCAACTTGTTCACGGTAAATGGAGATAATCAACCCTAATATAGATGGTCACCATGTTAGATTCTTTTTGAATATTTCGAATGGCCACTTGAATCGGTGGGACTGCATTCAAATAACCACGGCTATTTGATGCCTACCGACTGCAGCAATCTGATGCAAGCACCATACCCGGATGTCCTAAGGGGATTCCCCGTCCATAGCCAAACCGCCGATGAAAAAAAGATAATTTCTTCGTTCTGTGCCGATTAACTTTTTTGATCGGGGATTCGATAACATAAAAAGAATCCTAAAACACTCAGGAATTTATTGAGGCAGGTTATTTGTGTAAAACTCGCGTCAAAAATTGATGATAATAATAAGTGCCGTTCCACATCACCACACTTCAGGGTGGGCGTGGCACATCGAGAAGGCTACAGATGTTCATGACTCCTTGATTTATGTTTTTTCATGATATTAGAATTTGAGCTACAGTTAATTTAGTCTCGAGAGGTAAATTCTAACAATATTGGGGTGTGTGGGAGAGGGAGATTCCATGGATGGTACCTTACAGTTGGGGACATAAATAAATGACAGGTGGATTTGCTGAAGTGAGGATTTCCCATGTTAAAAATAAGAGAATTTACAAGACTTAGAGGCCATACATCAGTGGATGAGATTATACAAAATGTAAAATATACAAATTTTAAGGGATATATATCTAGACAATATTGGAAATTATGGGCTTTCAGACCACCATAATTAGGAAATGGTGATCGAAAATCGACCTGTCATTTATTTTTGTCCCCAACTGTAGCCATGGAAGGTAAGTTACAGGGACTTTGTGGAGGCCTCAGAAGAAGGTAAACAGGAATGACTTGCAATGCATGAGTACATGCGGGGACATAAACAAATTTTTTTTACCACAAAAGCCCGCTGAAGCGATTTTCAAAAAGTACCCCAAAATAATTATTTGTACCCCATTTTTTGAAGTGACCTGGGTATGAAGTACTCAAAATTACTAAGGCCTAGCGCAATCACTGCAACATGTTGTACACACATGTACATCCTATGTTCTTTATCACAATAGGTGTAGGGAAACCACATCTAGTTATACCATGGGTGGTCATGCAGGTGGTGACATTTTGCATGTTAATGCATTGTATACAAACATGTTGTACACACATGTACATCTTATGTTCTTTATCACAATAGGTGTAGGGAAACCACATCTAGTTATACCATGGGTGGTCATGCAGGTGGTGACATTTTGCATGTTAATGCATTGTATACAAACATGTTGTACACACATGTACATCCTATGTTCTTTATCACAATAGGTGTAGGGAAACCACATCTAGTTATACCATGGGTGGTCATGCAGGTGGTGACATTTTGCATGTTAATGCCATGTATACCAACATGTTGTACACACATGTACATCCTATGTTCTTTATCACAATAGGTGTAGGGAAACCACATCTAGTTATACCATGGGTGGTCATGCAGGTGGTGACATTTTGCATGTTAATGCCTTGTATACCAACATATTGTACACACATGTACATCCTATGTTCTTTATCACAATAGGTGTAGGGAAACCACATCTAGTTATACCATGGGTGGTCATGCAGGAGTTAGATGCTCTCAAAGACAGCAAGGACCCCAGACTGAGCAGAGAAGTGGTCAGTGATACTTTAAGCCTGTATATTGCAAAATTAAACATTCATTGCTAATTTTTAAGTATTTCGTGAAAATGACATCTTTAAGTATTTTGTGAAAATGGCATGTATGTACTAACTAAAAACATAAACTTTAACATGTAATATATATTAAGTAAGATATGTAACATATTTTATTCAGTAGCACATTTAAATAGTATTTATCATTATATTACTCTATATTTGGATATATCTTAGAAAAATCAGAAATACGTTTGTAAAACACAGTATTAGGCAGGGAGTAAAATTTTGAGATTAAGAATATATTTGTTTTGCAGATCATAAAAGAGAGCTCTGTTGTAGAGCAATACACTTTATACATCATTTATGATCATATATTTTCAGGCTTTGTCTACACAATTGAATGCCAGAAAACCAGTGAATTTTCTCTACAATTGCCATAAATGTAGACACCCTAGAGTAATTGGGCAGACCCCACAAGAGGTAGGTTTTAAATCATTTCATTGTATTAGTGAACTTAAGTTCTATTAAAATAAGGAATGGAAGAACAGGCAATATTTCAGACCTCAACAATATAGCTTAAATTAATAGAATTTACGTAATGTGTCATCCCAACACTAAAAAAATGTTCCAAACTGCTCAGAGATAATATACAACATGCAAAATGTCACCACCTAGAGTTTGTTACAGATGCTAACCACCAAACACCAACCACCAAACTCCAACCACAAAACAGTTGAAGACTAATAACAATCAACCCCAACCATGCCTTTTCATTGTATATTTGTTTCTATTCATGAAATAAACCTATTGATTAAAAAAACAATATGTCACCATTTTTGTTGGTGACATAAAAACCATGTTGACAGGTTTTGGACATTCTTTGATTATTTTGTACCCAGTAGTAAAACACAATACTTTTCACTGTAATTCTTTATAGTGTCGCCATCTTTTAAATCAAAAGTAATTTAAAACATGCACTTTGTTTAGCATGTGCATGCACTACTAATGATATCTGAACTTCAAATGCTTTTTTACTATAATGTGAGTTATTTTTTTCTTGGTTCAATATCAAAGCAAATCAAACTTTGTTTCATATTTGAGCGAGTGTGTGAGTACTGAGTAACATGTTTCAATGATTATTTTTTTGTTTTTCTTCTAAATTAAGTATAGCGGGCCTTTAATATATTATTTATTTGCAGCAATCTATTTCTCTTGAGGACTTCGAGATAGAGACCAATGATGATAAAGTGATACAGTGCTGTCTTCTCTGGTCACACAAATGTAAGTTATAGTGTCTCATCAAAAATTTCTGTTCTTAATGTTTCTTTGTCTAAGGGTTGGTATAAATGTTGCAGAATATTGGCCTCGGGAAATGAACAGCAAATCAACATTCTTGAATTTTAATGAACCATATGCATAAACAACTTGATTTTTCCATCAATGTGTAGTTTCAATATATTTAACTTGATAAATTCTTACAGATATATTGATGCAATCTTGATATATTCTTGTCTTACAGATCCTAGAAGTGAAGTCTGTCTATTCACCAATGACATGCATCTCACTAATAAGGCAAGTGTGATGGGGATCAATGTATTTTATACACAGAAGGTAAGGACAACATTTTTGCTTTTCAGTTAATATTGTTTCTAAAGAGGGAGTGCATGAGAGATCTGTACTGTTAACACTGATGCCACCTTCGCATTGTATTAAGGAAATGGGAGATGCATCCTAAAACCCCCCTCAAAAAATCGTAAAAAAATAAAATGAAAAACAACACTTGATCATCAGGCAGCACTTCAAGCCAATCAAATTGTCTTAGTAAGACAACTGATATGAAGAGACAAAGGCATGCTATAAATCGTATGAAAGAGAAGATTATGCAAACATATACTATAATTTCTAGGTTTCAATCACTTAAATTATCCTTTTACTATTTTAGGAACTAGTCATTTGGCTGAAATCTCATGAACCTTATGTGCCGCCTAAACCTGTGACACCTGTCAATCATAATCCACTCTTAACTGAAGCCACACCCACTGACAACAAAGAGAGTGTGAAGTCAAGACTACAACAGGAAATTAGTCTGGTAGGAGGCATATTTAAATATCAAAGGCTCTCAAGGAGCTTTGGCTCCCAGGATCGATCCAACAATTAAAATGTCGAAATGTCACTATTTTCTGAAATTATAACCAACTATAAATTCAAAATAAACAGTTCAAAAGATTCTTCCAATATCTCGATCATTTCTTGTGAGTCTGGGATTTTTTTGTTAAATAGAAAGCATCCTCCTTTTGATAGGCAGATGATATACTTTGTGAGTGTAAATCAGCCATGCGCGGAGCCCTGACTGTTGTCTTGCAAGTAGAAATGGAGCAGGCCTTTGAACACCTCTGGAGGAGTATGGTCTTCAGGAAACCTCCCTGGTCGTTTTATCAACTACTGGAGTGTTTGCAGAAGTAGGTGCTTTCTTTTCTTAACATTAATGCTTAAGGTCTTCACAATTCTGTTTTGAAGTTGCAGACTTCTTTTTCATTCTTCTTCTGTTATACTTTGTATCCCAGCCTCTATTTACCTGTTCAGTTGAATTTAAAGGTTAAATAAGTTGAAGGTTAGAAAGAAAATTAAAGAGTAGCTTTCTCAATTATCAGTTTGTTGCTTGATTGTTCATTTGTTACATGTGTGCCAAAAGCTAAGCTTCATGTGAAGATATTTTATTTAAATGTTTGGCTTGACATTGACAGAGCTAAGCAAATATAAAAAACATCAGTTTTGCTCTATTTTATTATTCATTACATATGTTATATATAGATTTATTTCCTCTTCTAGGCACTGGATTGCAGTGTTTGGTTTATTCCTCTCTCGTAATAGCGAGGACTGCATTAAAAACCTCCTACTGGAGTTCAAGCCATCCAAAGGTTAGACTATAATTTGTACCAGGTGTCTGTGTCATATGTTGAGGTGTCACGGGCAGATCAGGCCAGAAAAAAATGTGCCAGTTGGGTAATTTCAGGTTGGGTCAGAAGTAAACGGAAAAATGAATTTGACTGAACTGTCGAACCATCTTAGTTTTTAATAACAATTTTTGGATATCACTACTGCATATTATACTTTCTTGCAGACCCATTTCTCTTGATATTGGCAGCTCTGAGTGATCATTGACATGTATATGCAAAACACAAAGAAATTGTGATATGTTCAATATTGATAATTTAAAAATGTGGTGCTCATCTCCAGTAGACTGCCATCTTTTAAACATGCACATGGCTCTAGAACGCAGGTCGTTAGGCACGCCGATGGCCATGGTTTCAATCCCCAGTGTTATTTTAATTTTTTTTAACTGAATTGTTATGCTTTGATATTACGCAGAAAGACCGTTTATAACTACCTTGTAATTTCAGAGTTTGGCAAGAATGTGAGACAGGCAAAGTGTATTCTTAGAGATGGACTCTCCCTCCTTAATGATCTTTGCAAACATTCAAGGTAAGTATTTCATTTTTGTTGCTGAATAAATGATCATTATGACAATAGAGAAAATGTTCTATATGAAGAGGTGTTCAATTTGACAGTGTTTACTAGTATACTGCATGTACCATAACATGCAGTATAAGGGTACCATAACATGCAGTATAAGGGTACCATAACATGCAGTATAAGGGTAAAGTAAAATGATGCATAATTACTTGCATGTTTCAGTCTTTATGGAAGTGTCTTTGAAGTGGCATTAAAAACAATACAGCAGTTGGTATGTGTTTGTGATGATGTCCTGGCAGATAAGGTTCCCCCTCTCAGCCTAAAGGAACTGCTACAATTCAAGAATCAGGTATCTTAAATGAGGAGATTTTACTGCTCTTATTTGCCTATTAATTCCGATGTTTGCTCATCTCCCTCATATACATGTTGATCTTTTGATCTGAAACTTTCTGACATTTCTTAGAAAAGAATATTAATAAGATTCGTTTTAATGAAAAAATTGTGACTCCAAACCCCTTAGTTAAAGTAGTTTTAATTCTCTATAGCCTAACTGTTAAAAGATATTTCACAAAAATGGATGAATGATTTGATTTTAGCCTCTAATCTGTCAATTAAAACTTTTTCATGTTTTAAGAGATCGTAATGGGCTCAATAAATCCTAGAATTATGTCATGTGAGTGCTTTACCAATCCAGTTGTTTTCAAACCATACTCCATTTGATTGGTAATCAGGTTTAAAATTGTGTTTTGATATTTAGGGAAATGAAACTTCCAAAGAACTTTGCTCCATTGCTCCAATACAGAACCAGTCAACTATGCCTTCTACCTTTCAACGGAGAAGCTCAATAGGACTTGAAGATCTCATGGATTCACCCTCACCCCAAAGGTAATACTATTGTATGTGGAATAGAGTGACATGTATATGGTATCAGTATAACTTATTATTGCTAAAGTTCTGAATTGTACAGAAAATGATTGAATGTTTATAATGATGGTGGCAAATATTCTGATATAAATTTAGAATGGCTTTCAAAGAGTCTAGGTTTACTGTGTTTCTATGAATCAATTGCAAATTCAAATGGGGCAGTTGTTCAAACTACAAATGCAAATGTCTTGTTTGCTCATATTATGAGTAAAAGTCCTAATGCAAAATTAAAAAATCTTAATTATATTTTTATCCTTTCAGCAGAAATTCTTCACCTCCAAAGATACATATGGCAACGATGATACAGCTCAAATTCCAAAACATATGGGAGAGCCTGTTATCATATGGGTGAGTAGTAAGGGGAAGATTTATGAATGTTAATTATCCCATCAAAGTTCAGAGGGATATAGAGAATGGCTCCATCCGTCCGTATGTCCATCTGTATGTACTTACATCTGTTATTCGGTAATAAAATAAAAAAAAATAAAAAAATTGACCCAATTGTTTATATTTTATATGTACCATGGTAAACGCCCCATGTGATGTGCAAGATCTGCCCATTGGCTGATTTTAAAAATGGCTGCTAGTTTCAAAATGGCAGCCATTTAAGTATCAATATTACAGTATTGTAGGTACAACATATAAAACTGTAATATTACTAGGCTTTAAATGAAAAACAAAATATAATAGGATATTGATCAAGATGAAAATCTTATTTTAAAAAAACTGTGGCCATTTTGAAAAATGGTGGCAGTTATACAGTAATTCACGATTTTTGCTGTTACTGGAAAGACTTGGAACACGATTTTGTTCATATTTGATTAGTATTTACTTGTAAGCATGGTTCACTGTTTTATGACACTTGGCTGGTGTGTTATTTTACGTTTTTTTTACTTTGAAGCATATTACACTTTCCAGTGACACTTTGGCTACTATGTGGCCATTTTGAAAATGGTAACCATCTTTATGTGTTATTTTACATTTTTTTGCTATAATTGAAAAACTGGTGTTACGTAGCGATTCTGTTTTTATATGTGAATACATCGTACTTAGAAGAATATTACTGTCTTATGACAATTTGGTTAATAGGCTGCCATTTCCAAAAATAGCAGCCATGGTGGTTTGATGGGATTTGCTACACATTGGCGTTTCTGTTAACTAGTTCCCCTTTTGTTATCTCTCACCTCATATTCCATTATCTTTGATGCATAACTCCTACTGTTTAAAGGCCATGCCATAGTCTTTTGTTCAAGTTTTCATATTGAAATGATACAAACATTCAGGAAATTGAGGAAGTTTGAGCCATGAGGTATTAATAAAACAAATCTATACATTTCTTAGGCTTCAGATGAAATGTAATCTCAGATGTTGATGTCATATTTGTTATTATCCTGAAGGGTGTTTATTTTCAATAAATGTGTCTCAGGTACTAATAGGATTATTAGGGTTCATTTTTTTTGAAAGGATTGTTTTTCAAATAATGACTAACTCAATATCATAGTAGGATCTTACCCTTTTATAATTGGTAATTGAATGGCTCAATTCATTAATCAGTCCATTAAGTCAATCATCCATTTGCATCTGTAAGACCAATAGATATGGTACCATTGGAAAGTTTGCGATGTCAGGCTTTCATATCAGTCTATTGTTTGTGTTGAATTTGGGCCAAAAGTTGATTAAAAACCTTGTTTTCATCCTACTTTGGTACTTTTTAAATTTCTGCTTTTAAAAAGATAAAACATTTGAGTGTAACTTTTTCATTTATTTTCCAATTGTGATTGGTACCAAATGAAAGGATTGTGTTAAGGTTATGCAAACTAGCTTATTTGCATATTCATTACTCTGAATTATAGATACACTACCCCCCCAAGTTTTCTGCAAGTTAAATGCTGAATTCTGCAAGTGAAATTAATGAATTCTGCAAGGAGAAAAGGCCAATTATAATTCTGCTTGTGATAGTTACGAAGTCGGTCACAATGTCACTACTCAATACATGCTGCCATCAAGTGACAGAAATCAAATGATGAAGTTAAAAAATTTCACTTTGCATAATTTGATCATTTTTGGATTATTTCTACAAGGGATTTGACTGAAAATGTGTCAAATTCTTACAGGTGACACTGACTTTTTAAACTTTTGGAAAATATCTGCAATTCGGCAGGCAAAGGCAAATTCTGTCAGCGCTCTGCAAACGCGGAATCCTGGGGGCAGTGTATAAAGAATGATATATAATGTTGATGGAAATAGTAACATCTTAAAAGATAATCCAATCAACTTTATTATCATTCTAGTGTCTAATATTGAAAAAAAACAAATGGACCTAACTGTCCCATTTGTTTTTGTGGTCACTGAGATTTAGAACTTAAAGGGGCAACAAGGCCTGTAGAGAGGAAATAGGAAAATTTTAACTTTTTCTGAGCTAACAAGGCAACATTGGCTTAACATCTTCTTTGACATACCTATTTTCTTAAAATATATGGATAAACTATCAATTTAAGCATTAAGAAGTGTAAATTTAGTTCAAAGCTTGAAAAAGGGGAAATCCACTTTTTCAATTTTAAGATCCACCATGTTTCAATAGGAATATCAGCTAAAATAATGTTTATCTAGAGGGTTTCTTTGTAGATAATAAAAATAGATGTTAGTTGTGATATAATATCCAAACTTAAATACATTTTGACACTGGTCCATGATCGTTGAATGGCCCTTCTGCACTAATTGTTGCACCTTTAAGTTATAGCTCTATGGAAATACTTGCAATATTATCACTTTTAACATCAAATATTATCTTACAAAGGGGAGTTGGCATTCACTCCCCTATTAAAGGGGCGTTTGTATTCACTACCCTACTAAGTTAAATACCACTATCGTCATCTCTTTCCATTTTGGGATCAGTTGTTTAATTAATTGCTGTATTCACTGCAGAAAGTATGGCATCCATACATTATAAAAGTAGTTATTGCAAAATAAAAAAATTAAATGTTTTTGGCAACCCTGTATTGACCTTAATTGAATGGTACCTCCCACATTCGATGCCAATTTTTTTTCAACCTCACTTCTAGGGCAACAAAAATGTTCAAAATAATATGAAAAATATGAAATGTTAAGAGTTCTGGAACATATCTAAAGAGAATCTGTTACAGAAAATTCTAAAGTAGTATTTTTGTACCATACCCTTATTTTGACAAACGGCAAAATGCAATAAATTGTTTGCACCTGTACTCAGAATATTCTGTACTCGGAACATTCTGTACTCAGAATATTCTGTACTCAGAACATTCTGTACTCAGAACATTCTGTACTCAGAATATTCTGTACTCAGAACATTCTGTACTCAGAATATCCTGTACTCAGAAAATTCTGTACTCAGAACATAAAACCAACTTTTGATGTGATAGCTCAGTATCTTTTAGGAATACACAAACTAAAATAATTGGATCGTAGCAAATGACAAAGGTATAGAGGTATGAAGTTTATAGCTTAGTAAGTCCTGACACACAGCATGACCATTGGTAATTTGGTTTTTTTAGGCAGCTGTAAATAATAACAATTATCTTATTTTGCTGGGTGTTTTCTATTCTAGTAGTGATTATGTAAAATAATTAGAAGCACCTATTTACTTCATTATCTACTGAACATTGTATGTCATTACATATGAATGTTTTATTTAAAACATTTTCCTAATGTTAAAGGGATGGCAGTCCCCTGGGTTCTACTGATTCATGATGATGGGGGTTAGTTTAATGACTTGGAGGTGCAGAATAGGTGTATTTAATTGTGTTAAAGTAAGTCAATCTGACTGCTCCTTTGGCATAAACAAAGTAGGGATATCAGAGTGGTTAAAACACATATGTATTCAACATGTTTATATGGTATCCATTGTAGTAATACTTTGTTTATTCTTTCTGTTTTTTCCAATAGTGTCATTGATTTTGCTTACAATTAGTGCCTCAGTGATGATACATCTTGTAGCATTGTTGTGTGTATCATGCATCCTAAAGCTCATTTGTCTAAATGCATGCAGCTGTCTTTTATCAATTAGATGTTTGTTAATGACCACCATGGTTATATTTACAATTCTACTGACAATTCCTGGAATAATTCCTTTTGTGAATTTACTTAGTCCATTCATAATCAGGCAACTTTTGTTACTTGCTGGGGATGTTGAGGTAAATCCAGGTCCCTTAAACAAAGTTAACGTGTTATTTACTAATATTAATAGCATCTCAGCGGATAATAGAAGTCGGTTTGAAAGCTTAAGTATATTTTTGAAGGAGGAGGGGGTCCATATAGCTGGAATTAGTGAAGTGGGGACAAATCTTAACCTAGCTGATTATAACATAGATGGTTACCACACCTTGAACCAAGAACTCTATAATAACTCGGGACGCGGGTTGCTTATTTACATCCATGAATCTATTTCATATAGAATTCGCAATGACCTAAATAATGCAAACCTAGAGTGTCTCTGGGTTGAAACTAAGGTAAAAAATGAAAAACTTCTCTATGGCCTATTTTATCGTTCACCCTCCCAATCTGCAATCTCAAGAGATCAATATATGCATAACCTTGATTCGAATATTAGAGCTGCTTTATCAGTGAAATCTGACTTTGTTATCTTTGGTGGCGATTTTAATTCAAGAAGTCAAAAATGGTGGGTTGGTGATACTAATACTTTAGAAGGAAATATGCTTTATGATGTGAGTGTGAATAATTCTCTGACCCAATTCATTGAGGAACCTACTAGAATTACAGCCACTTCTAGCTCATGTTTGGATTTAGTTTTCTCAAATTTTCCTGGAAAGGTATTAAAATCTGAGGTAAAACTGCCAATTGGGGGTTCTGACCATAGCTCTGTTTCAGCACTTTTAGATTTCTCTCTGCCTGATAGACATGCAGGGGATTATAAGCAGATCTGGCATTACAGTGATGCTAACATTTTACAGTTGAATCAAGCTGTATCTGATTTTAACTGGGATGCACTTTTATCTCACGAAGACATTGATACTGTCACTGTAAATTTTACCAATGCATTGTTTGAGATTTTTCAAACTTATATTCCATCCAAAGTGAAATTTATAAAGAAAAGTGATATGCCCTGGTTTAATCATGAAGTGAAATCAGCATTAAACAAGAAAGATAAATTGTATAGAAAATTAATTAAAAATAGAAATGATTTTAACTTCACAACATTTAAACATCAATGTGATTTAGTCTCAGATGCAATTGTTCATGCAAAAACCAGTTATCAGGACAAGATGTGCAGTAATCTGGATGAAGAGGCAGCTAGTAAGAAAAATTATTGGACCATCATTAAAAAATTAATAGGTTCTAAATTTGCATCAGGA